AAGTGAGAATAAGATCCTTGGTCATGTCGTTGGGAAGGAAGGAATCCGCATGGATCCTGCAAAGGTGGACAAAATCTTGTCCTGGAAGGTACCTACGAACCGAACGCTCTGTAAGGGGTTTATTGGGTCAGTGGGGTACCTGGCGGACGACATCCACAAGGTGCGCTTACCTTTGGGTGTCCTGTCCGAAGCGTCCGCGGACACTGTCCCATTCAGATGGACGGACACGGAACAACGCGCTTTCGATGAAGTGAAGCGTTATGTGTCAGCATGTGCGTCACATAGTAGGATGCCATTAGACTACTCACCGGGACATCCCCGAATTTGGATGATGACGGATGCCAGTGCGACGGGCATTGGCGGGGTGGTCGCACAAGGCGACGACTGGCGTACAGCGAGAGTGGCGGCGTTCTACTCTGCGAAGATGTCTTCGGCCCAGCGGAATTACCCTGTTCATGAACAGGAGTTGTTGGCTGGGGTGGAGACTATGGTTAGACATAGGGACATCCTACAGGGCATGAAGTTTACCTGGTTGATGGACCATAAGAGCCTGACTCACTTCATGCGACAGAAGAACCTGTCCGGGTGGCAGGCGCGTTGGCAGGAGACGACGGGAGAGTTTGACTTTGATATTGAGTACCTGCCCGGCGAGGAGAACATCCTGCCGGATGCGCTGTCGCGAATGTATGAGTTTGATGAGCCTGGCACAGTGAGGGCCCCCAGTGAGTATGTGGTACTGGAAGGGGAAGTCATCTCACCGCCAGTTGCCAGCTTGGTCACCATGCTGGTGACTGTAGGGTTGGAGACCACTGCCCAGACGCCCAGAAGAAGTGCGCACATGGCTGCCAAGCGCGAGCCAACCCATGGACAGGATACTGTGAGCCCATCCGTCAGCCGTGGATTGGTTCAGGGAGAGACACCCACCAGATCTCCTGAGGGCCAGGTTGCCAGTGGAGCGGACAACCGCGAAATGGCTCTTGGAATTATCTCGACCAGATCTCCCATAAACCGCGAAATGGGTCATGGAATGCCTCTGGCAGACCGGAGCAACCACGAACCGGGTCAGGGAAGGTCATTGACCAGATCTTCCACGGACCGGGGCAACCACGAACCGGCTCTTGGAATGTCATTGACCAGATTTTCCATGAACTGGAGCAACCGCGAACCGGCTCATGGATCTGCCGTTAGTGATCCTGTTCTTGCAGAGAAAGGGATGGACACACCTGCACCTAAGAGGAAGGGCCGGAGGGTCGTCGAACCAGCGGAGACTGGGCGCCTGGAGACATCTGCAGAGTTTGCATGGCGGGTGAGGGATCGTTTCATCCTGAAGGGCCCAGTCAAACAAAAGGAGGGGGGGGGGAGCTCCTGAAAGAGCATAACCACCCAGAGACCGGCCAGATGGGAACCCCAGAGGATCCGGACCAGCGAAGAGCTGGAAAACCTGCAAGAAGGGTTAACCGAGCCAGAGTACCAGCCAGCAAAGGTACCTATCACGTACCCTGAAAAGGAGGCGGTATTGTCTGAAATTAAGGGAAGATATGAGGAAGATCCCTTTTCAAAATGATACTAGACGCACCTGAGTCCTATAAGAACTTCGAGCTCAGGGAGGGATACCTGAGGCTGAGACTACAAGATAGGGAGCTGCTATGCATCCCGGACATAATGGTTGGAGAGCGGAAGCTGCGCGAAACGCTGATAGATCAAGCGCACTCATTGTTAGCTCATCTAGGCGCGAGGAAGACAATGTCGTACCTCCGAGAGTACGTGTGGTGGAAGATGCTGGTACCGGACGTACAGGCGTTTTGCGCCTCATGCCAAACCTGTCAAAAGAGTAAGCCCTCTAACCAGAAGCCATATGGGTTGCTGCACTCACCCAAGATTCCATCTAAACTGTGGGATGCCATAGGCGTGGATTTTGTCGGTCCACTACCACTATCTAAGAATAGAGATGGCAAATTTGATAGCATCACCGTGATAATTGATCTGTTCACTGGGATGGTGCACTTGGTGCTGAGCCGGACGAACTACAATGCAAAGGAAGTGACTGAGCTGATGTTCACGGAAGTGTACAAACACCATGGCTTACCAAAGTCCATCATAAGCGACCGGGATGTCCTGTTTACGAGCAGATTCTGGATGTGGCTAAATCAGCTGATAGGAATTAAGCAGAAAATGTCAAGTGTGTACCATCTGGAGACGGACGGTTCGACAGAACGCGCGAACCGCATGATAGGACAAATGATACGAAGCACGATATCCCCCAGTCAAACGGACTGGGTGGGGCGCTTGCCTGCAATAGAATTTGCCATTAACCTGGCGCACAATGACACCACGACTTACCCGCCATTCTTTGTCAACTCGGGCCGAATGCCTCACTCCTTCATTTGGGAGACGCCTGAAACAACGGAGTATCCGGGAGTTAGAGTGTATGCCCAGAAGCTGAAGACCACCGTGCTCACCACGCACGACGCCATCCTAGCGGCTCGCGTCAAACAGACAAGGGAGGCGAATAAACACCGGCGAGCGTGCCCGTTTGTGGTGGGCAACTTAGTCTATGTATCGTCTAAGAACATTAGCTTCCCCAAGGGACGGGTAAGAAAATTCATACCTAAATATATTGGGCCATACCAGATAATGCTGGACTTCAAGAACAACTCATACAAGTTGGACTTGCCGGATAGGTTGAAACAACGAGGAGTGCACCCCATGTTTCATGCATTGTACTTACGAATCCACATGCCCAACAATGACCACAAGTTCCCAGGAAGACTCGAGATGCAAGTTGCCGATTTCGACGATCATGTTGATCGAGAATGGGCCGTGGACAAGGTACTATCGCACCGAGGTACCAGAATGGACGCTGACTTCGAAATACTTTGGAAGTCCGGAGATAGGACCTGGCTGCCATACAGCCAAGTAGAACATCTTGACGCCCTGAAGGACTATTTTACCCTGGTCAGCGTCGAGACGATCGGTGAGCTGGCGGATGGCGATGGGGAGGTACCGACTGACGCTCCCCAGGTGTTTCTAGGACACCTATGTCTCACTCCCTTCCCTACAAATACCCCACCGTTCCTTCATCCTTCAACATCTCCACCACTTGACCTTCGTTGCACCATGCACAACCCCGCATTTCGCAACTTTGTCCCTGTGGGGCCAGGGTCCTACACGTTCTCGGACATGCATGTCCCTCTGTGCCAATATACCATCACACACGACCAAGTTAAGTCCTTCGTCTTGTATGACACACTGTTGCACTCTGGCGAGGACAGCAGCCAACACTCTATTCCCCTTGGTTACGACGAATTCGCGTTCATTTTCAACTTCAACAAGCCTGAGATCCTCGTTAAGTTCACCACCACTGCCGCAGACAGTTCCATTAAGGTCAACGGACCTACTGTGACTGCCTCGTTCCTCATCGGCGACGACGAGGAACCTGTCGCTGCTCTTAATCCTGACCAGCCTGCCCAGCCAGTCGTTGAGGCCACCCGTGATCCTGACGGAGGCTGCTGGTTGGACAAACGCAAGGCAGAGCTGATCGACGATACCCTTTGGGACACCCTTGAGCGTTCCCACCACCAGAACTCCTGCCATGACGAAGCCATAAAGGCTCGTAAGGACAAGAGGAGGAGGCTCGAAGGTCCCCCTCCCCCTGTCGCACCTGCACCTAACATTCCCCGTCCCCCTACCACTACTCGTGATGCTGGTGCTGGTAGCTCTAGCCGAGCTATCGCCCAGCCGACCATTTGGGATGATGACGTGCACATGGAAGGTGCGGAAGGCATGAACCATCGCGAAGGGGTCGAAGGACCCACCATTACTGAAAAGAAGGGCAAAGGATGCAAGAAGTGAGGGGTTTGACAACCCCTGAAGGGGGGTATGTGGCGTCTACACATCCACTCAGCTTGACCCCCAACCATACCATGTGATTATCACCTCAGGCATTACTTTTCGGAACCAATAATGGTCTTTCAGACTCGGTTTCTATGTTGTGGGAAAGTAGTCTGTTAGACCCACCTCCCGCCATCTATTAATAACACATCCTCCTAGCGTGCACCGCGCACCTCCAGGAAACCCTCGCGCACCTCCAGAAAACCCTCCAGATCCTCCAGAGAACCTCTCGTACCCCTCCATAAAACCCTCCAGCCTCTCCGTGGCTCCAATGCAACGAGCTTGGGAGCCTTGCTCCTCCCCGTTTCACACTGTAAGTTCTTCTCTTCTTTCCCTCACCATGTCTTCCTCGACACCTCGTCGCACTTGCAAAGCTCAACTTGCATCGTTTGGCCTAGGCTCTCACTTTGAAAAAAGATGATGACACGCAAATGAAGATGTGTGTCCAGAGAATGCGTTTGGCTCGTTTAGTAAGCATTTGTTTGAGCCAGCTGGTTGTTTGCAGGCTCACGTCTGGCTCAAACAGCAGTCTATTAATAATACATCCTCCTAGCATGCACTGCACACCTCCAGAAAACCCTCGTGTGCATCCAGAAAACCCTCATGCATCCAGAAAACCCTTGCGCCTCCAGAAAACCCTCCCTATCCTCCATAAAACCTCTCGTACCCCTCCATAAAACCCTCCAGCCTCTCCTGTGGCTCCAATGTGCCGAGCTTGGGAGCCTTGCTCCTCCCTGTTTCACACTGTAAGTTCTTCTCTTTCCCCCACCATGTCTTCCTCGACGCCTCGTCGCACTCGCAAAGCTCAACTTGCATCTTCTGGCCTAGGCTCTCACTTTGTAAGCCCAAGGAAAGCTTGAGACAAATGAAAAACCCAAACATATGTTGAGCTGCCTGGCGCAGAGACGAAGCGCCGCCGACTTTTAGATGCAATGAGCACTTATGAAGTCGCAACATGAGGAACCACACCTGCAGTTATCTGTTCAAGCTGCACCACCCATACTGTGACGGAACACATGGATGCTGACAATCTTGTCGAATTCCACTCCGAAGATGTGGATGAACAACCATCTCTGGAGATCTCAGTAACATCTGTCAAACGGTGGATCCTACCAGACCAACCCACTAATTCACTGTATAAAAACTGGATTGCACTCATACCAACCCTTGTTGATCCGGTACTCCAGTACTTTGGACAAACGCAGGGCAAAGCACTGGAAAATATACATCCAGTCATATCTGCATGCGGGGAGCCTTCGTGTACACCGAAACGGACAACAATGATGTGTTTATGATCGTCAGCCCATATCTTGCAGTGTTCAATTTTTTGCTGACATTTATTTAGGCTTTACATCTATAGATGTACTAAGTTGTACCTGCTCAACTCCCAGGTCCTCGTCCACCATGGTCTATTCCCAACCGCGCCTTCACAGCCTCGGATGGCTGTGTCTGTTGACTTGCTTTCATTCTACCCGCGTTGTTTGAGCGCTCATGTGACGCGATTAACGCACTCACATCAGCTCAAAAATCACTATTCCCGGGGGTTACCAGATGACTGATGCCCAGGTAACAATCAGTTACATACTTATATCACTACTGATTCATTAGTGTTTCAGGGTGAAGTTATACAGGACCCCTTCCGCCGAGGCCTCGGCTATGCCATCCAATGGTATGACATCCTGCAAGTTGAAGTTGAGCGCCAAGTTGAGATGGTGTTCAACAACATTGTGATCATATAGCGAAGTTTCAAGTGTCCTCTCGAGTCCCAAATTCGCCTTGCTCACTCAATGCACACCCTTCTAGTGCAACGGTGTCCTGCTTGCTTTGCAGGTATACTCCATGGTAGATCCACAGATGAAGGAGGTGACATCCACGTTGCAATGGACGGTAATTTCCATCACCGTCATCGACGTGCTGCTGGAGACTGTCCAAATTTCTATGACCCTACCTATTTTCTCCCCAAAAGCTTTGTTGACGCAATTGGGCACCATATCGACACTCAACGTAAGCGACCCGTGAAGTCTCACGTGCCCCTCATCCCCAACAAAGCCGTTGACCAATGCGATGCTTACGAGGCTGCTGATGGCAAAAAACAGAAAGCCGCTATGGATAGCTTTGATGACACTGCAATCATGGCCCTTATCTGTTGTCATGACATCCCATTATTTTTTGCCAATATAGACTCACCTGGAGAACAGCAGAAGTATTCAGTAGCTTTACTTCACCACTTCTTTCATTTCTTCTGCCTGAAGCTACTGTCATAGCCCTTTATGATATTGGCTGTGTTTTGGCACGAACACTCTCCAAGGTACGTTATGATCCTGGCCGGAACTACTTGCTTACACTATTTACAGTATGACATTCTTCCCATAAGTATCACCTCACACCTTCGATTTGCAACCACTGCAATGCACGCATATGGCCACAAGTGGGCTTGCCAGCTCATATATAATCCACAAATATGTGTGGGTCTTGGCTTATCCGATGGCGAAGGGACTGAACGCCTTTGGTCTTGCTTAGTTCAATTGATAGGTGTTGAGCACACTTCTAGTGTATGTACTCTATTATTTTCATTATAAACTAATTCATTTAAAACACTGCTTAGCGCCAACACTGTTTATGGCTAATCGATCGGCAAGCAGTGGCTATAGCTTCAGAGATGCGAATTGACCTTGGCGACTGGATCAAACGACGCCTCAGACGGGGCATCAAGGAGCAAGGTTCGGCAGCCCAAGACGCGCTAGATCGATGTGGGGTCCCCATTGAAGAATTGCAGTCCGAGTGGTTGCAGCAAAGGCATTCTCAGTTATCTATCCGTGCTCGTAGGTTTTATACATTTTTAATGGTGTAACTATTACTCAATGATATCGCAAGATGCGCCCGCCCGCCTCAAGAAGGAGTTGGACACTGTCCTAGCTCTCCAGGCAGATCTGGACACCTCAGACAAAGCATTGCAAACTGCCAGGACGATGTTGGAGAAAGATATGGCTTCAGATGATACTCCAGAGGCTCTCGAAAGTCTAGAGAGGGGACACGATCGCCTGATGAACAAGGTCGAGGCTCTTTACTCTTCATTGAACGTTCATGACAGGTTCCCTGAGCTTCATGGCATCAATCTCGAATTTGTTCGCATCCTTCTAATGGCACGCGATCTCAAAATGAACGTTCATAAACATGCGATTGCAAGTTTCTTTGAGTGGGATAAACTTGATCGAGCAGTAGGTGGCATCCAGCAAGTGTTAGGTAAGTTCGTGCTCTTTTGTTAGTCAATGATTTATCAGATTCTTTCAGGCACCAAGCTGCATCAACAGACATGTAAAGCAATTTCAAAGTGTCAGCCTGCACTAATGACCGCTATCAGGAGATTCAACTCCTACTGCGAGCGGCTCAATTCATTGTATGATACATCCTGGGGGATTCCACTGCCCGCACCCCTTCCCACCAAACTTGCGGAACTATGTTCTGACCCAGGACTGATGGAGGATGTATGGATTACGCCATCTCTTGGAGAGGTTCCACGATGGTTAGACGACACATCCATAAGAGATGGTATTCGTGCACTGCTCAAGCATGACCGGTGTCGAGAGGAGCAGGTTCAGCTGGGTGTTGAGGTTGATAACCTGTGCCGCTTCTTTGGAAATGAGTTGGCGGCGCTTGAACTTGCCCTTTGGTCGCCGAAGAGTGAGTTAATTTTCTTCTCAACTTCCATTTCTCACCCATCCTTAGGTGAGCCTTTCGCAGTTCCATTGCAGCAACGGCATCCCAATTTTATCCGCCTTCAAACACGATGGTCAAATTGCTTAGCTTCTTCAGTACGGTTTACTAACAAAGTCAGCAAGGCAGTGGCCATTGCGACCACCCTCTCGGGAGGCTCGCCAAACATGATGTTTCACTGGATTAATGCCAGCACGCTGGTAGTGCCTGATTCTGTGGGTAGTGATGAACTCCCTATCGTTGATCCTGACCATTGCCCCCAAGTTGATTCTGAACAAGCAGCACTTGCCAATGTCCTGGAGGGTGAGATGGGGGCATTGGAGTTAGATGACAATGACTCAACAAATTATGGGTGCAAAGTTAATGCCATGATTTGCTGGAACCTTCCTGATGTACGTTTATCTTTATTGTTAGGAATTGACGCTGACATGTCATAGAATCTCCTTGTGGATGACTTCTGCGTCCCATCGCAAGAGCCAGACATCCTTGACCCTGCTAAAAATTTTGCACGAATACGACCTTCACATGATGGAATCCCTCGTCTACTTTTTGAGCCAAAAGACATTGGTATACTCAGTTCTCCTACTGCATGCCTCAATGATATATGTATCAACAATTGCGCCATTCTCCTGTGGTGCTCTCAGCTGAATACTTCCACTACACAGTGCGCAATGCTCTCTACTCATGATCTTCCCCACATTCATTATAATGCCCCAGACGATATCATCTGGCGCCACACATCGTGGATTCGTTATTGGGAAAAAGACATCTGGGTACTTCCAATTCATCATCCGTCATGCATTGGACACTGAGTGATGTGCATAATCCAGTTGTCGACCAAAGAACTTTACCTTTTTGATAGCATGGGTGATAGGATGCCTTGGCAAAGTGACGTCAAAGTGAGTTTAATTTTAAAGTGTCCTTTTCATCTGATTGATTGGCACCTGATATGAAAGCATATAATAAGACTGATTGCTCGGTTCATTGCAATTGCGCGTCAACATGGCCATCATGTTCATATTGATCTCGAAGGGTGGGTGGCTCGACCATTGAATGTGAGTTGCATACTTGGCTTTCTTAACTAGTTTGACATTATGTATTATTTAGATCAAATGTCTTCAGAATAATGACTTTGATTGTGGCCTATGGATATTGGCTGCAATATTTGCCGTTGTACGTGGCAGCCATATAACAGGCCTACATGAGCGGGACATGGACAATCTGCGATGGTATATGCAGACTATGATTCTTGCATTACCAGCTCTCTCAAGTTACAGTAGTACAAAGTCTACATATATGGATTCTTCCCAGTAATCAGTATATCATCCTCCCTCTGATAATTCAATATCCTTCACGCTACCCATTGGCGATAGCATTCAACCATGACCTTGTGTCTTGTGCATGCCTGCAAGTTGCTGACACGAGCATGAAGCTCATCCAAACCTGTAACTAACTGCTGATGCACTTCTCGGATCTCCTTCAGAACCTTGGAGATTTCACCCATGCTATACATGGCTGTACGGTGGGTATGTGATTCCCTTTCTGCGCGCAAGTGACGGCCATGCATCACGTCCAAGAGATTTTGCATGAAACGGTCTTCCTCTGGTGAGTCAGGTGGAGCTGGAGAGTCGTAAGGAGGGGCTTTGTCCCACTGCAAGAGATCGGATTGATCAATCAAGTCGAATCTGGCGAGAGATTGATGAAACAGATAGGAATCGGGAAGGGAGAAGGTCGAGCATCGGATTAGTGAAGATGTATGAGGATCATGCAGATCCCCAGATATGTTATGAGGCCCACATCGACCATGACATTTGGCATATGCACAAGCATTCTGAGCTTGGCGAACAATTTTACCTCTGCAAAACAAATGATTGCAAAATACTGACTGTTCTGACCGAGCATATGATGCTTTGTGTCGCCGTGCAGCTGCCGATTTCTCTTCAAATGTGAAGTACTTAGCTTTGCGACCCATAGAGACCAGGCAAGTGGGCAAATGGTCAAAACTGTGTGAAGACCAAACTTGATCTTAAGTTCATATTGCGATGTTATCCTGTTACCCGTCAGAATGCAATACAGCCATCAAACACGAAGTTCTGGCCTTTATTTTTGTATTAGCATGATCGGGCGTACTGTGGAAGTCGACGACACCAGTCCAGGCAGCTTGGCTGGCAGTCAATCCCTGTCCATTTGTCTTTTAAATTCAGTGCGATTTGTATTTTCAATTTCATTGGCTCACCAATCACTCCCGGTGACTCGGAGAAAGTCCTCTGAGCTATACTAGTTAGCATATTTCATATTATGTAAAAAGTTGTCACAGTACGACAAACATCATAATGGCATGAAAGTTCAACCAAACCAAATAGACCAATGCTGCTCTACCATCCTCACTATATCATCCTGCGATTTTTGCATCTGCTGCAACCTTTTGTGCATGTAGTTCCACCCTACTCACTTAGTAGCTGCCTTTGGTGTGCCGGGTGGTGAACGGTGTTGAAAGGTGGAGCTCCAATGTGTCCTCTTTAGTCATGTTGCTTTGCGCAGATGTTTTCTGTCCGATCAAAACCTCGTTTCTGCAGTGAATCCCATTACCACCCCACAGGAGCCTCAAAAAGGCCTCCCAATAGCCTCAAGAAGGCCTCCCAGTAGCCTCTATGAGCCCAGGTGAAACACTTAACCCTCTTGGGCCAACTAACCCGCGCTCATTTACCACTTTTGGTAAGTCATAGCTTTTCAGCGCTATTGAAGGAGGTTTCTCTGAACTTAGCAGAATTCCAAAATTTTCCATGGCCTGTTTTTCACGTTATCGATCAACTGTATCTACTATTGCACCTTGCCTGTATTCTGTTGCAGAATGACCGCAATCATATCCAAGTCCTCGCACTTTGTTGACATTGCCATGCAGACAGACGCGCACTCCTTTACTATCACTCACCTCGTAAGTCCTTAGTCAGTTTCATATGTGGATTCTACTGATCGCCTCTAGCTTGTGGACGCAGCTGTGATACCAGAAGACCCAGGAGTTAGTAGTCTCCAAGTTGATGCTGGATGGAAGACCCTTGATGGCATTCCTTGTATCATGGGTGGCCTAACGGCTCTTGTTGGTAAGGTTTGTTGTGTCCTTTTTTCACTGATCTTGACTTTATTTCAGCATCTGTCAGTGGCACCCTGCGTGGGCGTACCCAAAACGATTTCCCTTGGAAAACCCTGCCCAAGGAGCTAGCTCGGCTCGGATGTTGCCTCGTCAACTACCCTAACAAGACTTTGATGCCCGGCGAGACTCGACCTACGCTTTCTCGGAGCAAAGGCATCCATGATCTGACCCTTCCTCATCGTATCAATCTTGTCAATGCGCTCAAGATGGGCACCCTCACCATTCGAGCCGTGACAAATGATGCTGCTCGCACACGCCTTACAATGTCTATGGTGTAGCACTCGAGCTCGCGCTAGGCATGTATTCACTGATTTCCCGATACACGTTTAATGCCCGTTGCTTTCCGATGTAACCCGCACAACCTGACACAAACCCGACGCTTTGACTGGTGGACCCGACGTTTCAGCCGCATCGGACCCAATTTTTTCCCGTGCACTTGTCCTATCCATGTCCCGTCCCGTCTTGCTAGCCCCACTAGGTGCGTAGTTGATTATTTTGCACATTACTCATGTCGTAGCAAGCGCTATTACATGTTTTCCCATCATCCGCAGCGCCTCATGTTAGTTTACATGTACTTCGGACCTGAAATCATCGGCCGCTACTTTCGCCTATAGGGTTCCGGATTTCTACATACTTATATATATATTGGACTGACTACGAGTATTTTCATTATCCAAGTAGTAGGGAGCCATTCCCCGATACTTAGTGGTCAAACCCGATATTTCGTAGTTCTTAGTTGACATTGTGAATATTACCGCTCTTTCTACCCGAAATACCCATCATTATCATATATCCGCATACCGCTCGCTTTCCCAACATTCACTATCGCTATTCCCACAAACCCGCTAAACCCAAACCCGAAACCCGCTAACCCACTAACCCGAAACCTGAAAACATCGGACCCGACACTTTGGCGTCGGACATCGTAGATATACCCTCGGACTTTGTTTCTCACGCTCGGACTTTTGACCATTTATCATTTCACTAACTACAGACCATTCCATATAGCTAACCCCTCGGGTTGAATGCACTTGTCTTGCAAGTAAAGCAGACTAGGCTGTGCACGACCACAACATTTTTATATTGCTGGCTACTTACTTCGTGTAGTGCCCAGCTATTGTTGTATCTCTACAACGGACCCAGTTATTATTGGAGAAGCACCCTCACATCGATTGATCTACTCCTGTGGGCAATGTGCATTTGCTAATGGTGACATTGACTGCAAGGGGCCTCGCCATCTTGCCTCTCCCCCTTCTACACCTCCCACTCATCCTTCTACACCTCCCGCTCGTCCTTCTACATGTGCTGCTCATCCTTCTACATGTGCTGCTCATCCTGCTACATCCCCTACTCGCCGTCATGTTCAGGTCTTTGTAGAGATATCATGCCCGCCACCCCAGCCAGCTTCTAGGGCAGTCTCCAAAGTAATACCACCATCCACCACTCACACCATATCATGCCTGCCACCCTGGCCAGCTTCTAGAGCAGCCTCCAAAGCAACAACATCGTCCATTGCTCACACCACAGATCTTATCCCGCCAATCACTGCCGTCGAGCGGCCTGCATCTTCTTCTGAATATGTTGATGATGACACTCTAGATGAGGAGTCAGATGCTAGTGAGAGTGATCATCGGCCTGCCAAGCGTCTCAGATGGTATAACAGCAAATAATTGAATATTAATGTTTTCAAATGATATAGATAGCATGTTAGTAGAACAAATCTTTTCGAATTCGTACTTTAATTTCTGATGTGGCAACAGAAGTAGACTCATGGTTTCATCAATGTTATATTTAGTCGCAAGATGATATTCATTTCACAGCCTTTCTGTAGCCTCTCGGACCTCCAGTCGGCATATTTGATATCTCGCTGCTTCTACATACAACCATCCTGAGCGCTTATTAGTGCTTGATCGCTGATGCTTGTGCAGTTCCCGGTGTCTTGGGTCACACTTACTATTAGTTGTTATCGCTCCAGGTGTTACCATTCAAAATTCAGGTTGTATTCAGGAATCTCGTACTCGAGTCGTGATCATCATAATGGGATCATGCAAATATAGGAGTGCCTGCCGGTATGTTTCCTGCCTTGTCACTCCTTAACTTACTCACAGAATCCCACTAATTTCACTGGTTCTGAACGACGATTGAACTCATTGTTCGATATCATGTATATTCGCATCATCCTTATGCTCAACGTTATCTGTATTGCTTTGTTCTGAACCCTCTTGTTAGCCTCTCGCGCCTCCTGAGACCCTCACTCACACCCTCATGAACTTGCTGTCTTGGTTGGGTATCTACCGATAAGTCTCCTGCTTTCACTTCTTAATGTACTCACAGAATAACACTAGCTTCACTGGTTCTGAACAACACGATCAAACTCATTTCAATGGAACCACCAGCTCGAATATTTGATTGCAAAGTGAGTCATTTGGCATTATGTATAATGTTATCCTCATTCACTTCATTCTGAACCCTCTTGTTAGCCTGTTGAACTCCTGAGAGCCTCACTCGCACCCTCATGAACTTGTCGGCCTTGGTTACTTATCCAAACAAATTTCAATGTCTTACGTTTGTTTGATTCTGTGCTATTATACCATTCTAACTTGTTGCGCAAACTGCCCAACAGGCAGTCTACAAAAAATTGTCCTCTACTGCGTATTGTACAAGTAAGTAGGCGTGCTCTCATATATTTCTTCTATCATTGACTACATACTGTAGACATGACCCAAAACATCCCTGATGACCTGTCATCTCCTCACCCGAGCTACATGGGTCTATCCCCCGATACCTTCGATTACATGCAAGAGCAGTTCGGCGGTGGCTGTCGATGTGCAATGCCCCCTGTTGAGCTGACTCCCTCTTGACTCAGGAGTAAGCTCAAGGCTACAGCGCGGGATGTCGGCCTTGTCAAAGGTGCATCTACCCACCACCAGGCCTGTCAAAACTGCACTATGGGAGGTCAAGATCCTATATCTGCACACTCTGGTGCACCAGACTTACCTCATGTGGTGCCAGGTGGTACTTTAACAAGCAAAACATCATCGCCAATGGTCCACGCAGCTAGTAGTTGCCATGCCTCACCATGTCCTGCCCCACAGGCTCCTGCACAGCTCCAGGATGTTTTTTTTGGTTCCATGGACCAGCAACACACGTGGATAGATTCTAACTCTGACACCTTTAGCATGATGGGGTCTGAGTCTTTTTTAGCTGGAGGATTGCAAAATCACCTCACCGCACAGGGCATGGAGCACCTAGCACCTCCACCAAGTTACACTTTTCCTGCGAGTTCGTCGGGTCAACCAATGACTTCTCATGGATGCTCACTAGATCCTCATGCTACAGGCCAATACCCTTCTGGCTTTATGGAGGATTTTTCTGGCGAAGTCTCACCGTTCATCCTTCAGCCAGTTCTGTCGTTGTCGTCTCATGATCATCCACTTCCCCTCCCAACCACAAATGTCATTCCACCAACACCATTGAAGGATGGTGGCAGCCAGACTAACACTACCACCTTGACAAATACTAATGGTACTTTGCTGAGTGGTTCCAGTTCGCAGATGGACTTAGAAGGCTATCCTTCTGCCTCTAATGAATGCTTTCCCGAGGAGCACGAGCCGGTGACCCATCAAGAAGGACTTAGGGTTACTGGACGCAGGTCCGCAGAGTTGAATGCAGCACTGGATATCGGGTTTGCTGCAGTAGAGCACTGCTTTCTCGATCTCTCTGCATCCACCACACTCCCTATTTCTCAACTGATTAACTTATTCCTGAAGAGTTGTGGACGCACCATTAATGGTACTAATTATTGGAACCTATATGCCAACTACTTCAAAGAACATATCCAGGCAGAACTCACGCCCATTGGCAGAGAAGCTCCCGCTGGAGGTGGCATGCCCAGTAGGTGTCATATTGTATCTTGTTGCGCAGGATGTTTATGTCCCTTATAGGTGCAACTGTGCGCACGCAATGTTATGACAAATTCAAAGAAGCATATCCTGATTCTTACCAAGATATCCTGCTAATGCACGAGGAGGCATCGCTCCTTGGATCATCGCCTCAAACGATAGCTCAGCATGGACAGGGCTTCCAAAAACATTATCGAAGAGTGATACAGATAGTATGTTTTTTCGCCCGAAGTTCTCTTATTCCCTCATGTTGTTATCATAGCTCGAGTCTGCCGCTGTTAAATTTAGCTTTGAGGCGGCTGTCGTTCTCTGCGGCAAAGTAGTCAATGAAGATGGCTCACTTGGCCACTCATATAACACACCAGGCGCTGTAGGGGTAAGTTTTTTGTGCTCTATGTCCCGACGTATACTTAAAGATACAGTTCTGGGAGACACGATGTCGTGCAAGCGATGATGCCATTGTCAGGCATCTCAAGGTGCACGTTTAGTAAGTGTAAAGATAAATTATGTTTATGCTATGACTAACATCAAAACAGTAATAGTACATCTTTGACTGCAGTGGATGATGCATTCAACGATGGCACCCACAATGACCCTTGGACCCCAAACTCGACTCTGAACCATGATCGTGACCAATCTCAGACTCCCGAGGGACAGGATGACGGTTTGAAATGGATCAAGCTCAAACTTATCAGACAAGTTGGTACGTTAGAATGTCGCTACTCCTTTTATCCATTTGACCTAAACTATGAATAGCCCAACTTGGAGGCAAGTGTGCCTGGGATAAAAACATCCCTTGGAAGGGCATGTCAAGTGCCCTTGCTGATGCCAATCTCTGTATCAGAGGCTATCCTGCTCACAAGTGTCTTTTGCCCAGCAAAGCTCACAATGAAAACTCAAGGAACAAGGGCATCGGAGCACTGATGCAGAAGGAAATTGCAGCACTCGTAGATGGGTTGAAGGCAGGAACTATGCAAGTCGTCAAAGTTGACAAGGCACACCGAGGTGAGTTTTGTTTATGTTATACTATGAACTTTCAGGTTTTAACCTCATGTGTAGCGGCTGTGATGGCCTCTGAGAGGCCAGTCATCACTGGCATAGTGCCACCACCTGAATGGCCACATGATGGCGCTCGACGACTATTTGCTAATGGTGATACTGACTATCATGGCCCAGCTCGTCTCCAGCCTAGCGGTGCAGCTACGAAGGTAAAGAAAGCCACTGATAAGGCACCTCAGGCACCTCTTTGACCCTCCAATGATGACAATGACAATGATTTGGGTGATGATTGCCCGGCAGTACCTGCTGCTCCCAAGTTCCGCAAACCTACCATATGATTAGACCTACCTGCACCACTGCCCTCGCGCCCATTCAAAGTTATTGTACCGCCAAACACACGCCCAGTCAAAACTGTTTGAAAGCCAGAACCAGCTGCAGCAGAGAGTGAGGTTATCGAACTGACTTCAACCGAGGAGAATGCTGTTGAAGAGTCGGATACTGAGTATGAAGAAGTGTGCAGGAAAAAGAGGAAACTAAAGGCCACAAACACATCGCATGCATTGAAGAAGCTAGCTTCATCTGAGGAGAAGACTGACACTTCAAAAGCGGGGAAGAAAGGGACATGGGCTCAGACAAAACCACCCAAAGTACCTCCCATGCTGACCTCAACAACCTCTCTGACAAAGGGTGGTCCTCTGTCCCCATTGACAGTAGGGTCATCAAGTGTGGCGGCATCACCGGAACCTGGAAGTGAGTACACTTGATTCTAACTTGACTCCATTTGACTCAAGGCTGATAGCTGTGGTGCCAGTGCAACTTTGGGATGGACCATCTAATGAGCAGACCAAGGGTAAGCAATTTTCAATCAAATTTGTCTTGTAACATAGCTAATGATCTACTGTCTATCTACCCTCCAGTCAAACCATGCCCAATCACCAAGGCATCCAAAGGAAAAATGAAGTGTGTTCTTTGCATGGCCTACAGCCAGTCAGATGAATCTGAAGTTGACGAGGGCAAGAAGATGGACGTTATGGTTGCCGAGAGTGCCGTCTCCCCTGGTTTAGTCAATGTCCCCATGGAATCTTTACAGGAAGGCTTACCTGAGGTAATGCATGATGACAGGCCAGCAGGAACCCAGCAGGAACTGCCTCAGATCACCAAACCCATCGAGGATCTTCACGATGCTGTTCGCGACTCTTGTGACCCCCATGACCCTCCACACGACCTACACCAAGTTCATCACAAGCTCCCCGTATGTCATGATTCTTGTGAGGGTGTCCAGCAAGACCTTTGCAAGGGTAACCCTCCATGCCACCCACAGGAACCTCATCGGGAGGTCACTCCTAACCCTCGCGACGACCCTCGTGAGGGTGGCCCTCCTCCATGCCACCCACAGGAACCTTATCGGGAGGTCACTCCTAACCCTCGCAACGACCCTCATGAGGGTGGCCCTCTTCGCAACTCCCACAAGCCTCGTCATGACCCTCGCGATGCCTTACATGACACTTGTCAACCTCTTCGCGGTCATTCTCGTGAGCCATGGTACATGCATGATGCCATGCACCATTGTGAAGTTCATCTGCATGAAGAAAGTCCTATGATTGAGCATGATACTCTCCACTCCCGTGATGTCTTCTACCACCGCAACTCTCACAATCACCGCTATGCCAGTTTGCAACCTCGCGACTATTATGGACCCAATGAGCCTCACACTGACAGCGAGTTCACCATGCGGGATACTTCCACGGCCTTAGAGTCCCATTTTATTCACGGTGAGCATGAACGTGCATGCCCAAGCCGATACAGCCCAGTGCTCAGTCCTGACTATGCTCATGAAAGTCGATATGCTCGACGCAATGGCCTTGACAAGCGCCGGGCATTTGGTGGAGGAGCATACCGTGACAGTGGGTACCCTCAAGGTAGAGCTCATAACCAGGATTCCAGATGGATGGACAATGTCCGTAATGTTGCATCTTCATCTTTGGACTACGTTCATCATGACGCTGTCCTGCGAGCATTTAATCGAGATCCCACTAACCCTCTGCATCCTCCTTCATCTTAATCGACTTTTGATATGCCTGTGCTTTTGTCGTTTGTTGGGTTGCTATTTTGGTTCATCTTCTCATGCTTACTTTGTCTTTTTACGGTGATAACTTACTATGGTGGTTTTCTCATCCTACACTTGTCCTGTCCCTTTCGTACCCTACTTATGTAGCTATCCATTAGTTTTTACGATTTCCTCTTGTTTCGACAATGTCAGTATAGCAGCTCCAATGTCTGCCTTGTTTGCTTCAGAACATGTTCGAAACCGCCATGAAACTTAAAGATAACGACACTGCAATGTGATATGTTTTATTACATAAAATGTGACATTCACAACATAAATACAATGAAAAAAGGAAGAAAAAAACAGAACATACAATAAAGGGCGGGGAAAAACATAACATATTGTTGTATGTGTGAGAAGCACAAGAGGCTCCAAATTATGTTGATAAGCGGCGAGACTCTCGATGACATGATGAAAACATAACATAAGTATGAGTGACAAACATAGGAAATATAACATAAAAGCAAGGGGACAGCATAAGGTATGATGTATCGCCAGAGGAGCACAAGAGGCTCCAAATTATGTTGATAAGCAGCAAGACCCTCGATGACGTGATAAAAACATCACATAAGTATGACTGACAAACATAGGAAATATAACTTAACATAAAGGCGAGGGGACAGCATAAGGTATGATGTATCGTCGGAGGAGCACAAGAGGCTCCAAATTATGTTGACAAGTGGCCAAGACCCTCAATGATGTGTTGGAGGTTCAGCACCGTGATCTGCAATAATCAGAGCCAACCCTCCAACGAGGCCCATGAGGGTACACTTGTTACTCTTAAGGAATTGAGGGAGACCCTCCAGGGAGAGGGATGTCTCAGAGACATGTTGTGTCCTACAAGGAAACTGGGTCTGACAGACCGTGGGAAGCACTAGAAAGTGCTGCCAAGGGTGCTGATCTATCCTCTTCTCTGCTGCTGCTGCGCGAACTCTGAGCAGGCTCGCAAACACCTCATTTTCCTGTATCACGCAGTCTGCAAGCTCTTTCTGAGCAAGGAAGACATCACGCTTGGCTCTTGCAAGATCCAGCACAAGGCTTGCCTCAGTGTTAGTTGGTTCATGGACTCCGGGCTATTCCAATATAAGGCGTAATGAGAAATGGCGGAACACCTGTTCATGGCAGAGTGATGTAGGCAATGTCATGGGTACCAGCGACCCACGTGGGTCGTGGGTGTGGGTGGGGGTATGCACTTCAGGTACCCACACCCATACCTGTACCCCTATGGTGGGTATGTAAGCAAAATGTTATATAACTCCGATACTGTACCAAGTGTGAACCTTAAAAGCTTAACTTAAAGCATGATACCAATTAACAGAAGGATAGCCAACAACACTAACAAGCTATCATGCATTCAACAATTCTCAAAAACACTACTAAATGTATCACCAAACTTACAGATAAAGCAAAGGCAGCAGTAGATGAGAGGCTCGAAATCACATCCAAAAAAAGAAAGAATACTGATGGTAGCAACGGAACAATACACGCACAGCCAAAGAAGGCCAAGTCAACCCGGGAACATTGCACTAATGGTGTCAAGGAAGCACCTCATAACGTCCCAGCATCAACTGAGCCTCACGGCAGAACCATTGAACAAGCCCCACCTAAAGCCCATCCAGCACCGAGCCGACAAGCAGTGGTCCACTCTGAAGATGAAGATGAAGTGTTGAATGACGAGGCAATTGTGATCAGTGATGAAGAAGAGACTGCCAAGGAGGAGCTTGGTGAGGGGCCAAGTTCAAGTTCTATGTATAAACTAACATTAGTCACTACAGAACGATTAATGAAGGAGTGGAACTCACCGATCTATGCTTTTTTCGATCCCACACCCGCTATCGAGATCATCCATGGACATCGTGCACATGCGTTCAAGTGCATGGCAAAGGGATGCAAGGTCCAAATTCATCAGTTCCTCGATAAGAAAGATGCTCGCTCGACAAGTAACATGCAAAAGCATGTCAAGTCTTGCTGGGGGGATGAGGTTTTGCAGGCTTGTGATGATGCAAATAACGCGGAGGAAGTGCAAACCAAGATCGTCACGAGTATCCTGCAAAGCAGGTCAATTACAGCGTCATTTGAGCGTAAAAGAAAAGGAAAGGTGACCTACTCGCATAGGCAGCATACTCATACCGAAATGAAGTAGGTCCTTGAGCTTCATGTGGACAGTAGTTAACATGCCATCTTGCAGGGCTAAGTTAGTTCATTGGGTTGCGGAGAGCCTGAGGCCATTTGACATAGTCAAAGATAGAGGATTTCAGTGTTTAATGAAGACTGGAAGACCGGAATACTACATACCTTCCCCACAAATGATATCGCGTGATGTGAAACTTGTGTTCGCACAAATGCGCAAGCGAATTGCTAAGATGTTGGGAGTGAGTCAATTTTCATTTGTTCAAAGGTTAAAAGAAATTAAATGTACCAGGAATACGAAGGCAAAATGAATTTTACCACAGATGCATGGACATCTGAGAACCACCGTCCATTTGTTGCGTTTTCGGTGCATCTAGAGCATGAAGGTGTCCCGCTGAGCTTTCCATTAGATATCATTGAGGTCACCTCGGTATGAATTTACTTACATTGACGACGGTGCAAAAAATGACTTGTTGGTACTAGTCCCACACTGGGGAGCAACTCGCGATTGTATTCGCAGATATGCTAAAGGAGTTTGGGATATTAGAGAAGGTAGGGTATGAAACAGTAAAACAAAACTTACACACTGACCTGACAAACAGATGTTGAGCGTGACTTGCGACAACGCATCGAACAATAATGTGATGGTTGACAAGCTTGAAATATTGGTTCCCGAGTTTGCAGGGGAGGCAAGTCACACCCGGTGCTTTTTGCACACCGTTAATCTCGTCACAAAGTCGTTGATACGGGAATTCGATGTGTCGAAGAAAGACACTGAGCATGCATTGGACGAGTGGGCTGACACCGAAGATGGCGAAGATAAGCTCATCGAGCTGAGTAATGACATCGAGAGGGAAGATCGAGAGACGGACACCCAGTATAGTGAGGATGACCCGCAAGATAACAATGACAGGTGGGTGAATGAGGTGGATCTGTTGCCGAAGGACCAATCCACAGAGCTGCGAAAAAACATAAGACCCGTTAAGTTAGTTCTCGTCAAGGTGTGTTAGGATACATACAAGCTCACCTGTATATTGACAATGTCTTTGTACAGCTGCACAAACTCGCCTATAAGATCATCCACTCAACGACACTCCTCCTCCCTGTCTGGCATGACATCCTTCGGGATCAGCACATGTCGGTAATGAATATGCCGCGCGATGTCTCCACTCGTTGGAACTCGACCTACGATATGTTGCAGTATGCCCTCGTACATCAGGATGCGATCAATATTGTGACCCAGCGACGAGAGCTGGGTCTGCGAAAATTCGAGCTGGCTGACAATGAGTGGGAAATCACATGACAACTTTGTGACATATTGAAGGTGTGTGAGTTTGTTTCATAAGCAAACATTGTGACTTACTGGCGGCTAAGGTTCTCAAGGACGCTACCCTCTTCTTCTCTCACTCCACCCCCAATCTTGTGACCGTTATACCTGCAATGGACTTAATTGACCAGCAGATGATGATGTATTCTCGTGATACGAAAATTTTGCCGTCAATTCGCTCTGCCATTGGACTCGCCAAGAAGACACTTGACAGATACTATCAGTTGACGGATAGGTCAGAGGTGTATAGGATAGCCATGGGTAAGTCTCCTGTCTATTGACTTATTAACACTGATGGTTTTTTGATTATAGTCTTACACCCACGCCATAAACTCTCCTATTTCAAGTCTGCAGGCTGGGAGGATGAATGGATCAAGACCGCGGAAGATCTTGTCCACGATGAGTTTGAGCATGCCTACCTGAATATGGAGATTCGAGATGACACCGATGGTGAGGTCGAGGCCAGCATTCCAGCTACACCAGCAGCAGATACCTCTTGCTCAGTGTGTTTCTTGATCCTTGTCATTCCTATTACCATGACTGACCATTTTATTCTACTTAGAATATTTTTGACAAGATGCAAGCACTCACGCCACCTAAGTCGACTGACTTGGGAAATGAACTGGACCGCTACCTGAGCACTGATGTCGAGAATGTTTCTACTAATGCTATTGCATGGTGGCATGAGCAACGCACTTCTTATCCCCACCTATCACGCATGGCACTCGATTACCTTACAATTCCCAGTATGTTTGACTCATTACTCAATTGTGGATTGTTCTAATGATTTGTAGCTACATCCGTAGACATCGAACGTCTCTTTAGCCATGGTAGGCTCCTTCTCTCGCATGTTCGTTCACGTTTGTCCGCACAGTCAACACAGGCATTGTTATGCCTCAATGCTTGGAGCCGTCTGAACCTTGTCAAGACAGAGGATGTACTGCACGTCTCTGCCTTGCCTGACATTGAGGGTGATGTTGAGGAGGAGCTCGAGGATGGGTGGGACAGGATCGTGTTGAATTAACCTAGTACTTAGTTTACATTTTTGTTTTGTTTTTGATCTATGCTAGTGTATACCCGCGGGTATACCCCTCATGGGTGTACCTGCGGGTGCGGGTGATGCTTGCGACACCCACGGGTATATCCGTGTCATTGCCTAGAGTGATGCATAATCATGGCTGGTAAGACAGGCCATACTGTAAGAATGATACATTAAATGTCTGCTATAGCAAGGCAAGCCAGATACAATAATTCCTATAGTCCATAGATACCTATCATCATAGGGCTGATATATCAGTGGAGGATCCTGTCAGGACACTCCCATAATAACATTACACCCCCTAATTTTTGCATTTTTGGCCACCTACTGTGGGAATTTCCCCACAACACTTAAAAATAGGTTTCTCCTCATATCAGGGCCTTCCCAAATTATTCCCACACTCTGCATTTTTCGCATTTTTAGCCACTACACCCAAAACATTACCCATTTGGGAATCTCCACAATATCAATTATTCCCACACCCTCCCCACATCATTGCAGCTTCACCACCACACCACAATAGCTCCCCCTTTATATATATGTATAATATAATATAATAGACTGCTTTTGTTTGTTTGTTTGTGTGACTGCTCCTCCTCCAGGGGCAATTCAACATAGGGTAGGGTACAAAACACTTTCGCATTTTTGTCCCTTTGGTGGGGAAGTGTTCTATGAGCATATATGAGTAGATTCCCATCTTTATTTGACCCCCTGAAGCGTCCTACATCAATAGATATAGTACATATGCAAGAAAACACAGAATATGTTCTCATTTAATTATTTCTAGGTGAACAGACTTGGAAAATTGATTCCCAGCATCTATTCAACAATAGGAACAATATATCAGGAGCCCAGGCCCATAGGATAATCCCCTGTTGCATGGTGTGCCCCTCCTCTCCTGGTGGTTTACCCCCTGTGAAATTTTTTCCTGTAGGACCGGACCTCAATTGAGGTAGGGGGTCTATTTTTATGTATATTTGTAGTAGATCTATCATATAGCTGGCCCAGGACACACATATAATCTTGTTACAAGAACAAAAACATAAAAAATCACACTTTTGACATTTTTGACATTTTTCAGTATCTTATACTTGCATAAATGACCAGCCCTGCTCATATATAATCAGTAGTACATTCACACATATGTTCTATGCCAAGGATCAGCCCTACATGGAGTGCAAATTTGATATCTGATATACAGGGGGTATTTCTACTGATAAGAAGTCCACATAGTAATTGAGCCTATGATAAGTGATCAGAGACCTGGAATATCTCTCATATATACCCCTAATAATGAATCTGAAGTTTTAGAAAGATCCATGAAGGACTGACTGAATGAAAAGTAAAATAACATATGTGTGAAAAGTGACAATTGACATCTTTTTACACAAAGTCACATTTATATATGGTACAGGTCCAATATTTCATTGAAAATATATAGAATACATGTTAGACTACTAAAGAAACCTATACTACATACTGCCCTGAGGTTGGAGGGTGGTGGAAGGGATGTAGTATATATCTGAGTTAACCTAGCATTAAAGTCCTACCACTGCCATTTCGATGTTTTGGGTCTTTGAAACTTTCCCACACTCCATTCCTTATCTATTTCACTTCCTCAGTACTCAATTCTTGTTAGATTATTTCGGGAATTTATACACATGATACTGAATGTATTTGAAATCTACTCCAGGTGTCTGATTATTAAATTTCGATGTTTTGAAAGTATGGGGTCCTTATCAGTAGAAATACCCCCTGTACATCAGATGTCAAATTTGCGCCCTATATAAAGCTGATCCTTGATGTAAACCACATGTGAAAATGTACTACTGATGATATATGAGCAGGGCTGGCCATTTATGCAAGGGTAAGATATTTAAAAACATCAAAAATGTCAAAAATATGATTTTCTATGTTTGTGTTCCTGTAGAAGAATCCTATGTGTCCTGGGCTAGCTATGTGATATATATACTCCAAATATACATAGAAATAGACCCCTCACCTCAATTAAGGACCAGTCCTACAGGAAATTTTTTTACAGGGGGTAAACCACCAGGAGAGGGAGGATACACTACACAACAAGATCTTTTCCTAAGGTCCTGAGCTCCTAATACATTGTTCCTACTGTTTAATACATGATGTGGATCATTTTTACAAGTCCATCTATCTAGAAATAATCAAATGGGAATATATTTTGTACTTTCATGTATATATGCTGTATCTATTTATGTAGGGTGCTCTAGGGGGTGAAATAAAGATGGAAATCTCTTCATATATACTCCTAAACATGTTCTGAATTCCCTAGAACACTTCCCTATCAAAGGGACAAAAATGCGAAAGTGTTCTGTATTCCACCCTATGTTGAATGGTCCCTGGAGGAGGAGCAGGCACACAAATGAGCAAAAAAAGTGGTCTATTATATTATATTGTGTATATATATACCAAACTACTACTTAGATACAAGAGGGGGCCTATTGTGGTGTAGTAATGAAGCTGCAGTGAGGTGGGGAGGCTGTGGGAATAATTGATATTGTGGAGATTTCCAAAATGGGTGATGTTTTGGGTGTTGTGGGGTAATTCCCACGGTAAGGGGCCAAAAATGCGGAGTGTGGCAATAATGTAGCTGAGCTCCAAAGTTCTACAAAAGGCTCAATGTGATGCAGGCACCATTATGCATAAAGTTGCTAAGGTGGAGGGATTAGCAACAACCATACATAACCATGCATGTCTTACCAGCCATGATTATGCATAAATATGTCAGTATAGCCTGCTCATAGATATTAATATCAGCACCTGAGTGCCATGGCACTAGTTCCAAATCATTGCCCATCGTGCGGAAAGCAATTCAAGGACCATACCTCCGTTGCTCGTCATATGAGTCAACCTCGTTCTGGCTGTAATAGCTGGCTAGACAACTTAATCCAACTCAACTCCATCTTGCCACCTAGTATGGAACATGATCCCATGGTGGTGGACGACATCGACGACCCTCAAGTAGATGCGAGTTTCTATGATTTCTGGAGTCAAGGAGAGGATTTGTACTCTGAAGGTGGAACTCGGGATGAGGACAGTGAGGTCAAAGCAACCGACTATTTTCTGGAGCCCCCGCTGGCTTTCGAAGAAGGTTACACATTTTTAAGCTTATTCAATGCTGATGAAAACAGTATATATCACAAAACAAATTTCTACTATCCATTCAGTGGTAGGAGGGAATGGTGACTTGCCATGTGGCTTCTGTGTTCGGGCTTGAGCATGGAGAAAATAAATTCTTTTCTAGCACTAGAGATGGTCAGTGTTTGATTTAATATTGTCATGATCACTTCTCTGAGACAGTACTTAGATCAATGACCTACCTTTATCCTTCCATTCAGCAAAAGAGCTATGTGGTCAAGCTGAATTGCTGCCTAGTGGTCTGTGTTGGAAGTCCCAGGTTATTCAAATGTCGCATCCCACAAAGTCTCCAGCTGTTCTTTACTGGCGGGATCCTCTTGAATGTATCGCTACGATATTCAACCATCCTTTATTTTGCAATTGTCTCGACTACACGTCTCGCAAGGAGTATAGCACAATGCAGAGGCACTCTCGGATATATACTGAATGGATGATGGGTGATCATGCCTGGGAGATGCAGGTATGTATTAGTCCCTCTTAAAGTCATTGTCTCATTTATTCTTGAAGTCGACACTTCCCTGTGGCGCAACTCTCCTTGGAACTATTCTATCATTGGACAAGACATGCATTACTGCATTGTCAGGTGATCGTGTCGCACACCCTCTCCTCATCAGCCTCACCAACATCTACATGACCACGCTGTAGAGACTGACATCTCTGTGGCCTCGTAGAGAGCTAATTCTACAACACCCTAAACACCTTCCAAACACAGTGCGACCCGTACCTCATGTCGGCGCACTTGGCGCTTCATCGGCCGCTCGCGCATTCAGGCGCTTCAGTCGCACATCGGTCCATGTATCCTCGATTCCATCGCTCATCCTCCGTCCATCCATTCCATGTCCGTTTGGTTCGTCGGTGCATATTCTTATCTTATTCTCATGAATTCTGACATATCTCTGGCACTTGCGCACATATTCCGTATGTTTCGTCACGGACCCTTATTACATATCATCACATACTCACTTTGCTTTCCGGCTCGCTTAAATGCTACTTAAAATATATATCCCTTTGCCTTTTGTATAAGGATTATCTTCTTCTTCCCGCACATCGTTGGACTCTAAGTCTAAATCTCTGTCATATCTGCCGACCGACGCTAAGCGCCAGAACTCATATGAGTGCCAGTCCATATATTCTTGTACACAAACATTGTCTTACTCGTTCCCCGACTCACTTAAGAGTTGCTGCGCTCCACCACCCACATGCGCGCTTCGCTCTCACTCAGCGCGCGCCATCGCACTTGTCGCTCAGTAGCGCTCCGTAGTGCTTTCGCTTATCGCGCTTCGCTCATCGTCGCACGCCCCACCAGGCTTATCTGACAGCCCGGTTCAGTGTTTCCCTCCACTATTATATATAGAGGAACCTTCTCAGTAGCAATCCCCTTGGGCCGACATTAGATTCGCACACAGAGGACCATCTGAGTATATCTCATACCACTCACTTTCTATCATTCTACATTCCTCACCTACAATGCGACTCAAATAATCCTCCAATGCTTTCCTTCTTACTGCCCTACCACTGGTCGCAAAATTTGTTCACAAAAACAAATGAATGAGAGATGTGTTGCAGGATCAGCTCATTCACAATTGCTTGAACATCGTACTCGAACCATTGAAGTTCACTGCTCGAAACAGTGTGATGATGTCAGATCCTATGGGTCGCAGTCATTACTGCTTTACTATGCTTGCTAGCTATATTGCTGACACCCCTGAAGCAATGATGCTGGCATGCATTGGTGGCAAGACATCTCCAGTGACAATGGCAATGTACAAACAATTCAGGGACCCCTTCCAGCATGAACCCTGGACTCGAGCAAAAACTCTTGAGCAATTGAAAATTGTGCGCTCACGTGCTTGTCCAGATGATCTTGAAGCATTTTTCCGTGAGGCACAGAAGTTTTGCCTAAATGGCGTGGATGAACCATTTTGGTGGGACTGGTTGCTAGCAGAACCGTCCCGGTTTTTACACCCAAATCGCTTCACCACATTCACAAGGAGTTTTGGGATCATGATGTGCAATGGATTATTCTTGCAGTGGGAAAGTCTGAGATAGATTTTCAATTTTCAATCATATAGCCCACTACTGGTTATCGGCACTTTCATACAGGTATCTCAAAACTTAAGCAGGTTACAGGCCGTTGTCACCGAGATGTCCAGCATTCAATTATTGCAGTCAGTGCGGATGCAGCACCTCCCGGTGTTGTTGTTGCTGTACGTGCGCTCATGCACTTTTGATATCTTGTGCAGTCGCCATCTATTGATGATAGGGATCTTACTTGCATCACAGCCGCACTGGATGAGTTCCATGCGAACAAGCACACGATCATTGCTGCTGGTGTCCGCCAGGGCAAAGGTGGTAAAGTTATCAACAACTGGCATATTCCAAAACTCAAGCTTATGCAGAGTATTGTCCCCAGTATCCGCAACTCCAGCATCATTGCACAGTGGTCTGCGGATGTCACTGAACATGTGCACATCACCGAGGTCAAAGACCCCACAAGATCCAGCAACAACAACAATTATGACCCACAAATCTGTCGTTACCTTGATCGCGCTGATAAATGCAATTGATTTGACCTCGCCACAAGCCTGTTAGATCACTCGGAGGACCCGGGAGTTGTTGGGGAGGAATTTGTCGAGGATGACGAAATCGATTATTACATGGATGACATTCCTGCAGAGCTACTGTCCCCAACTCGAAGACCTGGACGGCCTCGTCCTATCACAGATTACTTTTCAATCGCCAAAATACTCCAACAGAAGGAAGTTGGATCAGTACCTGTACCACTTCGTTCTTTTGTTGTCAGACGCACCACTCTTCATCTTGCTTACAATCCATCCATCAAGAATACCACTGTCCATGAAGTTGCCATCATGTTCAGCCTTCCTGACTTGCGACCTGCTATTGCTGATTTTCTTTACCGTGAAGCGACCTACGGTAGTCACATTCACTCGATAGGTGGTCCTAGAAGGGCTGTGCATGACACCAAGCTCCCATTTGACAAAGTTCAAGTGTGGTTTGAAGTTCGTTTGCAGGAGACCGAGTTTCATGATCCTCATATCATTCGACCTGCTCAAACACTTAATTGTGCACTGCCTAGTGACCCTTGGACATTAGATCATTATGATACAGTTATCATTCAGACCAGCTCAGGGCACTCCTGGCCTGCCAGCGGCCTTTCAGGTACATTCTTTCTGTTTTTCATGGTAATCTTCACTAAGCCAAATAATGATCCCCTGCAGGGCACTCCATTGCACAAATTAGGCTTGTCATTCGCCCTGTTGGCAAAAGCAAGACACGATGGGCATGGGACGATCAGTACTTAACTTACATCCAATGTTTTGATATTTCCAGTGAACACAATCTGACCACTCAATTGCACACAGTGAAAAGAGCAAAAACGCTCTAATGGTACACAGATGGGCGACATCATTCCAGTCTCTCAGTTTAAAGTGCCTGTCCATCTCATTCCTCGTTTTGGCGCTACTGCAGACACGCATCTCACGGCGCACAATAGCATGGAACATGCCACAGAGTTTTGGCTGAATTATTTTTGGGACAAACATGCCTTTTTTGCACTATACGAGTAGTACTTGCACCAAGTCTATACTTGATATGCACCATTTTCATAGGCTAAAAGATATACTATGTACTATTCAGTATTCTGTTGTTGAATGTCATTGTTGCTCTTACCTGGCACTAGCTTGAAATCATGGCACCCACAGAACACAGTAAAACCGTAGACTTTGGGATGAAGTTAGCATTGCTGATGTCGGCTCCCTGCATCGGTGATGTGCCTACACTGGATAAACTCACCGATCTCAAGCTTAATCACTTAATTGTCGAAGAAGAAGAACCAGCTGATGCTGAGCAGCCTCTCAGTTATATGTTATCATGGATTTTTAGGACATTCACCCTTGAAGTCCCAGACATCACAGAGCTCCAGGTTCCATTACATAAAATTCATTATCGTGACTCCAGACTACACGATAAATTTGCTCACCTCGATGAACAGTCCATGGTTCCCTTGTATGACGACATCAACTATAGATGGAACTGGGCCCTTCCAAAGTCGCACCGTGAATCGGGCATTGATCAACTACCCGATCTTGAAGAGGATGGAGACGGAGAAGAGAATAGCGGGGGAAACTTGGAGTTTGGGAGTGGTGGGGAGAGCCCATCAACTCAAGAGCACCCTCCGGGGGTCAGCACTACTGGCAATGACAGCCTCAAACCACACACATTGGAAGATATCTTCTCAGCGTCCTTTAACATCACATGTGCTGCTGTTGCCCAGAAGAAGCGAACAGAAGTTATGGCGGCAAATAGCGGAGCAGTCGTTCACATTTGGAGTGCACACAACTCCATGTGCCCCATGAAGGATCAAGAAGTCTCATGGAAGCCTGACCTTGCGTTGTTGGATGATGTGGAGGCTCGCTGGGATACCATTAAGGCAGTTTGTGAGTTGACGTCGCAACTCTACACACCCACAGGCACGATTGGAAAGATGATTGACAACAAGGCTAACCTTCTCCTGAGACACCAACCTTGGAGGCATTTTGTCTAGAGTTTTAAGGTCCAGTTGCTGGACCGGAAAAAGACCACAACTCAACTGGACCTGCACTTTTGAAAACCAGACCGTGGTTGCGGTTGCCACAGATTCTGGACACACCGGTTGCCGGTTGCCTCATATAGACAAGAAACACAAGATCAGTACAAGACTGGTTGCAACCAGTCTTTGTAGGACCGGTTGCCCTATCATAATCTTGAAGCATGAATACATAAAACTATTGTAGTAGTACAGTGACACGACAAAAACTAAGCACTTGTGCCAACTTGAATGATCTCATCTTCACTATGTTCCCATTCGGAAATCTTGTTGTCAAGCTGCAGTAGCTTCCTGAATTCCTCTTGCTCAACCTCCTCCACAATTGCAGAATTCTCAGCAGCTTTGTCAACTATAGATGTACGCCATGCAAATTTCAGTACCTGTAACTCTTCAAAGTGTTCAGTGCCTAGACGAGAACGTCGGTCAGTTGCTGTCTCGCCACCAGCTGAGAAGAGACATTCGCAAGGCACAGAGGATGCTGCAATGGCGCAAACATTTTTCGCAATGCTTGCAAGGATTGGATAGACAGTGACATGTTTCTAAAATTCTGAGTTAGTAAATATTACAGTAGGGATTTGGGTGACTTACCAACCACCATTCAATAATGTCAGTATCTTTGGAGACATCGTCTGCCATATCGTTAAGGTAGCGTCGAAGTTCTGCACACCACCCAGCATCATGCTCGCGTGATGCCTGGTCTATTAACATGTGACCAAACAGTTTCTAAAACTGGCTTTGTTGACTAAAGCTGGAGACTTTGTGCGGTTCCAACACAGTCAACTCGACACGTATATCTCTACAGGCATTATCACTCACTTGGTCATCACATACAACAAACTTTGCAATGGCACACAGAACTTCATCTTTTGAGAACTCCTGGGGTATTATTGCGCCCTGGAACATTCCATCCAATTTCTTCTGGCCACCTTTCATTTGTTTGTTTCCCTCTTGCGCTGCTTTGACGAATGCTCGTGGAATGGCGTGGTGGTTTTCAGGAATCTTCAGCGCCATACACTTCTGTTTATACACTGCATAGTGCCCCCGAATGTGCTGCCTACACGAGGAGTTGCTACCCACGTGGAACATCTTGCGGCAGCCATGTTTTTCAACATACTTCATATCGTCCCTTTGAATTCCAGGTAAGTTGTAATTGATCTTTCTTGGAGATGGCACTTGCTTACTTGCATATCAAACACCAGCGGCCCACTTTCATTTCTACCTCCCCCATTGTGCTCACAAACTTTACAGTACATCTATCCGAGAAAATAGTAAGCAGATTGTCAGCGCTATTCTTTATTTTGATTTCATCTAGTGCTATACTAGCAGGATCATGTTCTGAGTTGCCATCACCACCATTCTGCAACATTTAGAGGATTAGACGCTTCCCAGGAAATGAAGGACAAATCAACTAACATCTTCACCATCCATGATACCTGGCCCACCTCTGTCGAAGACATCTGGTTCTTCCTCGTCGTCTGTGGTGCTATCTTCAAGTTGTTCAATGACCTCGGTGGGCACATGGCTTTTGTGACGTGCTCGCTTGGACTCAGATGCCTTTTTCCCCGAGGTACGTGCAGCATTGACAATGCTATCATCTGAGTCCTCTACTAAGTTGTCGTCGCTAGAGACAGCTTTCCATTTTGTAGATTTCTTTGGTGATTTGGACTTTGGTGCTTGTGCCTGAGTCTTGGTGATGCGAGGCTGTGTGGATGATGCAGCAGCTTTTTCAGTGGGTTTCCTTGGACGGGTTGATATGCAAGTGCCTGCCATGGTTGGGGGAGGCAAGAGACATGTAGTAGACAACACTTCTTATACATTCAAGCCAGCTGTAGTACATGAGGCTTAGTACGTAGTATTAACTTGGTCTTTTTCAGTCCAGGACTGGTTGCAGTGTCAACCGGTCCTGACCGACTGCGAGACTTCTTGAGACCACTGGCAACTGGTTTTGGTCAGTCTGGTCCAGGTCTTACCTCTAGGGCCTAAATATAAAGACCGGTTTGGTCCGGTTGCACCCAAAACAAGGCAAAAAACCGAACTGGACCGGACTTTAAAACTCTAGTTTTGTCTTACTTTGCTCCCTTACCAATGGATATCGCGAACTGCGAGTCCACATGTACGACCATGCAGGTGGTGTCATGATGCCTCCCATCCATATCGACAATGCTCCAAATCATTACCTGCAAATCTTATCCAGCATTGTCTTCGGTAGTCTTAAGTGTATTGGGTACGATACTTCCATCAGTATATTTACGAAGACGCTTCGCCCTGCTCAACTTGAAAATCCAACTTCTCTCCCTTCTACGAACAAACCAACCACACAAGCTCAAGTGAACAGTCCCCAGACAGGAGGTCGGATCGAAGGCACTGCAACACCTGAGTCTGATTTGGGGATGGACTCAGACATGGAGATGGGCTCGGACTTAGAGGAAAGCCTCCCTATAGACCCCCCTCAGTTAGAAATACTCCAAGATCCTTTTTGTGCAACTTATTCAACCCCGATCAGCAGGATCATAGTCAACGACCACGCATATGATATTCTCAAACTCATATTCTCGAGTCAGGGGCTCATTGGGCGTGGTACCGTGTGCTATTTAGCCAGGAGGAATGATAAAGAATATATCATCAAGGATCATTGGGTCCTTGGGGGTAAAGATGTTGCGTTGAATGAGGTTAAAATGTTGTGGAAGATGCAAGGGGTCCGTGGCATGCCAGAACTGGTTGAGTATTGGCTTGTCAAGATTATGCCCAATGAGGTTGATGAAACAATGAACTATTGATACAAGGTTTTGGGAAGTATCAGAGGCACCTCTCATATGCATGTTCATTTGGTTTTGAAGCCTCATGCGCAACCTTTGCATGCATTCCGGACAAGAGTAGAGCTGGTGAGCGCTCTTCGGGACATCATCAAAAGTATGTATTTGTTTATGTCTGATCCACTCTGTGTTCTAATGACATGTTTCTCAGTTCAACAGACAGCGGTCGAGGATCGTGGAATTCTTCACCGTGATTGTTGTCTCAATAATGCTATGATTGAGGATAACGGCAATGGGACCCGTGGACTCTTGATTGATTGGGAATTCACGGTGCATATCTATGCTGACCAAAAATATGTTATTGGTGGGACAGTCAGTACTAATTATCTTCTACAAGAATTCATGCTCACAGCAAATATTAGGGCACATTGCCTTTCATGTCACGTTCACTTCTGTGGCAGCTTTCAGAGGCTGTTGGCAACCCTGCAACATCTGCTTGCAGCTGGAAGGTGAAGGTTGCCATGTCTTCCCTTGCAAAACTGCCCCCCCTCATCCAACATCACTACCATGACGATTTGGAGTCGCTTTTTTACATCTTGGTGCACATCTGCATTGAATTCAGGGGTCCTCTTGGAGTTAGACGTGATCTCTCAGCTGATAGGAGTCAAGAATGGCTACCGCATCTATGGTCTGCTGGCACATTACAAGTGGGCGGCGATTTGAAGACTTTGTTTTTTTTTGCACCCAAATGTGCACAAACTCCAGAAACAATTCCACCCCTACTTCAGGATGCTACTCCCACTTGCAATGCAATGGTACCACCTGATCAGGAACAAAGGTCCATTGAATGCAGTAACATTCCAGGAGGTCCTTGATCTGTTGGAAACACATCTTGCCAAGCTTCTGAAGAATGAGCCTTCCCCCAAGCTTCTGTTCACAAAGAGGGTTATTGCAGCACTGCCAAAAAAGAGACAGGCAAGTGACTTTGAGGATGATGATTGGGATGATGATCATCTCAACCAACCATCAATTACAGAACATACTAACCAGATTCATGGTCAGATGGGCTGGACAATGGAAGTCATGCCCCAGTCCAAACAGAGCAGAACTACATAAATTTACTACAATCGTGATAGTTAATACCTTCATCCATAGAGTAATACCCCCTCCCATGTACCGTTTGACATTGAAATATTCTCACGCAAAGTTTGAGTCATAATATGATATCTCACGCTCGGCCCTACTTGATACACTCACTACACACGTTTACTCCCAGCCTATTGACTGACTGACTCCTCATATGAGACTCTTGGACTCAGCTAGCTTCTCATCAACCCCATTCGCGACCCCCAGGCTGCACTGTATTACATTTGGTGCACTTCAAGTTGTCCAATGACGTATTTGGTTATAATTATTTTCAAGCACTTTTCAAGCTGTGATGGCAGATTATATTTAAAAGTGAGTATCAGTAAGTCATAGGTACAGTGGCTCATTTCTCCCCCTTCACTAGTCATGCCTGGAAGCCCTAAGAAAAAGAGAATGAAGCGCAAAGCTACGGACTCTGATCTCAAGGCGCTCAAAGGACAAACAGCTCTAGCAAAAAGAGTGCGTGCTCGGGCTAATGCACTGTCTGCATCAATTCTTGATCAAGGAGCTGATTCACAGCCTCCTCAATAATCAGGACGCCCAGGCGCAGGGACAGGAGGTAGGGGAGCTCAACTGGAGAAACTAGGCGATATCTTGCATGCTCCAGTGCGGATCAGCCAATCCAAGGGTGCCACCTCACTTGATATGAACGCTCCTGCAAACCCTCTTGCTCCTGAACCAACTCACAAGGGTCGCGGGAGTCATTTCAAGGTATCTTTTCTCTTTGTTCATGTTGAACAATACTAAAGAGACATAGAAGAAACAACCCCCTCCGCCATATAGCCCTTCAGTGGAACTGGACACCACGACTCTGAAATCACGCTCAAAGAAAAACAAGGTGAGTTTTTACTGTGTGAACAATCACATATTAATTCATATATGCAGGATACTATCGTTTCTGCCCTGAGCTTCGAACTTAACCATCAGCCGACTTTTTTTCAGCAGGAAGCTGGGGGACGATACAGATTTTCACCACCAATTGTCCCTGCTGGTACAGAGCCAGATCTTCAAGCATTGAACAACTCCTTTGTGGCTGCAGCCAAGAAGGCACATGCCCTGCCCGATTCCCATTCTTCTCTAAGTCAAACTCATGTTACTACTCTTAACATATCCCAACTTCAGGTTCCTGTCACTACTCATAGCGTCCAAGATCCTATACTTTCTGGAACCAATTCATCTGCAGTGCTACCGGATGTGAACTTCTACCAGAACTTAGATCCTGCCCTCCGGCTGCCTGTACCACAAAGTATAGAATCTGAACAGTTTGACACATCAAAAGACGATTCATCTGGCTTGGATAAAAGTAGCAGGGATGAGCAAATTGGTTGGGGAGAAGTTCACAGGTGTCATAGTACACACCCTGGTAAGTTGCATCCTATTTACATTTAGGTTGAGCTGAAAAGTGACAGGTTTTCCGAGAGAAGGCTCACCACCTCAACCTCGGATGGTCACCACTCTTCCAACAGATTTCAAATTTCAGCACTCTCGTGACGAAGGTGATGAAGCAGCTGAAAACATTTTGGGAGTTGGTGATGATTTGAGCGAGGATTCAAGCGATGATGGTATGGCGATGAATCAAAAGAGTGCCCCCCAGGTATAAGTCTACTACTCTTTTGGAGTATGCTAATCTGTTGTTCAAGCCAAACAACATTTTGAAGCTTCATCACAAAAGAAATGGCCACCCCCGACTTCCTGATCCCACTCTCCTGGAGCTTCTCCATGTTGCTGAGATCGATACCTCCAACTCGAAGGCGAAACATAAATTGAAGGTGGTCGATGGATCTGACGATGAAGGGCCAAAGGCCACCCAGCTGGGTTGGTATGGTCCACGCTGGAAGAGTTTTCTCGAGGACACGAAGGTGGAGTGTCGTACTCAGCAGGCATTGGAGAACCCTTTCCCGAGCCTTGTTCATGATCTGCCAGTTTCAATCACAGAGTCACTCTCAGCCTCTCTCGTGCAATGGCTAAAAAACGGCCAACAAGTTGACACTGGTACGCTACTATTTCCCTCCAGATATTCTACTGACTCGGGGTATCCACCAGGTGTGTGGCCTGCTCATAAGCTTGACATGGCGAGACTGGTGCATATATCTATTTTGTGGTGCGCTTCATATCTTATTTGCTTTCTAGCTGTATGATGACTTGGCAACCTGGCTGCTCTGATCTGAAAAAAATCGTCATCTCCATTACGCCTTCTGCATACAGTCTTTCCCCGCCAGCTGACATTCCCACTCAAGAGCGCGCAGCTTGGGTTGAGGTCGCCACTGCAGAATTACTGGATGATGGTAGATTTCTCCGCCATGGAGTCAATGAATTGGGGAAAACCAAGAACTTTGCTCACCCTGTGCTTCTTCAGGGTATCATTCTTTTTTACTATACTGGGTCTTATTGCATTGCTTATAGGTGACCAGCCATTTTTCAGAAGGAGGTTTCATTAAAATGCCTAGCTCTCGTTTGCACTGTGGTACGTCTGGGATATTGATGTTTCAACATTCTGACATGTTGCTTTCAGTTTCATTGCATCTTCCAGGGCCTCAAGAAAAACGGCAATGGCAAGTCTTATTCAAAATTTACTTCGAAGGAGTACGAGTCCATCTATCATTCAATGCTTGAGCTACTTGATGCCGTCATGAAAGACCCATATCATGGTCCGAAGCTGGTGCAGCAACTCCATGAATGGGCCAAGATTGGATGGTAAGGAAGCTTTTACATAGCGTTCGATACTGATGAATTCATCCAGGGCAGAAGCATTGAAACTCAATGGCATTGACACATCAAAACATTGCCACATGCACGTCCAACTTGATTGAGTCTCCCATCTCCTGGCAGTGTCAATCGTCTCATATTCTTGCATATTTACTTTTATCTTTTTGCTTGTTGTCTGCTAGTATCGTGTTTCCTGCTGATTGAATTTATTGTCATTTGTTTGCTACTATTGTACCCAAGTCGAGTGAGCTTCCAAGTCAAGTGAGCTTCTGAGTCATTTGTGAGTATCTGCACGAGCATGGACAGATCTGTACAAGACAAGACAGAAATGAGCTACTGTACCCGAACCAAGTGATCTTCTGAGTGGTTTGTGAATATCTGCATGAACATGGACAGATCTGTACAGACAGACAGAAAAAATGATGATATTCAAGACCTCTTTGGTCCTCACTAGGCAGGTTTGTGAGGGTCTGTGCAGAGGTTGACAGAAAAAGTTCTACTGTAGTGAACTAGCTAGAAGGGACCAAGCTGTGCACATGGTGTGCTGTCCAGATCTGGACAGAGCCTGGTGATTTACTGATGAAATAAAATAATATATATGTAGGTTGTATCCAAGGATAAAGTAATATATAAGCATCAGCATAATGGCATCTAGCAATGTCAAGAACACTCCAACTTTGAAGAAGATATGTATGTCTCACAACTGTGCTACTTGGTAGATAAATCATTGAACAAAATCCCGCATCCCTCCAAAATAGTGGTCACCCGCTGTCTGAGCTCAACTTCATGGTAGCTATTTGCAATGATAACTAGTTGGTAATCCAGGGTTACAATGCATCAACTTAATGACATCTAATGTCAAAAGATTGTAAGAAAACTCCAATTCTGAAGAAAATATACATGTCTCACAACTGTGCTACTTGATAGATAAACTGTTGCCTAAAGTCACGCATCTCTCCAAAATAGTAGTCACCCTCTGTCTGGGCTTGACTTCACGATGGCTATTTGCAATGATAACAAGTTGGTAACCAAATGGGTCACAATATTCTCACATAACATATTGAGACTACTCCTCATGATCACTGGAAAGTGCCTTGAGTGTGAAACACACTCAAATTCCAATGAATTTGACTTGCCATCCTGCACAATGTAATTGACAGTAAGGACTATTTTTGCTTTCCAATCAGTACGTTCTCAGTCTGCTTGTAGACGATTAAGAACAGGTCATTGAGGAGGATCTCGTGCCAGCGATGATGGTCTGATATGTTCTTGAGATTAGGATTGTGATGTAAAACATAGTCAAATATGTCCAAGAAGAACTGCATGATAGAAGTGCTTGACCAGGTTAAGTTGCTCGAGAATGAAAAAGATGGAACTGCATGCCTGTGCCAGTGGCAGGTGCTCCGCAGTCACTTGCTCAACCTTCTTCATAACGATATCCATTTCTTCAACCTTGTGAGTAATGTCCACAGCCTCTCATTTGAGGGTCTCTAAGGTGCTGATGACTTTATCATCATCAAGAATGTTACATGTCCATTCATTGAGAGCTTGTAGCAACAACTTTTCCAGTGTGCGAAGGCGAAGATGGAATTCTCCTTGAGTCTTCAGATCAGTTTCCTTGTGTTTGGTGTCCGGACCTTCAACTTTGAGAACTTGGTCTAGCAACTGACTCTGGAGACTACTCCTCGTCATGGTGAAGTTGACAAATGTTACCCTGCTGCAAATATTGAAGAGAACTCGACAGAAGGGTCGTGAGTCAATGAAAACATGGTAAATGAAAGATAAAAGTTGATGCTCAAAAGGGTTCGCCATAGTTCTGACTAGGGATCCACACAGGTATACCCCGGAGTGTCGGGGACCTGACCCGCACCCGCACCCCAAGGTCACCCCTGGTTGTAAGGTTTGACCTAATAATATGGTTGGTGCCATGGATTGATTGACACTTTTCATGGTTATGCCAGGGACCCAATCTGGCACAATATTCCCACAGCTGCACATTTTCGCATTTTCAACCACCTATCATGAGAACCTCACAACACCCAATGTATTTTGCATTTTTGGCCACCCATGGGAATTTCCCCAGAATACTTAAAAATAGATTGTTCCTTATATCAGGGCCTCCCCACATTATTCCCACACTCCGCATTTTTCGCATTTTTAGCCACCTACTGTGGGAATTACCCCACAACACCCAAAACATCACCCAATATGGTACACCCCACAATTTTAATTATTCCCACACTTTCCCTACATTATTGTCTTGCATATGTGCTATATCTATTGATACAGGACACTTCAGAGGGTCAAATAAAGATGGGAATCTACTCATATATGCTCATAAACATGTTCTGAATATCATAGAACACTTCCCCACCAAAGGGGCAAAAATGCGAAAGTGTTCTGTACCCTACCCTATGTTGAATTGCCCCTGGAGGAGGAGCAGTCACACAAACAAACAAAAAAAGCAGTCTATTATATTATATTATACATATATATACTAAACTACTACTTATATATAAAGGGGGAGCTATTGTGGTGTGGTGGTGAAGCTGCAATAATGTAGGGAGGGTGTGGGAATACTTAAAATTGTGGGGTGTACCATATTGGGTGATGTTTTGGGTGTTGTGGGGTAATTCCCACAGTAGGTGGCTAAAAATGCGAAAAATGCGGAGTGTGGGAATAATGTGGGGAGGCCCTGATATAAGGAACAATCTATTTTTAAGTATTCTGGGGAAATTCCCATGGGTGGCCAAAAATGCAAAATACATTGGGTGTTGTGAGATTCTCATGATAGGTGGTTGAAAATGCGAAAATGTGCAGCTGTGGGAATATTGTGCCAGATTGGGTCCCTGGCATAACCATGAAAAGTGTCAATCAATCCGTGGCACCAACCATATTATTGGGTCAAACCTTACAACCAGGGGTGATATTATAACTACTAATTATCATTCTGTTTCTCACATGCTGTGCTCCCTGGGTGTCTTCAAAGCTCTGCAGCGCCCTCTTAGGAAACAGGAACACCTTGATGGCCAGATCATTTCAGATCACTGGCCATGATGCGTAAATGATAATGAATTTCTCAGGTGTGCAGTTGCCACTACAAATAGTCGCACCTCACACGTAATAATCTGAACACCCGATCCTCCCAGTCGGTATTGGTTCATCCATGATGTCAACCTGTCTTTCGCACTTGCAGCTGTTTGACAACTCAACTACTCATATAAATGTTCTTCGAATTGTGAACTCGCTTGGCATTGAGTTGCTGGATGCCTATATAGAACTTATAGCAATTGATAAGGCCTGTACATAACCTTGCATTTATTTGGATGCTTTAAAAATTTTTAACACAGCTCCAGACTGAATTAAAGATTCTGTCATTTTTGCTCAAAGACTGAGTCTATCCTGGCGATCTTTGGGAAATCGTTAGGGAGCGCATTATAGAGGCTAAGCAGGAGTCAATCATACAACAACACCACGGTCGTTGTGTTAATAGAGTCAAGGGGAAAAGACATGTGACTGTAGAGCATCTTCTCATGGAGGAGAGGAAGAAACAATGTCAGGTGGAGGTGTCTTTGTATAGTCAGGCCCTCAAACACTTGCAGCAACACCAGATGTGTGAGCTTCTTCAACTTTAATGTGTGAATACGTAGTCTGATAGTCTGACCATTATCGCTACAAAGCAGTCCATCATTCTGCATGTGCAGTCAAGCAGGATGCCAGGCCTCCTTCCAGAACTTCAAAACATGCTGTACCCCGCTCTCCCTTAGTCTGTTCAATGGTGACACAAGATAAATGTGAAGCCTGGTTAAAGAAACGACATGCCTTTCCTCTTCCAGAGCCTTTGACGCGGGATTGCTCTATTTCAGGCGGATCTACTTCCTCGATAGCTGGACCTGGTACTATGCAAGAAGCCAAATGAACATCCATTATTTCAAATGTCAGTGCTATAATTCATTTAATCCACTATTCTCACTGTCTCTGAAGTGCATTGGCTCCTCATTGCCCATATTGAGCATATGGGTTGCCACTGGCATCCAAGAAGCCTTCTACAATGCATTTCACTCAGAATAAACATGTCAGACAAGACTGATAGCACATTCTCTTACTGTCAACGACAAACATACCTATCAGCGCAACCTTAGCTTAGAGTTACTTATCTTGCAGGCAAAGATGCGCTGCGCTCAAGCTGAGGTAGATCTCTATACAATGGCCATTGAGAATGCCCGCAAATTTGACTTCTCTGCCATCACTAGTGGGTCCTCCAGCCATGCTTTCTTGAAGTCCTGATGACCCTTTACAGGCTAACTACTGTCTTCCACTGGATTTATTCCACAGCCTCAAGCAGACAAATTATGTTACTACAAGGAGGACTGTGATGATGTGACGGACGACTTTGATGATTTCGAATTTGAGTAGGGTAGTGTTATGTGTCACCCTGCCTGTCGCATGGTTTGTCGCAACTGACGATGGGTTCGGTCTTCATTTTTATTTACTTATTACATCTAGGCATCGAAGATCCAACAAAAATGCTTTGCCTTGAAACAAATATCAAATCCCAATGTAGTCACTTCATAACCTTCATTCAAGCATGTTTGTGTAGTAGATAAAATTGCAATTCAATCATCATTGTGAGATGATCCCTGAAATTCTGCTGTGAAACGATATGCCGGCCCTGCAGAAGGCCTGCAGCTAACACTTTGCTTGTGGTTGCATGTTGAAAATAAGAAGCTTCTGTTGGATGTAATCAACTGTGAGAGATGAAAAGAAACTACATTACAAATCATCAGCATCTCAGTGCCATTCACATTCATCTACAATGCAGTCTGTTATTGGGGGATCCTGTCAAGCTACAGCGATGAGAAAGACATTGTCGAGAACAATTTGTCTCGCTCACCTTGTATGCAATAACCATTCTTCAGCAGCTAGCTGATGGAGGGCACTGCACTATCGTTGTTCCGCGCCCTTGGACTAAAGGCAGTCCAGATCCAAAACAGACTGGTATTAGAAGACTTGGGCAGATTCTACAATTTAGGGAGAGTCTGTGGAAGATAAAATGACTTACTGACTTTGCATACAGTGGCCAGATCTGGGCAGCATGCTGATGCACTGCCGCTCATTGCCTGCATTGTATACTTGGAAGGTCTAGACCCAATGCAGTCTAGCGTCTCAACCACTTATCTAATATCAGCGCCAAGGGAGTTCTTGTCCAGCATGTAATAGGAAGCGCAGCTTGTATAAGAATAATCACACTGAAACTGATGGATATTTCACTGTGAATACCTGGCATACTTGGGCCATAGGCCATTCTAATCCAAAGTAGTCTGGCAATACACAACTATATCTGATGCTGACATTTGCTCAGAGTTTGCAAAGCATCGGTTGATGAACTTACTGTACATGCGACTATCGAATTTCATCAAGGTTGAGCAAGACGGTAGTGTGCTGTCGCTCGTTTGCCGGATTGGATACTTGGCTGATTTAGACTAGTGTTGCAACTGCGTATATAATACCAGTGCCAAGAAAATTTTCATTGATGGTGCAATGGCAAACTCTGTTTGCACAAGGCAATTATGCTGATGCGGCTCGGTACTGCATTGAAGATAGGTAGCATCCTTGAGCTCTAGGCAGTGTTGGGCCAGCACAGTCCAGCCATATATTTTTCTATGTAATGTTGGCATTTATTTAGAGATTGTGGGTGAAGTAAAAACAACCAAAGGTTACATGTTGCGATCAGGATAAGAAAGAATTATAGCACATGGCCATTATTTCTCAATTATATGACAGTGGTCACTCTCAACAACCTAAGCTTTATTTGCAACAGTAGGTGGATGTTGTAATATGTACCATCTTGGTGATAGCTGGCAACTAGACCGTCAAAACTGAGCATTTGGCAGTTTCCATCCAACTAAGTCCAGGTATCTATAGCTTTCTCATTCAAGGTACAATTTTGATGCATATTATGCATATTTTAGATCAGATAAAGCTTTGTAAGAATTTGTCGTTTCCTGGTCGTTTACCTGATGTCAGACTCATAACTTACATAATTACAACTGACAAAGCTGACTGTAGACAGTTCACAAAGAGTCATTAGAATGAGTATTCGTCTACTCAATTTGATACCTACAGGAGATGATGGGCACATGGGCAACAGATGGGCAGGTATTGAACGTAATCAGTATGTAGTGTAAAATTACTGAAAGTGAAGGGCTGCTGAGCATAGCCCAGGAGTAGCTGTAAATTTGGCTAGAAAATTATCCATATCTGATACTGATTCCTCTGTGTCGGTGAGTTTGTCAACCTCTGTTGGCGAGTCTGATTGTTGTGCACATCGGTTATAGGCTTCTGCATCAAGCACCTTCAAACAAGCTACAAGGAAACACCACATAAGTGGATTTGTGGGCGAGCATGCGGGAAGCTTTCTATGACCCTGAAAAACATACTTCTTCTTGCCACATGCCACAGCGTCTAAGGTCACCCATTCATCGAAGGGGCATAATCTCTATGGTAGAAGGACTCCATTCTCGTAATGCAAGGAAATCCAGGCGAAACACCACATAAACGACTCCAGATCATGGAGATATAGGTGTTTCACTTTGCCATGTTGACCCTTTTCAGTGAGAAGATCGAGCGCTATGAACGGTACCATGCCGGTGTGTTCATTGCCCTGAGGTCCTGGGTCATCTGCCAATGAGGACAGACCGTAGTCGTTTAAAATGCCAATCTGCTTCCCGTCTTTCCAGTACCGCATCAAGTTTCCAGGGCTGACATCTTGATGATGGACCCCTTCCTTCCACAGAGTAAGGTGGCCTGCATGCTATGTCAACAGTGATCCACGTGAATTCAATGAATCACTCACATAAAATACACTACGCCATACATCGAAAAGATCCTTGCCCTGAAGCTTCATGATGGGGTAGAGCTTGTGGAATACAAGAATGTAGAACACACAACTGCCCATACTGGGTTCCAGAACATCGAGCACTTCTCGGATGACAGATGTGGGATTCGTGAACGTGTGGTGCCAAAGGAGCTCAGGAACATGGTCTTGGACAGTTGCATGCCTCTTAGCAATCTCCTCAACCTTTTTCAGGATCTCTGGCTCGCTAGTGCGACTTGCCTCTCCTCAAAATATCTGGGCCATCATTCTATCCTGGAAGTTGCCATATTTCTTAGTGAGCGCTTTGCTGGTGACAGGGACCACATTGGTGGCCCGCCCTTGTAGTCCGTAATGCATCACTCTTTCATCATGGCTGGTGTGAAACAGCAGATCCACCATTCCAAGATCTTCATCCTTGATTTTCAATTTGTGGTATTGTTTCCCCTCAACTTGAACTGGGAGGAGGTCCTTGTTCCGGCCCCAATCATGAACCTTGAGGCATTGTAACGCAAGCAACAGCACCATGAATCGCGGGAGATCTTGAATGAAGTTAATGCCCAAGCTTTGAACGGTGCCCTGGTGATCATAATACCAGGTCCAGATCACATTGTCTAAAAAGCGGTGGTAAGAGCATGACCAGTCTCAACAAACGAACAAACCCACTGACAACAATGAAATTAATCAGATATTCGACAACAAGATAGTGTACAGACCCATCTGGATGGTCACATCTGGCTCGTCAGGATTGACCTTGAATTTTATTGTGGTAGATTCCAAAGTGTCTGCGACCTTGCGCTTGAAGTTGGATCCACCCTTGGCAGGCTGTGCAGCAGTAAGGCCGGAAGATTGAGCTGCTGCTTGGTTCATTCAGTTTGATCTTGGATACAAAAATCAAATCACTTACGCGCAGTATCGGATGCAGGTTGTGTTGCTGGGGACTGCGAAGGACCTGGCAGAGGCACTTCAGCCTTCAGATGATCCACTGGCAGATATCCTGGTTTAGTAGGGACATAGTCTGTTACTGTATACGAGAGGGCGGCAGCTTAATCCCTTTCATCCTCCCTGTCTTTCTCTTGAACTCAATGCAAGCCAGAACATCTTTCCAGAGGAGATTCTTTGGCTTTGGCTTTGCATTCTTGACCATGTAAGCCTTGCGCTTCTGACTGTCCTTTGTATCGTCCTTCTGGTCATCCTACCATTTGTCTTTCTGTTTTCCCTTTTTGCTGCTGTTATTATCCTGGAAGGATGTGTATGTACTGTCCAAAGAAAGGATGATGATGTCAGGCTTCCGATTTGATCTCACCATTTGGTAGGTTTGGTACATGGGCATATTGTTCTGCGGCCAGATCATGTCCATGGCGGAGACAGGAGCGCACATCCTGTCAATCTCGATCTCTTCAAGACAAGCGAGTGCAATGTTCGTAGCATCAATAAAAGGGCTGTAGAAGTTGTTTTCTATTCCTGGACATATATTTGTAATCATTGTAAGCGTGGAAGTGTTTGATCAGCGAAGGAGCACTCACTATTCTTTCAGTGCTGTCTTGATGCCTAAAGAGGATATGCCTCCAGCGGAGACCTGTCCATTACAAACAGGCAGAACTCCCTTCAGGCACTTTTGCAGGAGCTTGGGCTGTTTTGTCTCCGGAGCACAATATGTGCGCTGTAGGAGGGCTTGCAGCATGGCATCTGCCCTGCACTGCTTGGCCTGCTCAATGTCCCACTGAATCCATGGCCGGACCTCCTTAACCCTTCATGGAATATCAGGTGCTACTCCATAAGAACAAGAAAGGTACATACTGGACATCCACCAAGCTGATATTCTCGCTGATGATGAAAGCCCCATGGCTGTTTGGGGTGGATTCTATTTTACTATCACATTGACCTGATGCATTGGCACGTTGCGGAGTAGCCGATGTGCCTGTCTCGCCAGCAGGGGACATGATGCTAGGTGTTTAATGATTGCGCTGACCAAGTGTTGTGAGTAGAGCTAGTGAGGGAGAGAAAACTAAGAGGATCAGGAAGATGTCCGCTTTCTGCTTGCCATATATATGGTCGACAAATGTGGTGCAAATGTGGTGGACCATGGATCTTGATATGGTGGTTGTGGACCAGTTTAATTCGTACGCGTTCTAACTTCTGGGCCATCAACTCACACACATGACCTTGACTTTTTTTTTTTTGGAAAAGCGATGTGTATTTGCAGCAACTGACTAAGTCTAGCTCTACAAGTATGTGCTATAGCGGTGTTCTAGGAACACCATTCTGAGGGAAAATGCACTTATGCACTCCTACCATGTGGTGGGTGTGTGGGACTCTATGACTACCTGGGGGCCTCGTTTGTAGAGGGCCTGGGTGGTATGATACCCACTAAAACCTCAAGGGTGATGGCCCAGTTTTTGTTATGGTTTGTGTATGTTGTGATTACGTCAGACCAGGTGGAGGTGACCAAGTTTTTGAATTTTTCTTTGTGTATGATTATTTTTGCAGTGATTCTATCAGTTTGTAGTCTCTTATTTATTATTGTTGACCATCATTTGGTTATTGATTGCTCAGAGTGTTGTACTCCGTTTATCGTTCTGTCGCATCTCAGAACCCAGATCAGGTGAGCCGATTCAGATATTAGAATCCTTAAGAGTCTTGTTGTTCCTTTTTGTTTGTTATTTCATTGCTCTGCTGGGTTGTATTTTTTGATGTTCCTGCAGCTCATTATTGTTCCTATTGTTATTTGGGGCCATTCTCCATATTTTGCAGGCCAGAGGTCACTCGCGAGGTTCCATATCGTGGTACGTGCGTTGTTTGGGCATTCTAGCATAATATGTTCAAGTGTTTCGATCTCAGCTTGGCAGTGTGAGCATTTTGCTCAATGTTCGTAAGTGGGGATATTTGACCAGTATTCTCCAATACGGTATGCACCGTGTATTGCTTTGTATAGGAATTGCTGTATTTTGCGTGGTAAGTCCTTGTTTCTGCATCCCTTCCATATCGCTGTGTCTTCTTCTAGGTGGCCAGTTAGGGTTTGTATCGCATATCTCGTGATATCAAGGTTGTTTGTAGTCTTCCTTCTGGGTTTTGGTTTGATTTTTGTACATATTCCTTTATATGCTTTTGCTTGCATAATTACTGACAGTGCTGCACCTTGTAGGTTAAATTTGTCTGGTACTGAGAGGTCAATCATATCTTCATCTGGTTTATTCACTCCTTCATTTGCTAATCAGTCTGCTTGTTCATTGCTGTGATGTCCGTTGTGCCCTTTGACCCATATAAATGATGTTTGTACTGACCTTTTTCTTAGGTGGTATGCGGTTGCCTTTAGGTATTCACTATTTTCGACGTTAATCCATCCTCTGTTTTCCCAGTCTGGTAAGTCTTTTTGTTAGTCCTTCTATTGCATATTTAGAGTCTGTAACAAAAATTATAGGGATATACGGTGCAGTTTGTTGTAGTGCTATGAGGATCGCTGCTGTTTCAGCTATTTGATTTGATTGTCTCTTGCCTGGGATTTTGATGGCTCGGTTGTTCGGGTGGTTTTCACTAATCCATATTCCACTTCCGCAATGTGTGTCCTTTTTCCTGTTATTGATGCATGAACCATCAGTGTATATTGTTAATTTTTCCTGTATCAGGTTTAATCCTCTTATCAGCATTTACAGTCTGTATGCCAGGGTGAGTGAGATATGTTCTGGGTTTGTGAAAACTCTGAAACCTTCGGTTACGTTAGATCTTATTGTGATTGTCGGATTGAAGAGTAATTCTCCTGTGCGGCGTTAATGGGCTTGATTGTTCTTTTCTTTCCTGTGGTGAGTTAAGGATAGACCATCTTTCTTTGGTTTTGATTTCGTGTTAAATTTCGGAGCTAACTTGCTCAAGATTTTGTTGCTATTTGTGCGCAGTAGTAAGGGTTTTTACATCCCTTATTTCTGTCCCGTTTGCAGTTGGAGCACGCACAGGTCTTTCTTGAGACATGGAGCAGGTCTCCTCTAAGGCGTGTTAGTCTTTTCCTACATTTTATCAAGTTTTTAATGTTTTGAACATTATGTGTCTCTTGTAGGCATTTGTTTTTAGTTTTGTGGTACATGTTTTGTGGGGCGCCTATGTTGTGCCAAGCTGGAAGCTGTTTCTTGATGTTTTTGGACATTTTGATCGGGGTGAAGACTATGTTGTGTTTTTTAGTGGTTTTTATTATTTTTAAGGCTTCGTTGGGCAGGGATCTTGAGTTGTGTCCTCTGGTTGGAGGGTCCCAGTTTTGGAGAAAGGTATTATCAACTCTTTTCCCGTTGTTGATGTCTTTTGTTTTCAGGTTGTTTATTAACAGGTCTAATACATAGGCCCAGGTTGGTCTTGTTGGTGATATATTAAGGTATGATTTTACCCAGGTCATTTTGATAGCTTCATTTCTTGATTTGATATCTAACAAGTTGATTCCTCTGGTTTCTTTTGGTTGGTATAGTTGTTCTAGATTCATAGGGGGGGATCGTGCGTCATTCCAGATGAAATTTCTGGTGGTTTTTACTAATGCTGCCTCAATGTGTTTAGGCATTCCTTGTGCTTTTGCGAGGAATTGCATCATTCCGCCGACTATCATCTGTATTATTAGCCTTTTGCTGTCTAGGTTCGGATGACTTTTGTTCCATGTTTTGAGTGCATTGTTGATTTTATTTAGGATGGGTTCCCATGGAGTCGCATCGTCTGTTTTGTTACTTATCCATGCGCCCAGTGATCTTATGTGGTGACCATCAGGTGCGATTTTAATGTTATTCTTGAGCAGCTGGTCATGTTGATTCAGCTTTCTTGTAGATATAACACGTTCTCGGTGTGTTTTTGATCCTATTGGTAGGATTTCTGTTTTTTCTAGGTTGAATTTAACTCCGGAGGCTAGGCACCATTTCGATAGGATTCTCTCAAGGTCACTGTATTTATCATCTTTATTCAGGAATATTGTCGTGTTGTCAGCATATAGGTTTACTATTATTTTGTTCGTTATATTTGGTATGTTATAGCCTTGTAAGTGTTCTGAGTTTCTCAATGTGCATGCTAAGGGTTCTATTGCTAGGTCAAATAGCAAGCAGGATAGTGGGTTGCCCTGTCTAACACCTCTCATCACTTTGAAAGGTGAGCTCAACACTCCGTTTATTGCGACCTTTGTATAAGTGTTATTACAGTGCTTTTATTGTTTGAACAAATATTGGTGGGAGGTTGAATGACTCTAGCGTTTCTATAAGGTAATCATGGTTGATTCTATTGTATGCTTTCTCCTGATAAGTGCTATTAGAGCTCCATCTTCCTCTGTTATATCAGTGTATTCGATCATGACTTTAGCCAGGTGTATCAGGTCGAAAATTGACCTCTTTGGGATGAACCCGCTCTGGTCTGGGTGGACAAGGGTGTGTACTTCTTTTGCCAGTTGCATTGCTAACACTTTTGTTAAAATTTTGTAGTCGGTATTTAAGAGTGTAATAGGGCAATAGTTTTCTATCTCTGCTTGGTCTTTTTTCTTATAGATTGGGCACATCCATCCGAGGGAGAATTCTGTTTGTTCATCAATGCCATGTATTTGTATGTCGTTGATTATTATTGTGAGTGTCTTAATTACGTCGAAGCTTGGTTGTTCTTCTTGTTGATCTGATTTATGCTTTTGGTCTAGGCACTTCCAAATCTCATACAGGATTCCGTCCAGCCCTGCTGCACTACCTGCTTTCGACGCGTACAGGGCAGCATATATTTGGTGTTCACTGAGAAGGTTATATAGAGGTGAGTGTGGGTTTTCTAATTTTTGTTGTTGCGGTATTTCTTTTTTGACTTGTTCTCTTGTTCTTTCCCTTATCTCTTCTGTTTCTGGGGACTGATTATTATTCTGTAGGTCTTCATGGTATTGTTGTGTGATGTCTACCATTTTGTCGGAGCGTGTGGCGAAATGGTTCGTGTTTGGTATCCTTAATTTATGTATTATGTCTCAAGGTTTCTTGACGCTGTTGATCTTTGACCAATATTTACTTATAGTTTCCCCTTCTGCCGCCCATTTGGCTTGGGAGTGGAGTTGTAAGTTTTTGTGACGTTTTTTCAAGGTGGTTGATTTCGCTTTCAAGCCAGGCTTTGTGGCGTCTGGTGAGCTCATTGGTGTCTATGTCGTGGTTTTCTAGTGTAGACTTAAGATCGTCTTCCAGTTTTTTGGTGCGTTGTCTTATTTTATTTAGGTGTTCTTTAGCCATTTTGCAGGCTTCTTGGTGTAGTTGCATTTTGAAGTCTTCCCATACTCTTTGTGGGCTCGAGTCTTCATTTCTTTGTGTGGTTTGTTCTAGTATTTTCCTTTGTGCTATTTTACTGAGGTCACTCATTCTTTTGATTAGGTTCAGGTCATTTATCAGTCCTATTGGCCAGGACCACCGTCCTTGTCCTATGAATGGTGTGTTTGTTGGCGTGAATCATATTGAGACCATTCGGTGGTCCATCAGTATTTCCGAGGTACAGGAATCCCAGTCGCATATGTTTTGATCGTGTCTAGGTGATACATATATTCGGTCTAGTCTTGAATGTGAACAGTCTTTCTGATGGATGTGTTTCTCTCCATGTGTCTTGTATGTTTAGTTGGTTTCTCAGCTCTCTCAGTGCGCTAATTGCATTTTCATTATCTAGTTTCGCTGGAGCTCTGTCTAATGGGTCCTCAGTTAGGTTAAAGTCGCCTAACATAAAGTCTGGGTGCGGTAGGTTTTTCTCTTGCCATTTTTCATTAATTTTTTTCCAGAATTCCGGATGTTGTGTGGTATTGTTTGGAGCATATATGTTTAAGATGGTGAGGTTGTCATTATTATGCCATTTGATTTTGAGTGCCATTGCTCTCCCTGGGATGAGTTCGAAGGTTGCGGCGTTGTCAGCATTTGTGAGTTCTCGGTTTATGACGAAAGCAACTCCTGCTGAGGTTCCTGGGCAGATAGGGTCTTTCAAGTTTATAACTCTCATTCTTCACGAGTATAGGGTCTCTATGTGGGTCTTGTGTTCATTGTTCAAGTGAGTTTCTTGTAGACATAGTATTCCGATCTTCCTCTCTCTCATTATATGCTGTATCACCAGCCATTTAGATATGTTACTATGTCCTAGGTGTTGGGATGCACGCCCTTTAATGTTTAAAGTTGCAATATGAATGTTTGCTCTCGATTTTTCCTTTTTGCGTGTGATGCCGCTTTGATTAAGGTTTGCCTGGTTTAATGTTTGTGGGGCTCCACCTCCTATCTCCTGTGTATTTTCATTGGGGGAGGATCTGGTGGTTTGAAATCCTCCCTCTCTATTACTCGGTGAAGGTACAACAATTCAGATAGTGAGTCTGAACAATGTTGGGTCTTGCAGAACCTAGCTGCTATTCGACCCTAAAGGGTTTCTGGACCAGGCTCAAGGCTCAGAGAAGAGGAAATATCATGAAAACTTGCTGAGTACTCAGACTCATACTGGTAACTGGTGAAAAGATAACTTGATTATGTAAGCTACAAAAGTGCAAACATAACACTAAGGTAAAAACAGTCTCTGCAAGCCCAGCCAGAAATGAATCCCTACATCGGGAGGCTTGAACCAAGACCAGAAAACGAACTGTATTGAGAATTTAAGTTGTTATTTTGAGACGTGATCGATATACTGCACTGTCTGATATGACCATCAGGAGGTGAGGACTACCATATCCCAGATAGCCACGGTGGATATATGTTCGCACTTTTGGATTGGTGAGCTCTGTTTTCACCATACCTTTCATGGTCACTTCAGCTTCTCAGCACAGCAAATCCTTGGCCTAAATAGGCCTCCATTTTTGGCTACTGCCATTGGGACTACCATGACTTTCCTGTCCCACTACTGCAACCAGTATATTTGGGTCATGGGTAAATTTATTAGATCTCGTCCCGAGGATCTCACTTATGAAGTTCTGTAGCTTAAGGTCAGAGTTAAGGCTGCATGTCGTATCCTTATTGAGGCTTTGTTTTTCGGAAGAGCGGGGGTAGGGAACTGCACGGGTATGGGTATACCCATGCAGGTGCGGGGTGCGGGTACCTCTGGGGTATGGGTATGGGTTTGGTATTGCAATACCCATACCCGTACCCTTGTGCCGGGTTTCGATCGAAACGGAGTGCCTTGCAACAAATAATATTGAATCAACCTAGCTACAAACAGCAGTACTGTACAGTTACAAACAGTCAAACTTTAAACAATCAAATATATGCTGCTATAATACATTACCGGCGTGATGGCTCCAGCCTTGCAAATTTTCATCACCCAACCACTGCCCGCCATGCAGCTCAATGAAGCTCTTGCAGCTCCAGCAAAACGTGTCGTCAAGATGACTGGTAAAGCGAAAGCTGTGCTGGAAGATAAAGCTTCTTCAAAGAAGCATAAACCTGATGGTGGAGATAGCGTGAATCCACCGCTACCCAAGAAAGCCAAAAAAAATGTACCAGCGGGGAGCATGACTCCGGCTAATTTATCACCATCACCAACTCCACCACCAGTCGTGAGTAGGCGCGCCGTTGTGTGCACAGAGGAGGAGGAGGAGGCATTGCACGAATATATCAACCTGGACAATAATGAGCCCGCAAATGCTGACAAGGTTAATGATGCTGATGAGGATCCTGAAGATGAGCTGAGTGAGTCCAGCAACCTATACATCAATATCAGATTAATTGATTATACACAGAGCAGCTAATGAAAGAATGGAACTCACCTGTTTACGCGTTTTTTGATCCAACACCGCACATCATTGAGATTGCTGACCGCCGTGCGCATGAGTTCAAGTGCCAAGCAAGGGGTTGCAAGGTCAAAGTGCGATGGTTCCTCGATAAGGGTGATGCACGATCCACAGGTAACATGTGGAAGCATGTGTGCTTGTGCTGGGGAGATGAAGTCTTGAAAGCTGCAGATAGTGCGAAGGATGCAGACAAAGTGCGCCTCAAGATTGTTGGTAGCATTCTGCAAAATGGATCCATTACTGCATCCTTTGAACACAAGGGCAAAGGTAAAATCACGTACTCACACCGTCAACATACCCGCGCAGAAACGAGGTATGAACCAATTCCACTGATAGTCCTGGGAGTCTAACAATGCCTTCAGGGCTGAAGTTGTGCGTTGGGTATCCGAGAGCCTGCGACCATTTGATATCGTCAAGGATCGTGCTTTTCAGTCACTGATGAAAACAGGGAGACCCGAATATTACATACCTTCCCTGTCCACTGTGTCTCACGATGTGCGACTCGTCTTTGCACGGACTCAAAAATGGGTTGCTAAAATGTTGCAGGTTAGTATTTTTTTTGGTTAGAGAAAAATTTAATATTAAAAACATACCAGGAATACAATGGCAAGATTAATTTTACTACTGATGGTTGGACATCACCCAACCATCACGCATTGGTCGCATTTTCGGCCCACTTCGAGCACAAAGGGGAGCCACTAAGTATACCGTTAGATGTTATCGAAGTTGGGAAGGTAAAACTCACCAATCTAGTAGGCATATATGAGCTAATGAGACCACAGTCCCACACTGGCGAGGAGCTCGCGGAGACATTTGCCAAAATGCTAGAGGAATTTGGCATATCAGAAAAGGTATTGTTCAAACGGAAAAAAAACATACATGTAGCTAAATGCATGATGCACAGATCCTGAGTGTTACTTGTGATAATGCATCCAACAATGACGCAATAATTGTTGAACTGAGTAGTAAGGTGCTTGAGTTTGGCAGAGCAACAACTCATACATGATGTTTCCTCCACACCATTAATCTTGTGGCGAAATCGCTGATCCGAGAGTTCGATGTGAGGAAACAGGATGCTGACCTTGAGCTGAATGACTTGAGTGTGGACATGGAGGAGGAGGATGCAGGAATTGGGGATGATATAGATGATAATGATGGATTCGTTGACGAGGTTGAGCTGTTGGACAATCAAGAACAAACAGTACTACAAAAAGATATTCGACCGGTCAAATTGGCGCTTGCCAAAGTAAGTGCAATTCAACTGTTAAAAACTCACCATTGATCCCAATCCACATCCCAGTTGCGCAAGCTGGCATATAAAATCATCCACTCAACTACCATTATTCTTCCTGCATGGCACAGCATCCTCCAGGACTTGGCGCAGCCGCAAATGCTCATGCCACGCAATGTGGCAACTCGATGGAATTCAACCTTTGACATGTTGAACTATGCCCTCAAGCATCGAGGAGCCGTGGATGCTGTTACCCAACAGCGGGACTTGGGTTTGCGGAAGTTTGAGTTGGAGGATCATGAGTGGGTTATATTAGAACAGCTGTGAGATGTACTTAAGGGTTAGTGCATTCCTGTTTCGTCACCTGACATTGTTTATTTGTATCTGTTAGATTCTAAAGGATGCAACACTGTACTTTTCACGCGCAACACCTAACCTTGCAACGGTGATCCCAGCAATGGATCACATCGACAATATGCTAATGTTGTACTCCCGCAACAAAAGATACATGCCCTCAATTCATTCAGCAGTTCAGCTGGCCAAGAATACTCTCAACTGGTATTACGAGCTCACAGATAAGTCTCTCACATATTGAATCTCAATGGGTATGTACTGTTCAATCTCGGTCTTTGTTTTTAATACTAACATTCATATAACTCTAGTCTTACATCCACAGCACAAACTAACATACTTCAAGGCTGCATGATGGGAAGATGACTGGATCAAAACCATGGAGAGGCTTGTGTGTGAAGAATTTGAACGTTCATACTTGGCAATCGTCAATGACTCTGATGTGGGATGTGAGGACAATATCTTGGAGTCAAACGACAATGTGCAAACGGTATGTTTTGTTTGATTTTTGTTTGGTATTTGTACTGAATAATTCTTAGAGCAGCAATATCTTTGACAACCTCCCAGTGCTTGCACCCCCAAAACCTGTTAACTCGAGCTCCGAACTTGACCGGTACCTCAATATGGACGTGGAACATGTCCATAACCCTATCGCTTGGTGGCACGAACGTCAGAAGTCTTTCCCCCGACTTTCATGCATGGCTATTGACTACCTGACCATCCCCGGTATGTAACTAGCTTTTTTGACACACTGTAACTTGACATTTGCCCACAGCAACATCTGTTGACGTCGAACGGCTGTTCAGTCATGGGCGTCTCATCCTGTCGCACATCAGAAGTCGTCTCATCCTGTCGCACGTCAGAAGTCGTCTATCAGCGCAGTCAACACGCGTGCTTCTTTGTCTTGGCCTATGGAGTGAGTTGGGCCTCGTCGAGTCTGAGGACGTGATTCAGGTATCGAAGCTCCCAGATGTTGTAGGGGAAGACAAAGCCATGGATGATGGATGGGATAGTATTCATAGTACAGCAGACACTACTACATTTGTTATTTCATAGGTATAATCCATAGATACCTGCAGGTATACCCTCCGTGGGTCATACCGCGGGTCCATTTTGCAGATACCCATTGCCAAACCTGTACCCACAGTTGGGGTATGGGTATATCTGCGGGTACGGGTACAGGTTTGACTGCTGATACCCGGGGGTATACCCATGCAGTTGCCTAAGTGGGGGTTATATTCGAGTATGGAGATACAAGGTAGGTCAGCGAAGTATGTAGCTAGGGAGGTATGGTGTTCAAGGGGTTACAGGTGCATAGTATACAGGTAGCAAGTTGCGAGGGTGGATATAGAATGTTCTAGGTGGGGGTTCTCCTTCCCCTTCCTCTGCCTCTCATGTTCATGTTGGATGGTCTTGGGTTGATGTTGTGCTTTGGTCCATTCCAGAGAGGGACATTGGGGAAAGGGTATAATCCGCGAGGGTGAGCAATTGAATGACAGAGTGGGCATGGAATGAAGTTGACGGCGGTGCCGCTGCCTTCGAGTTCTGAAGGGTATGTGAGAGAGTGGAGATAGGCTCGTAACTTGGTCCACACAGTGGGGTTACTGGTAGGGCTCACAGCGAAGATGTTGTAGCGGGGCAGGGAGATGCTGCCGCTAGCCTTGAAGTCAAGGTGTTCAACCCAGAGAGTGTTGATAAAGTCCCAAGCTGCGATGTGAACTTTCTCTTTGGGAATTTCGCATTCAGAGAGAATATCTCTGATGTCCCATCTCGTCACGTCTTCTGTCCAGGTGTCGTGAACAGCGGATTTGACTGTGTTAGTGTCCATGGTGGAGAAGCCGTGTAGGCAGAATAGAAGGAGTGGGGGGAGTTTACGCTAAACTGATGGGCCGCGAAGGAGATGTCTGTTGAAGACCATATACGTTGGTTTAGGATTAAAGTTTTCGTCTCCTCAGAGATATTATAGTCGAGGAAGCTGAGAGGCCGGTCAGTCTCAATGCAGTTGGCTTCTGGGCATGATGGGGAGACTTTAACTTTTTGTTCGTCTTGGTGAATGAAATGGGCAATTTCGGTGATTGCTCTGCGCAGGTGTTCAACAAGAATAGGTCCCTTCATGGAAGGGTTCTTGCTGTCGTGGTCAAAGACTCTGATGAGAATCTTGGGGTGAGGAACTTTCAGCCATGCTGTGATTACTTTGGCGGCCTGGAAATCAAAGAGCTGCACTGTGTGAGCAAGGTGGATGTGGGGGAAGCTGCCTTGGGGGACTGGGGTGAACTGTGGTATGACTGTTAGGGAGTTGACACCGTTCAATCTGATGATGGATCTATTAGTCTCGGCAACGGCAAGGTGTGCGCGAAGAAGGTCTTCCTCAGTTGAGGGGGCGGGTGTGGTGGTTTTCGGGGGGACAGAGGTCAGACTAGTCGATGGAGGGGAGTGGTCCGACATGACTTCGTCATCTGCGTCAGGTGGGGGGCAGGGTGGGCTATGTGAGGGGGGAGTAGGGAGTGTCTCGTCTTCCATATTGATTGTGGGGGAGAGGGATGGTTTGGGGGTAGTGACGGGGGTGGTGGTGGGTTCAGGGACTGATATGGTAGGAGTGGTGTTCCTTGGGGTCGGGGATGGGGTGGAGGGGGTTGATGCAGTCTCTGTCGAGGTGTCCCCTTCGTCTGTGAGGACGTTGGGGGGGAAGAATTGTGAGCCAGAGCATTGATGTCTGGGAAGGGGTTGTCTCGTTCCCATTGGGGATGGGCGAGCGCTGATGTTGGCAGTCTTTGCGCTGGAGAGGTCCTTCATCTTCGCTGAAGTGGTTGGGGTGTTCGTTTGGGGTGTCATGGATTATATAGGTCTTGGTTTTGTCAGGGTGGGCGGCCTCATTTTTGGGTGTGAACTGCTAGGGTGGTTATGGCTGTGTGAGGTTTGCATTAGGTTTCATGTGACGGGGGAGTTATCAGGCATGTTGCGTGTATTTCTTTCGGGAGAGGTGATAATGGAGTTCCTACCTCAGGGAAGTGACATGAAAATGGTAAAGCTTTGTCAAGCTTTACCTGATTTAAAATTTGTATAATATTCATCAAAATGACAGTTCATTAGAAAATGCTTTATATACCCGGAGTAAGTTGGATGAAAACTGCCAAAAGCACAATCATGATAGTCTACCTGCAATTTCTCACCAAACCGGCAAATGTTGCCAACACTCGGCAGCCATGACAAAGTTTGATAATGTTGGGTGGCTTCCTAATTTTTTGACCTTTGTACACACATTTTATTCCAAAAAAAATTCATTTTGTAATTAAACAAACAAGATGTAAGTACATATATACATATGTATATAATACAACAAAAGAGAAAAAAAGTATAAGAGGGAGGAGGGTCCACAAAGGAGGGTCCAGGAAGGAGGGTCCATGAAGGAGGGTCCGTGAAGGAGGGTTCCCAAAGGAGGGTCCACGAAGGAGGGTCCATGAAGGAGGAACCAAGGAGGAACCATGGAGGAGGGACCATAAGGGAGGAGGAACCACGAAGGAGGAGGAACCAAGGAGGAGGGACCATAAGGGAGGGACCAAGAGGGAGGGACCAAGAGGGAAGGCCAAAGAGAGTGAGAGTTCGAGGCAAGTTCAGAGTAATTAAGTGGTGGTGGTAGCATTGAGAGAAGGAACTAGTAAGAAGACGTTGAACTTTAGAAAAAATTCGGACTTACATAAGCATCCTATAGGGCCGAGCCTCTTGATCCCAAGTGGTCACCAGTGACCATAGGTGACCATGCAGTCAAGAAATGCTGGTACACTTGCCTATTTTCATCAGAATTATACATTTTTTGCCATATCTTATCCTTCGCTACCAATTTGCTTATCTTATATATTATTTTGTCTACTTTTGTCATTACATATAATTGCATGACTTTTTGATCTGATCTTACCAACTACAACCACAAAAACCTCAGCGATTTCCTGATGTATCTCTTGTTTTTGTTCTGCATGCTTTGATGAGGGTGGTTAATACGTACTCAGTTTGTTGGATAGTGCATCTGGTGTTCATTCCAGTTTAGATATCTGTTGTTATTTTACATGGGCGTGTTGGGGTGCGATTTGGTTGGGAGATAGCTGCTGCATGTTTTCGCTTGTGGTGCTTGGTTGGTTGGGGTGTTTGGCTTATACTTCGTGGTTGCTAGTATTGAAAACATGTGGGCATATGTGATTTTTAGGTGGGGCCAGGTTGTACTGTGAGCTTTTTGGCTCGACCTTGCCCACTTTTTCAGCGTGGGAATTCCGTGCACTGGTGGTGGTACGGGAACAAGGGCCCGACCTTGACTTATTTTTCAAAGATGGCCAAATATAAAAATTCAAAATTCGAATCTCCAAGTTCTTGAAATCGATTTCAGTCAACCGGTCGTAAGTACCATTAATATTAGAGATCCATTTAATGCTGTGATAAGACCGCGACCAATTTCGACAGACGAACGAACCCACTGAGGACTATTCAGCAAACAATTGACTTCAAGATTGGCCACAAACATTTCGGCAGCGTACAGAGTACTTTGTCAATTCGGCTATCAGGCTACCACATTTACAGGCTGCCATCTCGTTCTCGGTACGCGATCAATCGGGATGCGAAAAAGAAAACATTGACGATGAATGCTTGGCTGCAGCTTCCTCACGACTGAAGTAGTGGTCATTAATCATGTCCGACAGTGGACACAGGGTCTACGATCCGAAAAGACTTCACTCTGAGGTAATATATATCTAAATAGCTCCAGTTGAATTGTACTACATATACAGTGCGTGAGGGGTAAACAGGGCGATTGGAGAAAGCAATGATTAATGAACCTTCGTGCTACTATTAATCAGAAGTGATCTGACTGCGTCATCCCTTGTCGGGGCCGGCACGACCCGACACAGCAGATCAAAGAACAAACGCAAGCAAGTCCCGCCAAACAATGTACATCCTGAAGGTTACGGCTGAGCGTTTGTGGCACTATCTCCATATATCTCCATATCTAATGCCATACACGGACTGAATAAAATTTGCCGCGACCAATATCGATCGTGTATCGTGATGACCGAACAAAGGAATGGTCCTTGAAGTCCTTCAAGTTGGCCCCTAGTATCTGGCCAAGATGATAAGCGGTCCACGACCTCATTTTCAGAGAGGCCATTGAACAGGAAGAGGTAGTCTCGAAGAGGTCGAACCGATTCTTGGCGCTTATCAAGAGCTAGCTCGACCACGAGCCTTTCCTGATCTTCCGGATATTTACACTGTGCAGCGGCGACTAATCTCAGAATATTGTCCCACTTGCGCTGCTTATGGGCCACTTCTACAGCGGCTAGCAGACGCAGACTACGTTTCATGCGGTGCGGTGTCGATGACCCTGGGTACATTGTCGGTGGAAACAATGCACATATCCATCGAGAAAACTTACCGACAGCTGCCTTTAAAAAATTACAGCTCAACCTATGGTGACTGTGCCAGGAATCACGTTGGCATCGCTTTGAGCAATACCGCACAACTTGACATCCCGCACATTGCCTGAAGCGAATGTCTTCTGCAGTACCACCGCAGTGACACTGGTAGTGTTAAGTCGACGAATCAGCAGGGATGAAGCAATGAAGTCTGTGACTGACTTGTAGAACCCAGCCCTTTTCACTCGGTGATGGCCAACATATCGTTTCTGCCTTGAACCTAAGTGCCCCATATGCTCGAATGGTCTGCTCTATGTGGGACCAGATATCCAAGAGGTGTTTCTCTTGTCTCACGACTGGTCCGAGATCATTAGACCAGGCGTCCACGTGTTTACAGACGTAGGACAAGATTTTGTCGTGAAGAATGTATTTGAATAAGATCCAAAAAAAAGCTTCGTTGATCCTACGAGGATCCGTCTCCACTACCTTCATCTCCACTGGCAGGGGTCCGGAAGGACTTATATGTACCATTGTTTCGAAGGCGCGTGCGCAAAGGGCTTGATGGAGTGCTGATACAGGGTCGTCGGCACGTTTAAGGAGAAAGTCGAGGTAAGTAAAACTTGGGGCAAGGGCTTGCGGCATGCTCTCTTTGCCCAGAGGAAGAGACTGAAGAACATGGAGAGCCCAAAAAATTTCTTTGACGGACTGCCGGAGGACGTATGCTTCCCGTATCGCCGCATCGAGCATGCTCGTCGTTGCGATAATTCTGATACAGTGCGAAAACATTGGTATAAGCAGCTTGAGCTTGACAGCATTGGAAGCTATATCAGGGTCCTTAGCCATCGATCGTAAGCTCTTGAGATATTTCAGAGCTGCAGAAGTGACGGCGTCAATGCCACCTGACACTTCGAGTAGTATGGGCACAAAGGATTCGTCCTGAATGCATGATGAAACCGAAAAGGAGCCGAAAACTCGAAAAGAAGTGATGTGAGCGGGGCCGGATGACGAAGACAAGCACACTACATCTTTGTCTTTGGTTTCCAGGGCTAACAACCACAACTCTGCGATCGGGCGATAAAGGGCAGGAGTGGTAAGCAATGTGGCTCCGCTGCGCTTGTCACTAACGATTAAAACATGAAATAGTAAGCTAGCAACAACCCTGATGGCAGCCATCTTGTCGACGGGTCGATAGTTGGCTCTGCACATGATGAATTGGTCATGAAAGAAGATAAGCCAGGGAGCGACACGGTTCCAGGCGGAAATAAGATATTGCTTTTCCGAACCTGCCGAGCCAATACCAGAACCATCGATGTAACCCAAAGTTGCAACAATTACGAGAAGTGATCTGTAGACGAGCTCTATATCAGTGGCAGCGGCTGGAGTTGACTTCGCAGGAATGCGGTCTGGATCGAGATACATGTAGAGCACTGGCTGCAGTATACATAGCTCGGATGCGGAGCAATCTGAAAGTCGATTGCACAACTTCTCAAAGTCTGCAACCGAACGATTCATGTACACTCTCCGAACCAGTTTCTGAGTGACACATCAGTTATGGCGACAACAAACAAAGAATTAATCGCAAAACACTCACCCGCACATCCTGGGGCAGCTGCGATAGTTGCGTCGCTGGGATCATTCTCGGTAAAATTCAGTCACGATGGTTTAGGCCTATGATCAGTGATCACTATGTAGCACCCACTAACTCAGACTGTTGGAAAGACCATATATAGAAAGTTCCTCCGACAATATTCAGAAAGATGACTACTCGAGGTTTAACGCGTGGAAGTAGAAGTCATTGGATATATTTTTTCAGTCTTCTCACGGTGTTGTTGGTCTTCAGAACGGAAGCAGATATCAGACTGACAAAAGGAATTACTGGCGTTATGACGCTTTCATCGCGACTCCACTGGCAGAACTGGGACGTTCGAGTCAACGTGTTCACATTTGGTGCGAATACCGTGTCTGCGGAAGACGGAATCTATCTATTGGATGCACGGACTATTGGTCCTATCATTGACGACGAAGGAGCGTTATCGAGAGTAAGAACGCGATGAGACACGTGCTTATTTTCATAGGCGAACGAAGAACAAGACTGCGAATATTGGAGTCAGAACGACCCCTGGCTGCTATGAACCCTCGATCCACGCATTGTGCCGTTTAAGCAATTCTTCAACGATGTCTTCCTCTATTTCTTTGGGATGGTTGGATGGTTGATGAGAATCAATTTCTATCCGAAATTCTTCATATTTCGGTCGAGATACGACGACTCCGTTCGGTTTCTTTGTAGCGTCTGCCTGTGCTATGGGAGATATCAACACAACTCGATACTTGCGATGATGGAGATCGTTTCCGATCACCACCTGGTGCCCATAACGCTCAAGCGCCTGTTGGGCTTTCGGTATCAGAATCGTCTCGTCAGTGTCGAGCTGGAAAAATATGTTGGTCAAAATGACAGCATAAAAAAGTGATGCGAATTTACCTTGAAGGAGACAATGAACCCCTCTGGGTTCCATTCTGACACAAGCGGCTTTAAGATCTTCGGTACTCGATCCATTTTCATCGACAAATTGCCCTTTCCAGATTGTATCTTATGTTTCGACTGGCCGTGGGTATTATTAACATCGTTTTCCGAGACAGGGTATGATCACTTACCAATCTCTATGCGGTAAGAAGAAATCATTGACAGCGGCAGCAAGATAATACATCGTCTTTTGTCCTAGGATGCTCATCTCTCTACTGACTGCGCGCAGTAACCAAAGATATTCGTTCACGGTAACGAATGAGACCATACGTAGGGTTCCTTGAGCATGTACTGTTTTGTATGCACGGAGTACAGAAAAGAGTTTGGCGCGTTCATCAGTGGTTACAGTAATCTGCGGCGTCGGTGTCATCGGTGGAGGGTCATTTGAGTACGGGAATGCCGAGTCAATAGTCGAAGATGACGGTAATGCAGCATCAATATCGAGAAGGTTGAGGAATGGATTGATTGAATGGGAATAATGTCGACTAAAAGGTTGCAGGCTGAACTGGCGATGCATGAACATGACAGCATAACCAGCTTTGAGGAAATATTCGGCAGATGTTGCACCTCGGGTACCTACATGATGGTTAGAAGAATATAATGAAAAGAACATTGGCACGTACCGGCGCTAAAGTTATCGAGGAAGCGGACGCTTCACATTTAGTGAACATGAGGTCAGTGACCCTGTGCGGCTGTGGGTGGTTGCTCGTTCTTACACATTGAGCTCTAGCGGTACGGTGGTCACTCCGCTCTGATTCGAGGTCAGAGTACATGACGCGAGCATCTGTGATAATGACTCTCACCGTTACAAGCACGACGGATCGGTTAGCCTGTCGTTGCCGTTGGATAAATTCGTGAACGCCCTGTGTGTCGGCGATGAGTGAAGGAGGTTAAGTATGATTGTGTTTCAAAGTACGATTCAGTAGAGAATGTCTGCGGTTCGTGTGTTGCATTAGACATCCTGTGTGAATCAAGAGAACCTGCTTGCGATCTATGCATCTCACTAACAGTAGTACTGGCACGACATTGGGTGGCCAAATGAAATGATCAATCGTGCAATTTACATCAACCAATCACGGCATTTCCTGATTTGCTGCTTGGCACCTACGCGTTCGTTACTCCATGAACATGTACAGAATGAAGCTTCAATTGAAGGCCGGCAGCCGATGGAAGGCGAGTCCTTATATATCTAAATAGTTTCAATTAAATTGTACTACATATACAGGGCGTGAGGGGTAAACAGGGCGACTGGAGAAAGCAATGATTAATGAACCGTCGTACTACTACTAATCAGAAGTGATATGACTGCGTCATCTCTGTCGGGGCCGGCAGCACGACCCGACACAGCAAATCAAAGAACAAACGCAAGCAAGTCCCGCTAAACAATGTACAGGAATTCAGACATCCTGAACGTTACGGCTACACTTTCTCCATTTTCTCCAGATCTAATGCCATACGCGGACTGAATAAAATTTGCCGCGACCAATATCGATCGTGTATCGTGATGACCGAACAAAGGAATAGTCCTTCATGTTGGGCCCTCGGAGCCGATAATATGCGGTCTACAACCTCATTTTCAGAGAGGCCATTGAACAGGAAGAGGTAGTCTCGAAGAGGTCGAACTGATTCGTTGTTCTTATCAAGACCGAGCTCGAGCACAAGTCGTTCCCGATCTTTCGGATATTCGCACTGTGCAGCGGTGGCCAATTTCCGAATATTGTACCACTTGCGTTGCAGATGGGCCACTTCTACAGCGGCTAGCAGACGCAGACTACGTTTCATGCGGTGCGGTGTCGATGACCCTGGGTATATTGTCAGTGGAAACAATACGCATATCTATCGAGAAGACTTACCGACAGCGGCCTTTAAAAGATTACAGCTCAACCTATGGTGATTGTGCCAGCAATCACGCTGGCATCGCTTTGAGCAATACTGTACAACCTGACATCCCGCACATTGCCTGAAGCGAATGTCTTCTGCATTACCACCACAGTAACACTGGTAGCATTATGTCAACGAATCAGCAGGGATGAAGCAATGAAGTCTGACTGACCTGTAGAACCCAGCTCCTTTCACTCGGTGATGGCCACCATATCGTTTCTGCCTTGGACCTAAGTGTCCCATATGTTCGAATGCTCTGCTCTACTTTGAGCCAAAGATCCAAGAGGTGTTCGTCTTGTCTCACGATTGGTCCAAGATTATTAGACCAGTCATCCACATGTTTACAGACGTAGGACAAGATTTTGTCGTCAAGACTGTATTTGAATAAGATCCTCAAAAAAGCCTCGTTGATCCTACGAGGATCCGTCTCCGCTAACTTCACCTCCAGGGGTCCGGAACTTATATTTACCATTGTTTCGAAGGCACGTGCGCAAAGGGCTTGATGGAGTGCTGATACAGGGTCGTCGGCATGTTTAAGGAGAAAGTCGAGGTACGTAAAACTTGGGGCAAGGGCAAGGGCCATGCTCTCTCTACCCAGAGGGAGAGACTGAAGAACACGGAGAGCCCAAAAAATTTCTTTGACGGACTGCCGGAGGACGTATGCTTCTCGTATCGCCGCATCGAGCATGCTCGTCGTTGCAATAATTCCAATACAGCACGAAAACAGTGGTACAAGCAGCTCGAGCTTGAAAGCATTGGAAACTATGTCAGGGTCGTTAGCCATCGATCGTAAGCTCTTGACATATTTCAGAGCTGCAGAACTGACGGCATCAATGCCATCTGACACTTCGAGTAGTATGGTCACAAAGGATTCGTCGTAAACGCATACTGAAACCAAAAAGGAGCCGCAAACTCGAAAAGAAGTAGTGCGAGCGAGGCTGGATGGCGACGACAGGCACACTACATCTTTGTCTTTGGTTTCCAGGGCTAACAACCACAACTCTGCGATCGGGCGATAAAGGGCAGGAGTGGTAAGCAATGTGGTTCCGCCGCGCTTGTCACCAACGGTCGAAACATAAAATAGTAAGCTAGCAACAACTTTGATGGCAGCCATCTTGTCGACGGGTCGATAGTTGGCTCTGCACATGATGAATTGGTCATGAAAGAAGATAAGCCAGGGAGCGACACGGTTCCAGGCGGAAATAAGATATTGCTTTTCCAAAACTGCCGAGCCAATACCAGAACCATCGACATAATCCAAAGTTGCGACAATCGCGAGAAGTGACCTGTAGACGAGCTCTATATCAGTGGCAGCGGCTGGAGTTGACTTCGCAGGAATGCGGTCTGGATCGAGATACATGTAGAGCACTGGCTGCAGTATACATAGCTCAAATGCGGAGCAACGTGGAAGTCGATTGCACAGCTTCTCAAAGTCTGCAACCGAACGATTCATGTACACTCTCCGAACCAGTTTCTGAGTGACACATCAGTTATGGCGACAACAAACAAAGAATTGATCGCAAAACACTCACCCGCACATCCTGGGGCAGCTGCGACAGTTGCGTCGCTGGTATCATTCTCGGTAAAATTGGGTCACGGTGGTCAACTACTTACCCCGCTGACTCAGACCGTTGGAAAGACCATATATAGAAAGTTCGATTCGTTCTCCGATATTCAGGCGTACAGTCTGCCCAGTGCGGCACTAGTGCCCAACCCTCTCGCGTGCCTGAAGTCAGGCCATATGGTTCTTCACAATGCAACACAATGCAACATTCCCTTCGAATTCGATACCCTCAAATCTCCCAGAGTACCACTCACAACCTAACGCACATACTTTCCACATCCGAAAATCTAAATCAAGGTCCCATGATATCGTCGATGTCATTTTGAAGACATCTTGGCCGCATCCACATAATCGCTTTCCAAGCCCTGCTACATCCTAGAGACGGTCTCTCCCACCACCCAGCTACTTCGAGAGATCGACCATTCGCTGTCTCGAACTCGCTATCACATCCACTACTTGAAATCAAACAACAGACGCTCAACTCCTGCCGCACTATCGCTGGTGCTGGTACCTGCATGTCCGTTCCTAGGACCTAGGTGCGTCACATCAACGAGCCATCTTATGTTTGGTGTACCATGCTCAGACTTGAGTAGCCTGGATTCCCTTGACTCCCCAGAGGCGCTGGGTCTCGGCTACAGAAAGCACGCAGGAGCATTCAAACTTACTACTTGTGGCCTTTATATCCCGATGATACATGTATCCACCGATAACACTTCTGTAACAATCCTGGACACAATTAAGCCAGTTGACATGAGACAGCTGAGAAGGACGTCGAATGAGCGAGGCGAGGAGGACAGGTTGTTGAGGAACTGAGTACTGAGGCTGTGCATTGTTACTCAATTTGGCTCTCGCGCCATCATTTGCCTAAGCAATTGCGTGAATGATCATGATCAGACAGAGGAAAGAAGCACAGAAGAACCAGTGGTTGGTGCAAGTGTGGGTGGACAGCTAGTGCTAGTATAGACATCATTTTAACATTGTCAGCACGTATAGCAAATCACTTGACTAAACAATACGACAAAAACTTTGTACGTCTCCTTGAAATCTACTTCGGAACTTCGATCAATACCTTCAAGAAAGTGGAAATGAAATCCCCTGCTCCTTGCACAACTGTTAATTTCACCTCACACACCACTGCCAGTCGATATTTGCACACGCTCCTGGAAAGCGATAGAGGCCATACCAGTTGCTACGTCAGAATCGGCCACGAGCTTGGCGTGGTATTCCCGAACACCAAGGATCAGGCGCGGTCCCAACACAAACATCTGCACGACCTGCAAATTTTGAAGAAACCCAGAAATAATCTGAGCGTCCAGGGCAATGCTCTATAAAAAGGATGAATCATGGTAGCGTGCATAGGCAAGTGAAAGATTGACACACCGCTAAGATTGTTGGAGACAACGCAAGAACGAGATGAAAGCAAGAAACAGCAACAAAGCTAGCACGTCCGACCCATCAGTGGTAAAAAGGAACAATAATCACGATATGAGTGTACCTCGCAAAGTAAAGCGCGTGAGTTTTTATCAACACCGTGAAACAGTCCTCGATAATCCCTCCTGCCGAATGTTGTCGCAGTTCACGGAAGTGTTTTACCGCAATCCGAACTGCGAGACATAGTGCGAGGACCTCCCACACAGTTACGAGTATCCAGGTAATGGACACTAGAAGTGGCATATCTTCCCCATAGCCAATCAAGCAGTGATGAGTGCCGGAGAGAATGAGTTCCTCTAGTGTTCATCGTTGAGCCCCATGCACGTTTTTTTCTCATCCACAATTAAGCGTACCCCCTGAAGCCTGCATCGTCGTTATTACATTGGCCACTCCGCTAAAAATGTTGACAGCCAGGAAGGTGACAATGAGAAATATCAGGATATTTCTGGATCCTTGATACATCGCATGCAACCGAGCGATGATGATGACTTGCACCATATTTCAGTCAAGTCGATATCACTGAGGTCTCGCATGTGCTAAGCTCACCCCACAGCATCGGTGTTACCAAAACACCCGTCCAATCCAATACGACGAACACAATAAAGCCTGACGAATCCAGTGAGTGACCAGCCTCAGTAGCACAAACTCCAAATAGACTCACAACTGTGGCAGTATAGCATGGCAGTCATCAGTAAACCAAGAAGTTAGTAAAGAACCACACCCACTGCTACAGGGCACCACGGTTAATTGGAGGGGAATAGTAATAGGCATCTGTGCAGAAGACTCACTGTATCTGTCAGCGAGATGGTCGGAACATTGTCTGAATGCCGTTGGTCAGAAGAAGCGAAGACAGCGAATGTACTAAGGAGACATACACAGAATGTACAGGCTGCAAAACGATTAACACAACACCGATCATCTAGCCTTCCGAACATACGCAGCGTATAAGATTCCAAGGTAACGCACCTAGGATACTTCCAAGTCAGTAGTACAACATGACAACCGTGACAAACAAGCTACATACACCGATATACATAACTGTCATTAGGGACCAGCGTTGTCTCTGGAATCAAGTATATGTTCATATGTGTTCCTCTGACACCAGACTCTACTCACCCAGATCAGTTCTACCTATAAAGCCATTCTCAGCGAGATGGCCGCTCCGGTCATAGCATCGGCATACCTCTTGTCCAAATATAAGTGCTGAAAATAATTTCAAGATATCGGCAGTCCATTAACGTTATCATGCTCACCCCAATCATACGTCACTGAAACACAGGCGGCAACTGCGAAACAGCAGCGAAGGTTAGATTGTGTCAGCTTCAACATCAGACCGCTCTCCACGAACCTATAAAATAGCTGCCAAAACGATCTGCATCGATGATCGGCCACCAAGTGGGATCATTTGAGATTATGGTCATATTGGTAGAGAATGGGTGGGGGTGAGAAGTGAACTTGGTGGACGTATAACGATGGCATTCGTATTTTATACCACCATCCGGTGCGTAGATCGGGGGATGACGACCGTTCCTGCTTTGATTGGTCAAAGTAGATGTTTGCATGAAGAAAGACAAATCAATCCAGGGACCATAGTCGATTTTGGTCGTGAAACATTTGCAGGAGCGAAACACTTCAACACCGCAAAAGATCTAACGACACGGAGTGTGAGAGAAAGTGGGGAAAGAAAGATAGGCTCGTACTAAGTCGTAACCATCATGATCCTGCTTACGCGCGCGTTTCCAGATTTTGAAATATAAACAGAGAACGTGGAGGAAAGGCAAAGCAAGTCACCTGAGTGAAGATATTCGTCACCACTTGCTATGTAGTCGACCAGAAAACCAAGAAGCACGCATGGCCAGGCTAGGCATGTCGGGTATCTTTTCCGATGAGTCGTACGTTCGTATGCAGGACCTCACCTAGGCAAGCCCAGCCCTAGTACAAATCACAGCCTAAGCCTAGAGACTAAGTAGCATAGGATGTCATCAGTAAGTAAATGGGTCTAAATGGAAATTGCCGCAGAAAACGGAAGACGTCGATCGAGATTCGAGTGCTTCGTCATTGCATCATGTGGCCGGTGGATTCTTAGAACGTTCGTCCAGCACGAAGCAAACGAGCTCGTGTCCTACCTGGGCTACCAAAACCTCCCTGCGAGCACATATCTCAATGTCTCATCTCGTCCTTTTCATGCGCACCCTCGTATCATCTGGATGCCGGAAATGGTGAGCCCAGAATATTGTATTTGTATCATGGAGTTGGTGCGGTGGTAAGAGGCATCAGGTTTCAGCAGAGAGGTCCTGGTTGAGATTCCGCAATTGATGTGAGATGAAAATACAACGTCACCCCTAAGAGAGCGTTGAGAAACGAAATGAGAGAAAATGATGCTCGGATGCACAATGGTTGAAGGCGGCTCACCGTATCATATAGTTGCCATTGCACACCATCAACCCTTGTTCCGATGAAAAACAATCCAAAACGTGCCACACTGAATCCATCATGCAGTTGATCCCCCTTCGTCACGACTCACGCTTTCGCAAAGTAGCCTGTGTGGGAATGTGGATTAGAACGCTGTCCCTATTTCGCATGAACTAGTACACCGACACCGACTGTTGAACGATCAAAATCCGAGAACGCCGAGAATGCGCGGCGAGCGGATCTCAGAATGCACAGGTTGTGCAGAGGGGTGATGCAGTTCAATGGAAGGCAGATAGTGGACATCTCGTCTCGGGGGGCGTGCAGGATGATAAATTGATGCAAATACAGTGGAGCACTAGGAGAAAACAAAGTCTGACGCACCGCAGGAAGCCCGACTTTTGTTTCCGACGCTCATTGTGTAGTCGATGGCAAACTGATGCCCATATAATTTCCGAAATGAATATCAGCAGCTGCCTTGTCTCTGCCTCACTTCCTTCGAGCTCTGAGGACTTGAGTCTGGGAGCGTAGCAAATGCGAGATTCGCGCAAGATTCGCGCGTAGCATTCGACTGTGGCTACGGGCAGCCTGTTGTATTTTCCAGTTTGTTCAACTTGCCCTGCAGGAAGTCAAAAAAAATAGGTGCTCCTGACATGCACTGAGACTTTCAATTGTGTATCAGAGACTCGGAATGATCAAAGTTTGTGAAAATAAGTTCGAGGAACAAGGCAAGAACGTGTGAACGAATTTTGTGATAGAGTAGTGAGGGCACACACTTCTGGTCGTCGGATGCCTAGTACTCGAGGTTCACGCGTGAAAGTGGAAGTCAAGTTGAATATATTTTTACAGTCTATGATACCAGGACAACAAAGTTTCCTATTGCAACATCGCAGGTAAGTAGCTCCAATTGTAATGTTGTGCGGCAGTGTTGAAATAAGTATTTGCACTATAAGGGAACGGAGCAAAAACTGGAGAGAACACATGATGGATGTACTACTAACAATTATTTTGGATGATCAGTACGTGCTATGACTGCGTCGCCCACATCGAGGATCGACCGGTCCCTTCAGCCCAGATCATGGCGGTTGAACCACCTGACACGATATGGAAGATCAATGAACAAGCACAAGGAACACCGCTCGAGCAACAGAACTTTACTACGCACATTACTAACGCTTACGGCCCAACTTCATCTCCATGTTTAATGCAGTACGCGGGCTGAACAAAATCTGTCGTGAATAATATTGATCATTTATCGCGATCACCGAACACAAGAATGATCGATGGCCCCTTGGTTCTTTCAAGTTCCAGGACGATAAGCTTTCCACGATGTCGTTTTCAGAGAGCCCATTGAACAGGAAGAGGTAGTGTCGAAGCGGCCGAACTGATACATCGAGCTTATCTACACCGAGCTCGACCACAAGCCGTTCCTGGTCTGTCGGATATTGTTGTTGCGCAGCGGCGACTAACTTCGGAATGTCGTCGTCCCCTTGGCATGACATCTGTCTGTCTTCTAGGGCAGCCAACAGACGGAGACTACGCTTCACGTAGTGCGGTGTCGATGAACCTGGATAGATCGTGAGTGGAATGATGTCTCTGAAACATCGGAAAGACTTACCGACAGCTGCCTTGAGAAATTTGCAGCTCAACCTATGGTGGCTATACCAGGAATCACGCTGGCATTGCTTTGAGCAGTACCGCACAACTTGACATCCCGCGCATTGCCTCAGTTGAATGTCTTTTGTAATGCCACTACAATAGCACTGTTTTGAGAGGCAAGTTGGATGGTCAGCAAGAACGAAACAACGAAGTCTGTGACATACTTTTAGAAACCAGCCCTTTTCATTGGACAATGGCCGCCTTATCATTTCCTCCTTGGACCTGAGACTGACATACGATCGTATCGTCCGCTCCATTGCGGACCAATCCTTCCAGAGGTTTTCGTCTTGTCTCGCGATCGGTCCGAGAGTATTAGACCAGGTGTTCACATGTTTGCAGGTGTAGGTCAAGATTTTGTCGTGAACAAGATAATGGTATAATATCTCAAAAAAATCTGCGCTGATATTGTGAAGATTCGCTTCCATCTTCACGGGTTCGAAGGGAGCCATACGAACTGCTATTTCAAGGGCACATGCGCGGAGAGCTTCGTGGAACACCGAGACAGGGACGTCGGCACGTTCAAGGAGAAAGAAGAGGTACTGGAAACTCGAGGCGAGGGCTTTCTCGGTGCTCCCTCTGCCAGGGATAAGAGGCTGGAGAATACGGAGAGTTGAGAAAATGTGTCTGATAGAGTGTCGGACGATGAATCCTTCCCGTATCGCAGCACTTTGCATGCTCGTTCCTATGATAAATCCAACACAAGTCGAAAACATTGTTACGACTTGAATCAGCTCGATCCGGACGGCCTCGGAGGTTATATCAGGGTCCGTCAAGATGGTCACTGATGCTATGGCCTTGACATACTTCAGAGCTGCAGAAGTGAAGGGGCCAATGCCACCTGCCACTTCCACTATTGTGTCCACAAAGGATTCGCTGCGCATGCATTCTCCAACCAAGAAGATGAGGACAAGTCGAAGAGAAGTGATGCGACCGAGGTCATGCAATGGCATTTGAATGTTCAACACATCTTCATCTTTTGTTTCAATGGCTAACATCCACAACTCTGCGATCGGGCGGAAAAGGATGGGTGTAGTAGCGAGTTTTGAGTTCCCGTCAGAGTCGCGGCCAGCAATCAAGCCGTGAAAGAGCATGCTGGCAACAAGCTTGATGGCAGGCGTCCTGCCAATGGGTCTATAGTTGGCCCCGCACATAATGAACTGGTTATGAAAGAAGAGGAGCCAGGGAGCAATACAGTTCCAGGCGGAAAGGAGACATCGTTTCTCCGCATGAACATCGATGTTGCTCAAAGTTGTGACAATCCCGACCAGGGACCACCGGGCGAGCTCAATATCGGTGGTAACGGCTGGAGTTGACTGTGAAGGAACGTGATCTGTGTCGAGGTGCATGTAAAATACTGGCTGCAGTACCCATAAATCAGTTACAGAGCAATCTGAAATTCGATCGCAGAGCTGCTGAAAGTCTGTAACTGAACGTTCCAACACACCCCGGGCCAATATCTGAGCAATATACCAGTAAGCGGCGATAACAAATCAAAGGTCGATCTCAAAACACTCACAAGTACATCCTGGGGCAGCTGTAATAAAAGTGACTCTGCTGAGATCATCGTCACTTATAACGGGTGATCACTGCGCACTGTCAAGAGTTGTGGTCTAGTCTCATGTAGGAAATAGAAGAAAGATGGTCATTTCTTCTTATTCAGACCATAACGCGCTTATCATGATATCGATAGGGCCTAGATCTTATCAAGCTTCATCCTGAGAAACATTTGAAGCCGAGTCGTAAGCCAAATGAAGTTCAATTACTTTATAAGATGAATGTTTATGACTCAATGTCTTTCAAGCTTGGGGGTGACCATCGACGACACCATGAACTTCTCGCAACTGCAACGTCGAGAGCAAACTGCAACATTAGACAAGTAAGTAAGTATAAGTGTATTGTGCGTGCAGTGCAGAGGTGTGCGTGGGGGTAAACGGAACGAAGGCATGGTCAATGAACATAGCAACGATAGATAATCACTACGTGCTATGACTGCACCGTCCCCGTCCGGGGATGAACAGTCTGAAGGGCCCCGTCATGCGGGTAATGATGCGATTCTGGACTATGCAAATGGTATGATGATGTTCCAATCATGATACCCAGGATGATGCCATTAGCAGTCCCGTTGAGCGCGGGAAAGTTGGTAACCCATTGCCAGCGAATGTGGGTAGGAGATAGTGGGATGAAGCCGCTTGACGTGTATGACAGCTGCGTCCGTCAAGATAGGAGAGTAGCATGGAATACTGATTAGGCATTTGCAAGAGTCGAAAGCCTCATGCACCCTGTGGCGTGGGCTGCTGCATGGGCATTTCTCTTGCCTGACCTTGAATGTCCTGCAAGAAGCGCATGAGATCATAATTCTCTTCTATATGAAAACCACGATCATGGCAGCCTCATGGGCGCACAATCAAGAAATCGAGATCAGTTAAATTAGAGACTCACCATCCTTGGCCTTTTAACGGGTCTTGGACGGACACCATTCGACCCCGCACGGACACCAGCCACGCCTATCGACATGTTCGCACCATTTACGCTCGGGTTGGGTGGTAACACAGGGCTATCCTCGAGTTCACGCTTCTTGCCTCGCATGCCGCCGAGGGCAGACGTATCTATCCGTTGCGACGCGGCACTGCTCTGCACAGCTGATCGCGGTGCAGCGCTTGTCGGTGTAGTTATCCGAGTTGATGCTGTAGGAGGCGGTATGGTTACAGCAGGAGCATGAGGCTTTGAATGAATGGGCTGCACTTGTGATGCTGCAGGCGGTTGTTGTGCGGATGGTTGATTTGGATTTGATGGCGCCACTTGTGGCGGCGGGAGTGTACCGGGTGCGCCGGGTATGCCTCCCGGTACAAGACCTTGGGCTTGAGCACGCGCGAGTTTTTTGAGCTCTTTCTGGGAGCAGCAAAAACATGATATCTAAATATCAAAGCCCGTAGAGATGAGAAAGCCGCACGTACACGTTTCCTCCTGTCTTCCTTTGCCTGTGCAGACTCCACGACCAAAGTGCCCACATTCCACTGGTACAATATCATCAAAATACGAGTATGGTGTGGAGAAAGAAGAGCGTACCCCTTTCAGACCTTCTGCACTGACGGTGAATGCTTCCCTTTGTGTCCGTTCATCGAACTCTGTGATTGGTATGCGTTGCTTCGGTGGAACCTGCATCATCGTAGTAAGGTAGTCGTCTTTCTTCGTCGAGTGCTTCCCCGGGACGCTCTTTATGAGGAATCGGTAAGAATTCTTTTTCATTTTGTCATCACTGTCTGGAAGCAGGGCGGCCGGTGTGAGTGGTGGTACAGAAGCGTGTGACAATGGCATCTGGGAGGGAATGGATGGGCGGACATGCTTGTCATAAGCGGGATGAAGATTAAAGCGACCAAGAATGTCCTGTGTGCTTGCAAGGAATGTTCGTGGAGGGGGATGTGCTGTAATTTGTGAGATTAGTCGGGTGTGAAAAGTAGTAATCAAACGCTATAAGAATGAAAACAACTAGTGATGCCCGTACCAGCTGGTGGTGGTAGAAATACGAAGTTATAGTCTTGAGTTATCGTTGACGGGCCTGCCACGGCGTTCTGATTTACGTCGTCCTCGACGTCCATGTCGAATAGCGAGGTGAACGAGCGGAGATCAGAATCACACTCTGAAAGCGCGTAAGTCGTAGGCTGCCCAAGTTATCCGAGGCAGCGCCACAGATCAGAAAAGCAGCTTGCTCGCGGATGTCGCGGTAATTACCGACGATGAGCAAAGACTGTTGGTCGCCGTCGTCGTCGATGGCAGGGACAAGGGGATCCGACAAGTTTAAGAGAATATGAATCGGCAAAGATTAGTCAGCGACACGTGGTCACGGTGTTGGCGGGAACGAAGTTTTGAATCGAATATTATCACCTTGGGCAGCAACGTCTATATCTAAGACTAAGTAGAATTCTCGTGGGCCTCGTGGACTGCGACCTTTGTGGACTAAGGTAAGCCTTATTTTTGTTTACTGCCGGTACATGATACACATACATGGATACTAACTTCTGCAGTAGATTAATGACCGAGCTAAACGATACACAGATACATTTAAATCGGGAGGGCTGAAGATATGTGCTTGGAACCGCCACGAACTGTCATGAAAAACTTGGTGGATACGAGATGGAAGGCATGCAATACGTTGCAATGTGCCGCAGCCTCCATAATGTCACTGTCGGGTGCAAGACCATGCGATTCAACGTGTACTTCTGATGTGATACTAGTACAGATTTATATGATAAGTGCCGAATACTATCGGTAACTGAACAAGCTTGCAGTTGGAGATAATACGACTGATGTTTCTGATGGAAGGTCCCGGAGGATTTGTTTGTCAAGAGAACTCGACGACCTTGAGCGCAGATGACAGTGCAGGGACGAGACATCGACATCGATCAACCGGCAAGCACCATTCCACCAAAGCGCTTGAGCCAGGCGTCCAGCCTCTCGGTCTCAAAATACTCAAAAACCCAATCCTCATCTGTTAAAGCCTCTGCTTCCCCCTTCCACACGTATGTGGATGCATCCAACTTGCTTCCATCGGCCATATCCACTACAACTGGAGTTCGTTCGTACGAACTACCCTCGTAATTATCCAATTTCTTCCACTCCGAGGGGCTGGTGGGAAAGATTACATATCCATCAACAGTGCGGGTGTCATTGCTACGGATGAGCGCAGGATAATCACGGCGATGGACGCGGCGCCTTTCAAAACCCGTTATTGTCCCAGGTTTACGCTGAGAAAGGACGTCTCCCGCTTTCGAAGAGTCGCCCTTTATTGCCCAGGCCAGAAGAGGGGCGGCCATTAACGTCCCGTAGACAAATATTGGTGCAACGGGGCTGTCGGACGCAGCAGTAGGGTCCATCGTCTTGTGAAGAGTGATAGGTAATAGGGATCTAGCGATTTCACCTAATACGTTACAGGCGTGGCTAGTAACACAACATCAATATCAAGTCCACCTACAAATCAGAAAATCATTACCTGGGATAGTGTAAAAGAACAAATTGAATAGTCAGCCCCTTAAGTTACTGGGCCCTGTAGTGATAGTCACATGATGACCAGAGCTGCTGCACAGGGGTCCATTAGCCAAAACAAGCGATTCCCACACCTTGACCAGTCTTATGACCATTGTGCGGCATTGCTCTTAGAGATTACTGACTGTTCAGTGAAAGATACCATGCGTAGTATATGGACCTGGATGAGGTCAGGCCCAATTCAATCTGCTATGGGGTTTTCTACTTACCACACGAAACTTCAGTAGGTTGCGGGAACCTCGACATTGTGGAGAGACAGAGCCTCGTTCAAACCAGACCGAATTCACTGTGCGTGGTGCATTTTACGAGAGGTCCTTTGTGTATCTACATACCGTCTTCAACAGTTCCAAGCAGTCGCTATAGGCCTGCTAATAGGCTGTTTGCTGTGCTTTACGAACTTGTACTTTGGATTGCAGACAGGATGGATTAGCATGTGAGTATCGCCAAGTAACCGACAAGACAAAATAACTGATACTTTACTCACGAAGGATGTCACTTCAGTCCGCCTTGATTGGTTTCTTGCTATCCAAGATGCTCCCGACCCCACTTTCTCCACAAGAGATCATTGTAGTGCAGACTACTGCAGTTGCTACCGGCACGGTGGGTCGTATTCCACTCTCCTTCATATTCAGCTAACCACTTCCTTTACAGATGCCATTAGCAGCGGGGTTTGTTGGAATTTTACCTGCGTTAGGTCTACTCGAGGAGGAAAAGGACGGAAGCCCACCAATTCGTCTCTCTTGGCTTGCTGCCGTAGGATGGTCATTCTCAGTCGCATTTTTCGGAGTATTCTTGTCACCTCCCATAAGAAAGCAAGTTGTGCGTATTGTAACTCTTCTTCTTTGAAGGCCAGTCTGACGCTGAAAAGATCATCAAAGAGCAACTGGCGTTTCCATCTGGCACAGCGACCGCTCAACTAATTTCTGTCCTACATCGAATGCCCCCTCCAGATACTACCTTGCGACGCCGTTCCGGCTATAGGGCGATTGATACAGAAGACTTGGCACAGCAAACTGCGAACACGGACGAACCTGGGAATCATCAGGAAACCTCCGCAGAAGACGACTTTGACGAAAGAGAGGTTGTTCAGCGAGAAGGCTGGGAGGATCTACTAATGAGCTTTCTTGCTTCCGGGGCAATGACGGTATGCAGTGTCCTCATTGCCTTTTGCTCGCTATATTCAACTCATGTCCATCTTCAAAGCTTGCCGCGTATTTTTTCCCGATTGTCTTCGCGATTCCGCTATTCGGGAAGTACCTAGCCCGAGAATGGTTTTGGTCTTTTACTCCTAGTTTATCATATGTCGGTCAAGGTGTGCGTGTCTTTGTCTAGTCAAGAGTTTACTAAGACTTCATGAAGGCATTATCATGGGTTTCCCAACTACCTTGAGCATGAATCTGGTAAGTCTGATTCTCCACTTACGTAGTTGCTATTTATCATTTACGTCAGGGCATGCTTGTGGGTTGGGGTATCTTATCACCCCTGTCCAAGTCCTTTGGGTGGGCTCCTGGTCCAGTCGGCGACATGTCTACGGGTGCGCGCGGTTGGATCCTCTGGATATCTCTGGCCATTATGTGTGCCGACTCCTTCATTTCTCTCCTTCCTGTTGTCTATGAGTATTGTATCAAACTAGTGGCTTGGTATAGACCAACAAAGCCTGGTGACGATACAGAAACGCATGAAGATCTTGAAGTGGAAACCGCTGACCGACTTGTACCAACGAAGTGGGTTATGTACGGTCTTATAGGCAGTATATGTGTTGGGACAATTTTGGTTTGGATCGTATTCGGAAATGATGGTATCAAACCATGGGCAACCTTGATCGGTTTCATGATGGGTGGATTACTCAGTATACTGGGGTACGTTTTTCGACCTGATGGTATTCTCCGGCTGATCATTCCACTAGGGTGCGGGCGCTGGGAGAGACTGATTTGAATCCTGTAAGCGGACTGGGGAAGATCTCGCAACTTCTCTTTGCTTGGATACAACCTGGCAATGTGGTTGCAAACATCATTGCCGGAGGTGTTGCAGAAGCTGGCGCTCAACAGTATGGTTCTCCTTCATTGTGTTAAATATGCGCTGAAGAGTAACCGCAGAGCTGGAGACCTTATGCAGGACCTGAAGACTGGTCATTTGATACGTGCTTCCCCGAGAGCCCAATTCTATGGCCAACTTATCGGATCATCATTATCAATCATTGTGTCAGCGACTGCCTACACCCTGTACCAACGAGCATATACAATACCCGGACCTTCTTTTCCTGCACCGACTGCATACGTCTGGCTCAGCCTGGCTCGCCTCCTCCGTGAGATTCCATCGTTGCTAGCTGTTTCGGGCCACTGATATATTAATTGTGGCAGGAAACGGGCGACTTCCTCAAAATAGCGCCTCCTATATGGTGCTATTTGCAATAATCTTCGGTGTCATTGCAGGTATCAAAGTCATGGCTGCACAACGCAACCACCCACATACAAAGTGGATCCCTTCTGGCATTGCATTTGCTATTGGCTTTCTCAACACGCCTTCTTTTTCTTTGGCACGTCTGATCGGCGGGATCATCGAATTTATGTATCACAAGCGCGTTGCAAAATCCGGAGGCGCGGATATCAGGTTGATCGTGATCGCAAGTGGCTTTGTGTTGGGCGAAGGAGTGATCAGCGTGATTTCGCTGGTGCTGAAGACATATGGAGTGGGCGTGGTAAGTTGTTGGGGCTGTTCTGGAGGCGTCTGTGCTGGCTGCCCTGCGTAGGATTTAGACTAAGCACGGATGAACGCGCGGGCGGGCAGTTGTTTTTCTGTAGCTTCCGTATCACTTTGCGACGCTTGACATGCATCGGGATTCAATTTTACTTCGGTGCACCAAAAAAACATATGCAATGTTGCGAGTACTATGATCGACGACGCTTTGAACCAGATTTTCTTGCACAATGCCTGACACATTGAGTGTACACAGAACTGGCGGATGACGCATGTACACGCTCCTGGAAAGCAATTGAAGTCATGCCCGGTTCCTGCATGGGAGTCAACTATTGCAAGAGCCTAACGTGAAATTCTCGAACGCGGATGATTAAGCGCAGTCCCAGTGACACAATACTAGATTCCTCCTATGAAAATAAACTCTACAATTGACGTATACAGGTATAGAAACATCTTCCGAGATCAAAGAGCTGCTGTTAGTGTGCAGTTCTTACGGCGGCATTACATCATCCTAGAGTACAATCATACCTCATAGCGGCGCACCCGGAGGGGTACACTACATCCAACCTCAGTGCTTCCAACCACGCTCGGTCTTGGTAAAAGCCCTAAACTCTTCACGATCTGCACATCAGCCCCATCTGCCATCTCAAACACGAAGTTTCGCACAAGGATGAACAACACAGTCTGGGAAGAGATGACGCCCGATTAAAACGAATTGCCAATACCCTTGCGGCGCAGCTGCTTACCTTGAACTGTGTCAACGCAAACAGCCTCCCCGGGCACATCCGCGAGCCATTGCCGAAGGTCATCAGATGACGATAGCCATGCGGCATATCTCCAGCCCCATGCGTGCCTTCGTCCTTTTTGAGCCATCGGGAAGGTTTGAACACCTTTGCGTCAGGCCCCCACATGCTAACCGAGCGATTGAGGGCGGCCAGCGGGATCACGACCTCTGTCCCTTTCGCAATGCATATATGGTCGGTAAATTTACCGTCAGCTGTGAGCAGGGGCTCGCTGAGCGGGATGACATCATCTTCCGTAACCTGTCATAGGTTAGTTCGAATGTTTGTATTGATTTCTGTCGAATACGAACCGCTCGAGGGACTTCTACAACCGGTGAGTGGAGGCGAAGAACTTCATTCACTACAGCATTCAAGAAGGGAAGCTTGTTCGTGAGGTCGTCGTATGAGGGGGTCGACCCGAACCCTAGACACTCGTCACGAAGCTTCGTTTGGATGTCTGGATTCCGCCCGAGTTCTATAAAAGCCCACTGTGGAATTTAGAAACGCGGTGGGAGCAATAAATAGCTTAAAATTTACTGTAAGGCTGACTGATGAAATATAAGGAATGGTGAGTATACGGGTCTTTTGCTAAACGAATATATACTACCTGCCGTGGTCTCAAAGCTGCCAAGAAGTAGAATCCGTGCCTGACGGAGATGGAGATTAGTGTCGTATCGTTCAGAAGAACTCGATGATTTGTATACCTCGTCTAGTACCTCTTGCTGAGTCAGTCCTACGGTCTCACCAGATTCTTCCGCTTTCACTACAAAACAATTGTAGCGTTCGCAATTTTGGAGACAAAGAACAAACTTACAGAGCAAACCTAAACATGATTTATCTCTCTCGTCAGTGCCGCCAGTCTCTTTTTCCTTGCGCCTCCGCGACAGCATCTCCTGGCATATTTGGCCAACGGTCAGGTGCAACTTCTGGGAGAACTTTGTGCGAGGCCATGGTAGCTGCATGATGGAAGGAAATGTTTGTCCGAGAATAAACAAGCTGTGGGAAGGGTCGACGGATGCGCTGAACGCATTCAGGACGTGCTCGACGTCGGAGCCATTTCCATCGAGTGCGCCGAAGTCATGGGACAGAATGCCTATGCCTGCATTGTCGAGTCTTGGTGGGTGTTGGATTAGACGGCAGCCTGGAGAGGAAGGGATATACATACGAGATGTGATTCATCCTACATAATGTCTGAGCGCGCGAGCAAGAAATTTTGGAGAAAACAAATACCATTGTTGAACATCAATTACAGCGCAATCGGTTCCTCTGTTTGATTCTATCTCAGTGTCCCAAGCCATCACTGCCTATGACCTATTACGAGTGCAGCGACGAGTGAACGACGAATGCCTCACCTTGTGGGCGACATCTTGGAAGATAGAAGTCAAGCTGCGAACAGCAGCTGCGTTGAAAGCAGGGTTGAGATTCTTGCGTTGCCTTATAAAAGAGATGGATTTAGTTCGGCACGACTTGAAGGTCATATTAAATTCTTACCTTTTGTGACTTTCACCGTCAGCCCCCATCACTCCTCTCCCTATCTGTCAGTCGCAGAAGCTAATTATTATCTTGGAGCTGTGACAGAAGGCAAAGGGACATACTGCAATTGGAAGGATGATTTTGTTAAACGGAGTATGGTGATACAACGATGTGTCTCTGGCATAGAAGTGAGAGATTGCTTTTTGGTCCCATAGCATGAGCCTATATTTTCCCAAGGCGTGCGGGATCTTGTACACTGGTCCGTACTCCTTAGCCCAGGGTTCGTACAGTTCATTAGTAATGTTGGAATCTACCACTGTCTTGGCGAGGCCAAAGACCAAACTTGTACCCTGAGGTCCTCGTATGCGTGTCGTTCGTTGTGTTTGGTGATACACTGGCATAAGATAGAGTGCCAGTATAAGGACTAAGATGCATGTTGTTAGGACTAGCAGGGGCCGTGCGAGGCAGAGGTCCTTGAAAGCAAGCCAAATATCCATGCCGCAAATTGTAGTTGGTTTGCGACAGGCCCGTAGTTATGAACGATCGGTAACTGTTTAAATATCATTTGAGCAGTTACTAACTTAGTGTCGCCGCCATGTAGTCCTGAACCGAATTTCGGACGCGAACTTTTGCGAATGGGGCCGCCGTTCAGCCGGAGGCCCAACATATGAGTGGCGGCCATGATGCAGGACCTAAACCCCACCAGGACTGGCCATGGGTTAGATCAATCTGTCAAAGATGGCCTGGGATGGGGTACGTAATTTGTAGCTGATTGATATTTGTGGAGAATCCATATTGCTGTGCTGATAAGCATCGAAGGGTGCGTGGTTACAGTCGACTCCCTCCTAACGCATACCTCTTGGGATAGCCCCAGAGGTACTATGGCTTATTATGGGGTATTCAAAAGAGCAAAAGCCCTGCAAAATAACAAATTAAAAAATGTATGTCATATGAGGGAGTATGCGTTATACCTGGTATGCGTCAGGAGGGAGTCGACTGTAGTCGTATTCGAAAGCACCAGTGATCACCGTGCTTATAGTGCAGGACGGAGTGTCTTCCGTGGTCATTGAGGTCTCCCTCCCTGCTAACACATACTTCCGGGTCGTTTGCTGAGCTAGAATTGCATAATTCAAATTAAGACAACGACGACACAACAAAAGGACCGAACTGTATATGCATAGCTTGCAATTGACTTAGAGGGAAGTTCATGTGGTGGAGTATGGAGTGCACTGCATCCATAATGAAATGAACATTGAGCGCTGAACTTTTGCCATCCGAAATAGAAATAGCATACTTCGTATCCGAAACACGCTCTAAATTCCCTTATACGGCATTAATACTTTGTACCCCGCCCGGTGATGAATCGATGACTGAGTGATCTGTTATTGATTTATCACTCCGGCTCCCACAGACCTCGCTCACCGCATGGACCTTGCATAATAAGTCCATTGCTCTTTTTCGCATTGTAGCTGCACTCCCCCTGATATCGGTAGTATACATATTAGTTCAGTATGTCCCATTGAGTGTATCCTAGCTGGAGGAGTAGAGTGAGGCTGGCCAATATTTTGAAACTACCGAATTAGGACACTGGTACCACCACGGCTTGGCAGCCGAACGTAGCAGGTCACATGCACTCTACCTTGCCGCGAGGCTCCCACCACTGTGATCTCTGATCATTGCATGCAAACTCCGAACTCGTTTTCCCTACCGTTGTGATCATTTTGGCCTGTAAGCTACATGCACCCATGTACACTAATAACGACATCAGCAGAATTACATTCAGTGTTCCGGATCCCCCGCTCCGGAAACTCTTAAGAAAAGTCTCCTTGTCACGCGTCATACAAAGAAGTTATTGTTCATGTCTCCGAGAACCCCATTGCGAAGCACTAAGAAACCGAGTAACTGGTACTAACCTGTAAATAAAGCAAACCTTGCTCCGATTTTCGAACGCCGACCCCCAATTGACGAATCATTGTCCTTTCATTCGCAACTTCATCAGTCGGTACAATTGGTAAACTCTACCGGCCTCTAACTCAACTACCTTCTGCACTATCATCTGATCAAGTCGATATTAATGGTAACATTGGTCAGTGATAAACCTGCTTAAAAACTACATTCGTGTCATGGGTCAACTTCGGGGATGTAGCGGTCAGGAACTCACTATATGAATGACACACTAAACCACACCTCTCAGAGTCAAACCAGCCCTCCAGAACTCCTTACGATCCCTTTCCAGTTCTTCCAAATATAACTCGCAAACAAAGCCGTCTCGTCCAATGCCTTTCCCGCGTGCTCAGCATTCTCAAGGTGCTAATCCAAGAATGCAGGTGCTGTTTTTGGGGAAGTCAGCTGGTGCAGTTCAGCGGCGGGGTAGATGGCGGGAATGGTTGGTCGGCGGGTGTACCAAGATGACTGGTGGGGGTGGAATTGGTTCGAACTTCGCTATTTATCATGACAAGATAGGGACATACAAGAGCAACCAAATCCAACACGAAATCGAGAGCAGCGTTGCTTCTAGCATTGAAGCTCGGAACAAGCTCGTAATGAGATCAGCGGTAATGTGTGCATGACCTTTCTCGACACCTAACCAGGCCAAACGTTGGGTTAAAGTTGTGGCTGTAGTCAGATGAGACGACGTACCTGAGAGTAATCCAGCAGCAGCCTGGTCCGCTGTCAGACCTTAGCTTCATCCGCCGACTCAATCGTTCTAGTAATAGCCGGCTTCATCTTGTTTTCTTCTTCGAACCCAGGGGTATACATTGTCGGAGGGAAGAAGATATGAGTATCGATGCCATACATCATTAGTTCTGAATGCAATGAATCAGCCAGTCCTACCAAGCGTGTCATCAGCATCACCGCAGGGCCCAGAGTCAAGCAGACAGCCATTACTTACCACGCAGAGCATGCTTTGCAGGCGAATACGAAGAATATCCAACCAAAGACATATATCCAAGCGTCGAAGACACCAGCACGATCTTCCCCTTCTTATTCTCGCGCACCATTTGTTTAGCAGCAGCCTGTTCATTGTTCGCTAAACGTCATGTTCTTGTCCATGATCTGAAAGAGTTGAACAATCGACTCACGAATGCGGTCCACGCCTGTATCCAGTACCCATTCGTCATTCCACTTGAGAGGTCCTCTGGCTGCATTTCAAGGAGGTACATCGGTTTTGCAGCACCTGCACATGCGAAAACGGCATCTGGGACTTTGCCACTGTGGGCATCGCTAGCAGCTTGGAAAGCGGCAGCAGACTCCTCTGCGGTGTCGAGGGAGAAGGAAAAGGTTTTGAAGACTTGGTCTGGGCTTTGGAGATTGGCCTGTGTGCGATATCCAGAACGAACAGAGGGTTTCATCCCGGACACGAACTTCAAGCTCTTTTAAAGCATCGTTGAGTTTGCTTTTGGTTCTTGCTACTATAGAGACGTGGGCACCTTTCTGCGCGACGAGTTTAGCGAGTGCAAGTCCGATACCTTGACTGCCGCCTGTGATATAGACGTGCTGGGGCCATGCGCGTGAATTACTAAATCATCGAGGAAGACTTCTTGGCTCACCAACCCCCTCGGACTCCACGAAAACATGAAAGATGACGAATCGAGCAATTGTATTGGATATTGAATACGGTGATAAAATAGTGCCATTCAATGCATTCTACCCGCCTATTCGCCAATAACAGCCACTGGTGAACCCTTGATTTGGACTGTCGACCCTTCGAGCTTTGACCAAGATAAAAAATCACATTCCTTGCAGAAAGCACAATATCAGCTGAAATAATTTAGGATGTTGTGTTCCTTGTGAGTTGCGCGAAAGCTTCGAGAGTTTGTTGGCTTTGTTTCATCGAAAGGGCGCTCGTAGAGTCCACTGGTAGATTTTTGATAGCTTCTAGAGCAGCACACGACAAAAGTGGGACAGAATTGATCATAAAACTCTCATGGTAGGAGGTTAACACAGTAGCATATAGTCTAGACATGATCACCGGCACGACCGGCACCTGCTAAAATTCGGACTCCGTGCTTTGCCTCCGAGATCGACCAGTCTTACTCGTCAAACACTCAACTTATCTCAGACGTAGTAAAGACTGGTTACGAGTCTACTCAGAGTGTCCATTTTCTGGATGTCCTCGTCAGGATCGGAATAGACGTTCGGGTCGTGCGAGATAGCCCTGTCAAAGGGTGATCAGCACACATTTATCCTAGAATGCACATCGTTACTGTGGGTACCAGTGGGTTTTTTATTTTATTTTAAAATCCAATTTTTGTCCCATTGGGGTAAAGTACCCTATGTAGGACATTTCTAGCTAGGAAAAGGGGGACACCTGTGTCCCCCACTGCGTCTCCTACTCTGCAAATGCCCCAAAGGAGGGGTGACCTCCAATGGTCTGCCGTTCCTGCTGGCCATTTTAGATGCACGAGTCTGCTACTCTGCGGGCTGTGTTGATACTTGTCGTTTTGAGGTGTGGCCTTTTGTGTGATATGGATAGACATGTACTTGGAATGCTGGGGCATTCGTCATATGGAGGGAGTGAATAGAGAGCAGAGGAAAAATAAGTGGTAAGATGGATCTAGCGCAATGTGCTGCTGAAAGGTCCTGTTCTGTACCGTGTTTCTCTTTAATGAAATTTCTTTGGGTCCGTCTACCTCTGACTTCTTCTTCTGACTGAACTCCATTTGGGCCGTCTGGCGGCTCCTGTTGCCCTGCTTCGGCGAGTATGATGGGAGGTTGTACCTTGGCTGCTTGCGCGAGTGACGTGTTTTTAGTTCTGCAAATATAATGATCGTTATCTGTGTTCTTTAGCGAGTGGGAGGGGGGACTTCACCGAATGTCACTTTCAGTCTTCCTGTGCCATTTACATATCGGATGAGTGCATCTGTGGCTTTAGCGTTTGATAGGAGGAAGGTGATGGATGATGCTTGTCATTTGAGGGCGTTAGTTAGGATATGTCGTTCTCGTGCATAATGTGGACATGACAGAAGATAATGTTGGACTGTCTCTTGAACATTTTCGCAATGGGGGCAGTCTGGAGTTGCGCTTTTTCCAATTCGGTGCAGGTGTTGGTTGAGCGAGATGTGACGGGTACGTAGCCATATCATTAGGCTTATGTGTCATTTCGGCAGATGCTGAACTAGGGAGATGAATGACTTGCCGGGAGCAGCAAGTTTGGGGTCTATACGTGTGGTGTGGGCAAAGCATGGGGAGAGTGACCATAGTCTGCCCCAATGTTTTGAGGATTCTTGTCGCTGGGCTTGCTTCAGCGCAGATAGACTGCTGGGTAGAACTCCTTTCCTAAGGTACGGTGGGAGGTGGCATGTGGCACTGTTTGCTCCATGACTCTCAGCTGCTTTCTTTGCTTCCTCGTCAGCCTTCTCATTGCCTCCAACCCCGTTGTGTCCTGAGATCCAGTGAACATTTACTTTGAAGTTGTGGTCGCGACTATCTTTCTTTAGCTTGATGAGTAGTCTATGAAAATGATCTATCAGGTAGTGACCGGGTTTGGTGGAGAAGAGTTCACCGCATCTAATTGTTGCTTGATTGTCTACGAAGATAGTGATGGGGTAAGTGAGGTCATCCTCTGTAGAGATGAGTTGGGCTGCTAGCGTTAAGCTGACTGCCTCGGCTTCGAAAACTGTGTGATCGTCAGTGGTTCCCAGATGATATCGTAAAATTCGTGGGTGTTGCTGTCCCTTTCTATACAAAACTGCTGCTGCTCCTACTTTCTCGTCGATTCCAGAGCCGTCGCAGTATACCTTTATGTTGTTCTCATTTGCGTTGTGGTCTTCTATTGCTTGTTCTCTTGTTTTGGCGATGTGGGTGGTGTATGGGTTCTTGTCATTTGGCGGGCATCTACTATGGGTGATGGATTCGATAGAGGAGATATCAATTTGGGTAGCATGGAGGAGCTGGTGGAGTGATGAACGGTGGCATTTGACATATCTCTTTGCTGCTTTGCGGACTGGTGCATGCAATGGGTGGGATTCTGGGTGTGCTGCTAATTGTAGTGTTGCTTGATAGCAGAGATTCTGCATGCGATGTTCCAGCGGTGGGAGTCTTGCGTGTACTTCTAATGAGTTGTTAGCTGTGGAACACATTGCACCTGTGATACTTAGCATGGCGAGTCTTTGCACTCTTCCCAGACGTCTGACTACACCGATAGAACCTGTTTGTGGGGCATCGTTAGTTCCTATGAACAGAGGGCAGAACCAAAGGTCGACCACGTAGAGCATTTTCGGTAGAGCTACAGAGAAGTACAATTGCCTCATTAGTGAAAGTGGGATACCAGTAGACGTGGATGAGAGACGACGGAGCTGCATAATGTAGGCTGTGCCTTTTGCAATGGAGTAGGTGATGTGTTCTTGCCATCTTAGCGATTGGTCCAGGATGACTCCTAAGAATTTGTGTGTGGTGGTAGGCGTGATCGTAATTCCTCGTGTGGTCATGGGTGGGCGGTCTTTTGCTGTATTCATCGAGAAGTCCATTAGTGCGAATTTAGAGGTTTTGAACTTGGAGTTGTGAGCTAAGGCCCAGTCGTATCCCCCTCCACTTCTTTCCAACATGTCCTTCAGAGTAATGTGCATTTCATGGAAGCTTTTCCCAATTGCGATGAATGCCGTATCGTCTACGAATGCTAATGTGCGCTCCAATTTTGCGCGTCCTTTGGCTATATCGACTAGGTCAGAATCCTATATTACGTAGAGGATCATTGAGAGCGGATCTCCTTGACCAATGCCATTGGTGATCGGGATCCAGTCTGATAGGTGTCCGTCGAATTTCAATTGGGTGTGTCTGTTTGTGAGGAGTCGTTTAGTAAATCCTATCAAGGGCTCTGGGAGTCTGCAGGTGCAGCATGTTATGTAGCAATTCGGTCAGTTACAGCAGTTTGGGAAGGCTCCCTCGATGTCCAGGAATAATGCTGATACTACCTTATGTTGTCGCCATGCGTCCTTGATAGTGGCCTCGAGTAGGTGGAGGGAGTCCGTGGTTGATCGACCTGGTTGGCCACTGAAGTGGGTGTTCGGGAGGAGTTCATGATGTTCTAACAGATATGTCATCTGATCAGCAACTATGGCAGTTAGCAGCTTGCATGTTGTGTTGAGGAGAGCGATCGGCCTGTAAGCTTTGGTAATTGAGTAGTCTGACTTACCTGGCTTGCGTAATACGACTGTCGTGAAGTTGTGCCATGGATCGAAGTACGTTTTGAGTGTGAATACTGCCCTGAAGAGGTGGAGGAGATATGGTTCAAGTAGTCTAGCACAGCTTTTGAATATGACGTTGCAGATACCATCCGGCCCCAGTGCTTTATATGGGCTTAGCTTTGATATACTGCGCTGGAGTTGTTCTATGTTTAGGGGTGCCAGCAATGGGACTGCCTCTGGATATTCGAAGTCTTCTGGTACTGAGGATGTTGCTGGTGGCTTGGGGAAAAAAGCTTCCACTAGAGCTGCAGCTTTTTTCTTCGTTAGTATCAGCCGTGCTACCATCTGAGCATTTGAAGGGTAGGGATTCTTGTTGGGCCTCCATCCGTGGCTGAGGCTGTGAGGTACTTGTTGGCAGTCCAGATGTCGTTGCCCTGAGATGTCCTCCAGCCATTCTATCCAATGGTCTTTCTTGGTGCGCTTGATTGCTTCGGTATATTGATTTTGTTTGATGCGGTGTTCCTCGTGGCTGTAGTGTTGTGCGAAGTCCCTGTTATGATATGATAAGTGACTTAATTTCGCGACTTCACGGCGCATCATGGTGAGGTCCTTTGTCCACCATCTTTTCGAGTGTGGGTTGGGTTTCGAGTGTGGGACTACCCATTGGATGACTTGTTGGATGGTGGATGTGAGATTGAGCGCTGCGGTCTGAAATTCATTGTTAGTAACTATCGGTTGAGCGGCTGGGATCTTATCCAGTTCAATTTCCAGTTGTTTGTTGAATTCCTCCCAGTCCGTCTCCCTGAAGTTGTGCTTGACTTCGGTGGTGGCTTGGGGAATGGTTAGTTCGATTATACTGAGAATGGGGACATGGTCAGTCGCTGGACCTCTTAGTGCAGGGTTAGTGTAACAACTGATGAACGATTCGCCGGTGTGGTCAGTACAGAAGACGTTATCTGGCCTTGTCCAGTTTTTTGAGCTCGAGGACTGGAGAGTTGGTAGACCTTTAGGTAGCATCATTATCATACCGTAGTCTGCAATAAGATCGAGAAGGGGTTGTGCTGCATTGAGGTATCGGTTGGTGAATAGTTGCATGTTCCGGTCTTCGTCCCAGAGAGGGTGGTGTCTGTTGAAGTCGCCTACCCATATCATGTGGTCAGTCTGCAGTTGGGTCGTAGTTGTGCGATTTCGCGTTCGAGGAATGTGGCCAGTGTTTCTTGAGTCTTTGTTTTGATGCAGTCATTGTAGATATTGAATATTGTGCATCGCCTGAAGGGTCCTCGAAGTTGAATGACTACTACGTCAGGGGAAGGGAAGGGAATTTGCTGCCATGAGTTCGTATCAATCGTTTTGGAGATTAGAGTTACTGCCCGCGATGTGGTTTCTGGGGAGGAGAAGTGTGTTGTAGGGTATATAGCATGGAAGTATGGCAAGGAGATCGTGTTTTTCATGTTGTTGATGTGCGGTTCTTGTATTGCTAGAATGTCCCATTTTCGTGCGATAGGGCCGTTAAGTAGGGAGTGTTGAGCTAGGTGGGAGGCATTAAGGTTTTGTTGCCATATGCGAAGACCTGTCGTTGTCTCATTCGGTTGTTCAATCATTGGTAGGGGTAGGCGAGTGTTGTTTGTCGGTACTTGAGGGGGAGGGGGAGTTTTGATGTTGTGAGGGTGTTGATGGGGTTAATGAGGGTGTTCTTTTCCGTGGTGCTTGCGAGGGATGCTCGATTCCCCAGTTCATATGTTCCAGTCCTAAGTTTGTGTTTATTGGGATTGAGTTTGATCCTGTGGGGGTGAACACTCGTGGGCGAGTGCGGGTGAATTGTGTGTGTGCGCCGCGAGTAGGCATTCCGTGGGAGCGATTGGTTGTGTATGGGAGGTTGGTCTGTCGGAGGTTTGATTGTTCGTTGTTGGGTGGTTGTTCAATTGGTTTGTGGTATGGGGCTGGTTTGGGGGGCAGTAAAACCTGTGTCCATTCATCATTAGTAGGGAAGTAAGGCATTGAGTTTTTGGGGAGCTTAGCGTCAATTCCTGCGCATCTGTTTTCAAATTCAGGACAGTTTCTGTTCCAGCTCGCATGGTCATGCAAGTTGCAACTGACGCAGTAGAATGTTTGGTAGGCTTCACATTCGTTTGTCTGGTGATTCTTGCCGCAGGTATCTTTTGTTGCTTTGCAGTCTCTGGCTATATGGCCCCATAGTTGGCATTTGACGCATCGGACGGGTTCACGTTTGTCTTTGCGAGGATGAAGTTTTTCTTGTCCGATATAGATGCTGTCTCGGAGTGTGGTATTTGCTGCTTCTGGATTGGTGAAGTGGAAGATTGCGTGGGCGACTCTTTGACCTGGTGCTCTGCGAATTTTTGGTTTGATCCATCCCACTGCCTCAATGGAACCTGTTGGTAGGTCATTCTCTGCTTCTACTGTGCGTCTCCACTCTGCGTCTTCAACATTCGAGCTTGTTGGGAGGAATGGTATTATGATGGAGAAGTGTCGTTCCTTGATGTTCGCTGGGGAGTCGAGTGCTCCAGTGATCTTGATCCTGTTTTCTGGCATGTGGATCCATTTTGCTGCTTCCGCTGTTGTAAGTTCGATGATGAGTGCGCCGTTTCTGATTCGAGTGATGGCCTTGATTTGTAGATCTGGGGAGTCTTCGGTTTGTGCTGCTGAGAGGGCCTGTTCCATCTTCTTGGCGATGTCAGTAGAGCTGTCGGTGGGGTCATATAGTTTATTGCCTATGACGGGGTCGAGGAGGATCTGTCATTCTTTGATGGCTGCTCTGGTTAGGGCTGCCGAAATTGGAGTTTGAGTTTGGGTGTTCTGTTGTACTGCCGCGCTGTATGATTTTGCTATGTTGGGTTGGTTGGTTGTCGAACAGTCCAGTTTGTCTTTGAGTGTTTTGGATATTGAATTAATGCTGGTTTGCATAGCATTGAGAGAGGGGGTTAGTGTGTCTATGGTGTTTTTTACTTCCTTGATAGTGTTGAGTATGGTGTCGGCTGTGTTTTCAGCTTTAGTTGCGGCTGCTGAGGAGTTGTCCGAGTTGACTTGGGTGTTGCTTGTCATCGTGGTCCCCAATTGAGTGATGTCTTCTGCGTTTTTCTTTAGGGATTCTGAGGCTGTGAGCATAGCCGCTACTTGAGGCGATATGGCAGCTATGACATGGTCTGTTAGTTTGGCAGAGAGGGTTTCGATGATTTCCTGTATTTTCGTGTTAGTTGGGTCTGGGATGTCTGCTTGGTCGTTGTCTAGTAAGCAGGAGATCACCCTTAGTCCTTCAATGACGATTGGTGGGATGCCTGGGTATTGGGTAATGTGAAGTATGGTCAGTAAGAGATTCGCGTGTGTGAATGGCTCGCCTGCTTGGCGAAATGGGGATTTTTCTAAGAATGCTTTTCCACTGTTTTTGTCTTTTACATCGAATTCCTGGTTCATTATCTCCTCCTTCGTTAGTATTAATGAGACTGTATTGCGACCAGAGGTCCTGGTTTTGGCTATAGGTGTAGGAGCGCGGGAAACCATGTTTCCTGACCCTCGACCTTTCCCTGTAGCCATTTGGAGTATTACTGTCGAACTGACTGTATGAGAGTAGTTCGGCGCGTTAAACTAGTAGATAGGAAGCAGCTATGGCGTCAGTGACGCCGTTATGCGCTGTTAAGCGCGATGTTGAAAACTAGTTTTCGGGGTCCTATCTGGGGTGCCACTTGGTAATAAGCCAAGAAGCGATTGGTACCAGTGGTTGCCAAGGACAATAGCGCCCTCTGGTTGCCCTCTGGTATACAAATGTCCTTCTGCTCAAATAATGGATCAGTTGAGGAATCACGCCAAAGCACAACCAACCAAGTTCAAGTTCAAGACCGTTCTTGGCTCCTGCGTCCTGAATAGTACTGCAGCAGCTACACTCCTCGCTCTCCAAATCAACAAATGATTCTGACCAGCGATCCCTGTGCATGAGCTCTGCTCCATCGCAATTTTCGTTCTCGACCAGTCATCATCCGAATGGAAATATCTAGCCCCTTCGATCCGCTATCAGTACTAGTGTGTGCGCACCCTTACCCGCGCCATGTTGGATTGTGCAAGCTCAGCTCAGTCAGCGCTCTTTATCTAGACCGAGCTTGACGACAATGTGTCTGCTGCTTGGGACTGTCTCTTTGCACAATCCCTTCAACCCTTCCTTCAAGTTAGCTCCCAGAAGTAGCATCGCAGGGAGTATTGTGTCGTTCAGATCAATAATCTATCTTCGTTTGCCATCTGGGTTATTAATAAGGTCGGAGCTGTCTAGGTGAACTCCGTTTCGGAGGTTTCGGAGCTCATGGCGTTCGCCTCCAAACTATATTGATGCAGACAAGTCACTCATACAGCCCAGTGAACGATAAGGCATTACCACTTCTCAACTTCTCACTCAACTAGGTTCCTCGGACTCCACACCAGTCGAATCCTTGCTTTACGCTTCTGAAGGACAGGCATAAGATTATCGCACTCAACTGTAGGTCTTCTTATTAATATTGTCCGGCATCAGTAATTCCTAGATTCCGTCGAGGATCAACCACGACTGTGTTCCATGCTCTTTTTATGGCACCCACATTATTTGACGACTCCACGATGTCCACGCTTCCGTCATCCTCTCCGATCCTCTTCGTTTTCTCCTCCGATTAATCGTAAGTCCATCAACTTTATCTTTAGGCCGATTTCTTACTTGAAAGTGCATACTGGACTTGGAAAGAAGAGGTTTGATCTCATCGATGCATTCAACCACGCATAAGTTATAATAAAAATCGAGGGAAGATTGCCATTTCGAAGATTACTCAGACATTGTCGCTGTCCTTACGAACCTCGCAATGTTCGGCATAACTTTGGCTTGGTGGGCTATATTTGACCTATCTCGAATCATTTGGTGGTTACGAAATGACCCCGACGATAGCAAGGTTGTCTGAAAGGACGGAGAGAACGACGAGCTAACAGTACGCGGTCCCGTGATTTTCGTCACGATGCGGCGGGAACATCCTGTAGCTAATTTTGTGGTTCGTAACACATCTGTGATGTTATTATCTAAAACTTTGGAGTACAACCCGTGCAGCTTAGTCTGTGCATGTGAGCTCCCAGTACTCTGATGCATACATGTTCCAGCTATATATATGATTCTGGTCTACTTATCTTGTTGTAGAGTCTTCTTTAAAATTCTGATATCATACACGATCTGGCATGATATAGTGTAATGGCATCTATAATACATACACCATGGGGGCAGCAAGGGTAGTAATACCGCACTCAATAACTTGGAGCTGTGTCGATACGGAGGTAAATCAGATTCATTCAGCGGGACAGTGTATGTGACACTAGTACAGTACAGAACGACAAAGTATCATAAGTAAGCAACAGCAGAGCGAGAGACTGAAAATACAGCAAATGGGATAATATAGCGAATCGGGTCTCTGACTACACACCTAAGTGAACAAATACAATCTGCTGTTCCAGTGGAATATCATTGCATCGCAGTTTCTTCACAGCCTGGTGCAACGCCATTGCAGCGCGCGTGCAGTCCAATCTCCTTGAATCATCGATCAGGGTGTCGTAAAAACCAGATACAACCTCCCGTGCGACCTCATCCTTGACAGACCACATGGAACCAATCACACCGCAAAATCCGGAGAATTGCATTGCCGCAGCGAGATGGTTCGATTCATCTGGACTCTTCTCATCACCCACAGTAGTCTGGCAAGCCGACAGGAATGCAAACTGCGGGTTCTGCCAGTTGGATCGGATGATGGCCGTGATCATCAAAGGCCCATCACGCATTGCGAAGGAAGATTCAAATGGTTGTCGTCGATTAGACATTCCATGGCAGGCCAGGTGAAGCCACTGCTTATGGTTCAGGGCGTCAAATGCACCCTTGACCGTTGCGTCGCTGTCCTCGAGCCGCGTGAAGGACGATACGAAGGGCGCGAGACGCTAGGTGACAACGGCTAGCTCGGCAGTTACACATTCAAGTGGCTTCCCTCCATCGGGGATTCCTTGACCAATGGCAACAAAATGTCGCGGGGACGCATGTCGAGAAACCTACCGTCTTGCACGAATAAGTGTCGCCAAAGTGGGAGTATACGAGGATATGCAGATGTGAGACAGACTGTCTCTCTTCTTCTGGTAAGCACCTGCTGCATGCAGAGGAAGCAGCGTGAACTCAGCAGCGGGACACCGCCAGATACGCGAACCGGGGCGAATATTGGATACCCTAAGGGCTTGTACTATGGGGCCAACGACGCCATGCCCAAGTTTACGAAGGATGCTGACAAGCTTGAGTTGAGTATCAAGAGAACCAAATTCTTTTGAAAGAGACTGAAACTCGATTTGGATGACCAGGGGGACAGAGGAGTAATGCATCCCGCTGGAATTCAATGGCCTCATCGAGGTCAGACGTGATGCCACGCTGCTGGAATATATCTCCAAGGCTGAGTTGAGAGATAAGGATCGAATAAAATGGCCTGGAGGACAAAAACTGCAACCCAGCTCGATACACTGAGTTAGTGATGCTGTAAAAGGTCTCGCATTGAGCGCAAGACGGAGTGAGATCAGAGTCAATACACACTTGGCGAGCTGAAACTGCAGTACTGGCACACCGAGGACCCGCTACTCGAGAGGAATGATACGGTGAGTGCTCAGCGATACCAGGAATTTAACGGCGAACTGGAAGGCCACAGTGAGAATCAGATCGAGGCTCTGTTGCCACTGAGGACTCATCACTGTTGTTGATTACATAACGTCGTCTATGCACCGTTTGTAGTCAGCCAATAAAAGATCGTTTATCGTTTATTGTAGTCAGCCATCGTTTATCGTTTATAGTAATTACTCCCACCTTAAGAGTAGCGCCTCAGTCATCGCAGGCGTCTGATATATGGCTGTACAACGCAACCACCCATATACAAATTGGATCCCTTCCGGCATTGCATTCGCCATTGGCTTTCATGATCAAGCGCAGTCCCAGTGACACAATACTAGATTCCTACTATGAAAATAAAACTCGTTACCATATTTACGTATACAGACTCTATACAGACATTTTCCGAAATCAATTAACAATCTAATGTTAGTGTAGTTCTTACGGCGGCATTATATCATCCTAGAGTACAATCATACCTCATAGCGGCGCACCCGGAGGGGTACACTACATCCAACCTCAGTGCTTCCAACCACGCTCGGTCTTGGTAAAAGCCCTAAACTCTTCACGATCTGCACATCAGCCCCATCTGCCATCTCAAACACGAAGTGTCGCACAAGGATGAACAGCACAGTCTGGGAAGAGATGACACCCAGTTAAAACGAATTAAGACCAATGCCCTTGCGCAACTGCTTACCTTGAACTGTGTCAACGCAAACAGCCTCCCCGGGCACATCCGCGAGCCATTGCCGAAGGTCATCAGATGACGATAGCCATGCGGAACATCTCCAGCCCCATGCGTACCTTCGTCCTCTTTGAGCCATCGGGAAGGTTTGAACACCTTTGCGTCAGGCCCCCACATGCTAACCGAGCGATTGAGTGCGGCCAGCGGGATCACGACCTCTGTCCCTTTCGCAATGCATATATGGTCGGTCAATTTACCGTCAGCTGTGAGCAGGGGCTCGCCGAGCGGGATGACATCATCTTCCGTAACCTGTCATAGGTTAGTTCGAATGTTTGTATTGATTTCTGTCGAATACGAACCGCTCGAGGGACTTCTACAACTGGTGAGTGGAGGCGAAGAACTTCATTCACCACAGCGTTCAAGTAGGGAAGCTTATTCGTGAGGTCGTCGTACGAGGGGGTTGACCCGAACCCTAGACACTCGTCACGAAACTTCGTTTGGATGTCTGGATTCCGCCCGAGTTCTATAAAAGCCCACTGTGGAATTTAGAAACGCAGTTGGAGCGATAAGTAGCTTAAAACTTACTGTAAGGCTGACTGATAAAATGTAAGGAATGGTGAGTATACGGGTCTTTTGCCAAACGAATATTTATTACCTGCCGTGGTCTCAAAGGCGCCAAGAAGTAGAATCCGTGCCTGACGGAGATGGTGATTAGTGCCGTATCGTTCAGAAGAACTCGATGATTTGTATACCTCGTCTAGTACCTCTTGCTGAGTCAGTCCTACGGTCTCACCAGATTCTTCCGCTTTCACTACAAAACAATTGTAGCGTTCGCAATTTTGGAGAAAAAGGACAAACTCACAGAGCAAACCCAAACATGATTTATCCCTCCCGTCAGTGCCGCCAGTCTCTTTTTCCTTGCGCCTCCGCGATAACATCTCCTGACATATTCCGCAACGGTCAGGTGCAACTTCTGGGAGAACTTTGTGCGAGGCCACGGTAGCTCATGATGGAAGGAAATGTTTGTCCGAGGATAAACAAGCTGTTGGAAGGGTCGACGGATGCGCTAAACGCATTCAGGACGTGCTCGACGTCGGAGCCATTTCCATCGAGTGCGCCGAAGTCATGGGACAGAATGCCTATGCCTGCATGTCGAGTCTACGGGTGTTTGGATTACGGCAGCCTGGAGAGGAAGGGATATACATACGAGATGTGATTCATCCTACATAATGTCTGAGTGCGCGAGCAAAAATTTTGGAGAAAACAAATACCATTGTTGAACATCAATTACAGCGCAATCGGTCCCTGTTTGATTCGATCTCAGCGTCCCAAGCCATCACTGCCTGTGCCTATTAAGTGCAGCGACGAGTGAACGACGAATGCCTCACCTTGTGGGCGACATCTTGGAAGATAGAAGTCAAGCTGCGAACAGCAGCTGCGTTAAAAGTAGGGTTGATTCTTGCGTTGCCTTATAAAAGATGGATTTAGTTCGGCACGACCTGAAGGTCAGACTAAATCTTACCTTCTGTGACTTTCACCATCAGCCCCCATCACTCCTCTCCCTATCTATCAGTCGCAGAAGCAATTATTATCTTGGAGCTGTGACAGAAGGCAAAGGACATACTGCAATTGGAAGGATGATCTTGTTAAACGGAGTATGGTGATATAACGATGTGTCCTGGCATAGAAGTGAGAGATTGGCTTTTGGGTCCCATAGCATGAGCCTATATTTTCCCAAGGCGTGGCGGGATCTTGTACACTGGTCCGTACTCCTCGAGCCCAGGGTTCGTATCAGTTCATTAGTAATGTTGGAATCTACCACTGTTTTGGCGAGGCCAAAGGACCAAACTTGTACCCTGAGGTCCTCGTATGCGTGTCGTTCGTTTGTGTTTGGCGACGCACTCGCCGAAGATAGAGGTGTCGCCAGTATAAGGACTAAGATGCATGTTGTTAAGACTGGCAGGGGCCGTGTGAAGCAGATGGTCCTTGGAGGCAAGCCAAATGTCCATGCTTCAATAGTTAGTTTGCGACAAACTCATAGTTGTGAATGGGGATCAGTAACCGCTTAAATACTTTTTGTGCAGTGACTTCGTGTTGCCTACTATGCAGTCCTGATCCGAATTTCGGACGCGAATTTTTGTAAAGGGGCTGCTCGACATATGATGTAAGACCAAGCCCTACCGCCGGGACTATGGCGCTCCAAAAAAAACAGATCAATCTGTCAAATCGTGGCAATGCGTCAAAAATATCCTTGCGACGGAGTACGTAAATGATAGTTACACACTCATGGTTCTTATTGTGAAGAATCCATGTTGTTGTACTGACAAGCATTGAAGGGTGGGTCGTATTCAAAAGCACCAACCAGTGACCACCGTGCCATAGAACGTCACTGTTGCAGGACTAACTTCGAATTTGACTCATTGATGACCCTCGAATCCACAGCTGGCAATCGCCCTAGCGAGATGAGAATTACGCCACTTGAACAGATCATAGTAGTAGGATGAAATTTCCTAGACCGGGACTTGAAGCGAGAAGAGGCAGAGCGAGCAGCGGCGATTGGTGCTCGGCCGGATCACTAACTGAGAGGCACAAAGAAGGTCCTACAGTCTGCCAAGCTATTCCTCATAGAAGACTAGAAAATATACTTGGTTAGTGGACATTGAGGTATTACTACTTACTCGCCCTGCTAGCAGATACTTCGGAAGAATTTCATTATTATTAAAGTCGGGCTGTTGGGTAGGCTGTAGTTTTCGGTGTCAGGCCATGTTGCCCACTTTGAGCGGTCCGAGGACTATTTTTCCCGTCTCCCTCTTCCACACGCATACCGTTTTGTCCCATGATGTGATTCGAAGCCCATGATCGAAAATGAAAGGACCGACTGTATATGAGCTTGAAATTTGTGTGGTGAACGATCATGCGACGCACACATTTCGGAAATGAACGTTGCGTAAATATCCAAAGTAGGATCCCGTAAGCGAGGTCTGCAACTCAGAGGCTTGACTTATACAACGTCGCCACCAAACTACGAGTCTTAGGCACTACTGGTTTTTTGTAGTCCTTTACGTAGCACCCATCTATCAAACCGCCCCGTGTTTCGATATAGAAAGGGTAAGCATATAATTAAGCTTCACTACTACTAAATATTTACTAGCACTATTGGTATCCGTTCTAAAATTCCCTTATACGGTATTTACTTTGCAGGTGCCTCGCCGGCATCAGCCCGAGGCTCTTCTAGACGTCCATCTGAAAAGTCTCAAGAAAAGTCTCAGCTGCAGTCCTTAATATCGCTCGTGCGATATCGTAAATTTCATGTTGTCAATATACAACACGTCCTATAACTATCTTGTCTCGAACACATTCCCTTTCGAACTCTTTATCAGCCTTACATAGATAGACATCATGCTTTACCACTGTTGAAACATTCGACGAGCTGCAATGGCAAGACAAGAAGGCGAAGTCCATCAAGGTCAATGATGTCAATTACGAACCCGAGTAAGCTCCGACTGGTAAATGAAGCAAACATTGTTCCACGTACGTTAGCCCCTAGTCGACGAATCATCGTCCAGCTTCATATACATAGTCGGTACAATTGTTTACCTCTACCAGCCTAAACTAGTACCCGTGATCGGATCATGTATAATGTAAACGATATGGTAGTACTAGACCTGACATTTGCATCATGCATTAACTTCGAAAATGTAGTTTTAGAAACGTACTAACGAGTACACATATATCTCGCGTGTGAACGACACCCCGCACTTCTCAGGATCAAACCAACACCCCAGAACTCCTCACAATCCCCCTCCAGCTCTTCCAAACATAACTCGCAAACAAAGCCGTCTCGTCCAAAGCCTTTCCCGCATGCTCAGCATTCTCGAGGAGCGAATCCAAGAATGCCGGTGCTGTCTTTGGGGAAGTCAGTTGGTGAAGTTCGGCGGCGAGGTAGATGGCGGAGATGGTTGCTCGGCGGGTGTACCAAGATGACTGGTGGGGGTGGAATTGGTTGTAGATTAGTTAAACACACGTGAAAAAAAAGTGTCAAACCTCTTGCGCATCGCTACGAGCGATCCAGCACGCTTGGTTAGATACTTGAGCAGCGTGTTTGATTATCGGCGCAGGGTCCACCGGGAGCAGAGGTAGAGGTAATAAGGGAGACGAAGCGAGGAGTGCAAACGCCTAAAGCACCAAGCATAAGTAATTTGCGGGACAGCGAAAAACAACCATCAACTAGATAATCTTTAACGAATAAAATATCAATTACCTCTGGAAGGTGCTCCAGCACTGGTTCGTTGCTCTTTAGCCTTGCCTTCAACACATCTCCCATTCCCATCTTTTCTGTCGCCTCTTCCTTCATCCTACGCCTGGAATCATCAAGCCACGCATGCACGAGCGTCCTACATGCATCGTTTCCTGGGCCAAACAGCGCAGTCACGCTCGCGTCTGGGAGAGGATTAGCTAGTGGTGTGGGTAGGGATAACGCCGACAAGGACAGCGCTTCTCGGGTGAATCCATGGGCTTTGACGAGCGGAAGGGCAAGCTTTAAGAGTTTGGCACTAGAATGGATCTGTGTTAGAGCTTTAGCGTTTAGCCACAAAGTTCTCGACCAAACCTGGTGGCGGTCATCTCATAAGAATATCAAGCACGTGACTGCAGGGATGAACGTATAGATGGCCAAATATGAAAATTCAAAATTCAAAAGTATAAACGACGTGTAAGATCTCTGAATGCCGTTCCTTCTGATAAGGTGGCATATAAGTCTTTGGACACTTATGCATACCTATTACCAACAAGTTTGCGAGGTTTGCTTTGATTCCGGACGTTTGATTGGATTCGGAGGACGTTTTTGTTTCATTGGTAGTTGAGCCATCGAGGAACCTATAGCTAGTTACCATATGACGATCGCCTCGATGACTACTTTATTCACGAATCTCTTCGCCTGCATTAACTGCGAAGTCACAGAGCGCATTGTAAACTTGATAAACAATAAATAAATTTAGCTTCAACCTACTAGTTCCTTCCTGAATTCAGCTCGAACACTCAGAGACTTGCATGCTTGCGAGACTGTCTAGTGAGCTAACGCCACTTAGTGCAAGTGAGTCGTGAAATATAAGTACAGTAACATGGATACCAAAAAAAAGATCACTCGTTCTCTGCACAGTCCCAACAAGTGTTAATCATGCTGAGCATTTCTCGTCATACACGCGCTCCTCGAAAACCATTGAAGTCATGCCAGTTGCTACATCTGAGTCGGTCACAAGCCTAGCGCGATACTCTCGAACACCAAGGACCAGGCGTGGTCCCAGCACAAACTTCCCCGCCAGTGAGCAAATTTGAAGAAAACCAATATAAATGTGATATTTCGTGGAATATAGTTCCTATAGGATGATGAGCCGTGCACATACGCAGTGTTCAGTGAAAGATTGGCATACCAGTGGGGTTTTCGGAAACAGATAAGCAAGGTTGAAGCAAGAAATGGGAATAAAGCTAGCATCGACAAAACTTCAGCAGTCAAGAGAATCACATTCACATCATGAGCTCACCTCGCAAAGTAAAGCACATGAGTTTTAATCAACACCGTGAAACAGCCCCCGATAAAACCTCCTGCCGATGAGCGCCGTAATTCACGGAAGTGTATCGTAGCGATCCAGACTGCGAAACACAGTGTGACAACCTCCCATACAGTGGCCAGTACCCAAGTCATGGAATACAGGAGTACGCTGTCTCCTCCAAAGCTAATGTTGCACTGATACATGCCAGAGAGAACGACTACCTCTGGTATTTGTCAATGAGCCTGGTGCACCTGTATTTCGCCCGCAATCAAACTTACCCCTTGAAACATTCTTCATTATTATTCCCGCGAGCACGACGTTGGCGACGTTGACAATAAGGAAGATGACAACAAGAAATGTCAGCAGGTTTCTGGATCGCTGATACATGGCATGTAAACGAGCAATCATCATGACTTGTGCAATGTTTCAGTCAATTCAATACCACGGAAGTATTGCAACAGCGCAGCTTACTGCCCAGTATAGCATTTGTGATGACACACATCCAATCTAGTGCGAGGTACCCACCAGGGCCTGATAAATTCAGTAACGTTATGGAAGATCGTACGCCTGAATAAAAACTCACAGCTATGGCAATCATTAGGTTGAACTAAGAATTCGGTCAAGAAGCTAACTCACCACTACATGGGAGTGCAGATGATTGATCAGGAATGCAGGCATAGAAACAGAATACTCACCGCAGCTGTCGCTGGAATAAACACTGTATGTTGCCGGTCAGAAGAAATGAAAACAGCGTGTGCAAAGAGACATACGCAATACTCTGGTGCTGATCATGAGAGATGACAGATTAGCACAACACCAATTGCTTAACCTTCCCAACATACACGGAATATATTAGTCCAACATAGCGCACCTAGGATCATTTCAAGTCAACACAACTTGCCCGCCACACTGATAACACAAACTACATACACCCATATATGATGCCGTCATGAGGGACCAAGGTCTATCCTGCCGCGAATGATTAGTTGCGTTTTCACGTCGTGCTATTGATGCTCACACAGATCAATTCCACCTATGTAAGCATTCTTAGTCAGATGGCTGCTTCAGTAATATCATCGACCCACCTCTTGACCCAATGTAAGTGCTGGAAACGCCATGAGGATATCAGTGCCTTTCATCATGCTTGGTCGTGCTCACTCCAATCATACATCAACCCAACAGCGGAGGCGACTGCAAAACCGCAGCCAAAGTCAGATTGACACATCACCATCATTAGACTCGTTCTCCACGAACCTGCAAAGTAGCTGTCGACACGACTCGTCTTGATGAACGGTCCTAAAAAGAGAATATTTGAGACCGAGGTCATGGTAGTAGAAGAATGAGCAAACTAGAGTGAAGACCTTGGTTAACGTATCGTTTATGCTGGATACAATACCGTTATCCGGCGCTGGACCGCCGAAGCGAGATTGAGAAATGATTGTCCCAGTCTTGATTTGGTGAGGTAAGTGTTTCAGGATGAAAGTGAATATACAGTCCGACATCCAGCATTATGCCAGTGGTCTGACCCGACGCCACACTGAACATCCTAGCGCCTTCGGGAATTCTGAAATCTCGATTTAGTCGTGAGGTGTGATTAAATATTATTTGAGTCCCACCAGTTTAGATGTCAGCAAGGTGACCGATGGAGGTATTGAATCTGGTCCGGGACAAACATAGAGTGGTTGACTCAAGCCGCGTTGCGGCAGACAGGCTTTAGTTGGTTCCACCCTGCGTCATACATATAGTACTCTCGTCCTCCGATCTGTTCAAGCCTGAGTGATCTTACGTGTACCTTCTCGCTCTCGTCTGCCTCAGTCACCATCGGGCTAAGAGGAATTGAAAGCAGATCCGAAGACAGCCGTCACGAATATGAAATTATGATCATGGCAAGGGGACGAGGTTTTGGGGTCGCAAAATAGTTCCGTCTGCCAGGCCTCTCGCCAAATTTTCACCCTGCCACCCCCGTCTCATACTGCCCGGGCCCCTAAGCATTGTACTACGGCCCACACGTGAGCGTCGATTCACCAAGCTAAGTGACACGAAATACACGTATCTCTCTTTGACGCAGCTGGTAAGCTCCGTCATAAAATACCTTCTTTTAGACCCATGTCTCGCAAGAAGCACCGTCAATATATCGCATTCCACTATTGCAACTCAAAGTCAGGATTTCACTTCGCTCTCATAAGAAGGTATGGGAATAAGAAAGGTGCTCGACGCAAAGCTACCCGCACACGAACCGTTGGTCGTGCAGGCAGGGCGTATACATGTACCGGTCGTGCAGGATGATGCGCAATGGGATTGCCTAGTATAGATGATCGAAGCATAAGCTGCGTTGCGAGCCAAAAATGGGACTTCAGCATGATCCTAGAATTCACAAATGAATGGATGACAATATGCAAGCACCGGTTCGAGGCATCTAGTCCTTCCCAGCTTTTACGCACGACTCTCTATGGTGAGTGAACGGCCGACTGCTTGTATTGTAAATCTACGACTGGAAACCGCGTATAGGGTAAGGGGTAAAAAAAAATCACTCAGGTTTACTGAGCTTAGCACAACCCTCTAAACCTGTAAATCTAGATAGAACGGCATCAGGATCTGGGTCCTGGGCGTTGGGCTGCTGGCGTTCTCCTGAGCTCGACGACCGTTTAAGGCGAAGATAGTGATAGTATCGCTCGTCGGCATCTCTTTTAAGCACCAAAAAACAGTCCACCAGGAAATCCCATGTGACTCCGTCTATGTCCGATTCGGAGGGTGCGGAAGCCGTCATATTATTGAGAAAGAACAAAATTTCCTTGCCGCATGCCACAGCACCTAAGGTTGCCCACTCGTCCAATGGGCACAATCTCCGTGGTAGGACTCCATTCTCGCAACGCAAGGAAATCCAGGCGAAGCACCACATGAACGACTCCAGATCATGACGATATAGGTGTTTGACTTCACCTCATTGACCCTCACTCACTGAAGATCGAGCGCCATGAACGGCACCGTGCCCGTGCGCTCATTGCCCCGAGAACCTGAGTCATTCGCCAACGAGGATAGATCGTAGTCGTTCAAAACGCCTATCCGCTTACCGTCTTTCCAGTACCACATCAGATTTCCAGGGCTGACATCTCGATGATAGACCCTGTCCTTCCAAACAGTAAGGTGACCTGCATGCTATGTCGACAAGGAGACACGTGAATTCGGTGAAACACGTACATGAGATACACTGACGCCAGACATCAAAAAGCTCTTTTCCCTGAAGCTTCGTGATAGGGAGGAGCTTGCTGAATACAAGAATATAGAGCACACGACCTCCCGTAGTGGGTTCAGGAACACCGAGCGCTTCTTGAACGGCGGACGTGGGATTCATGAACTGGTGGTGCCAGAGCAGCTGGGGAATATGATCTTTGATAGTATCGTGCACCTCAGCAATCTCTTTAACCTTGTCCGAGATGTCCGGCTCGCTGGTGCGAGTCGCCTCTCCCCAAAAAATCTTGACCACCATCCCATCCTGGAAGATACCGTATTTCTTCGTGAGCGTTTCGCTGGTGATAGGAACCACATTGGTGGCCCGTCCTTGCAGACCGTAGTGCGTCACTCTTTCATCGTGACTGGTGTGAAGCAGCAGATCCACCTCTCCAAGTTTTTCATCCTTGATTTTAAATTCATGGCATCGCTTCCCCTCAACCTGAACTGGGAGGAATTCTTTGTCTCGGTCCCAATGGTGAAGATCGAATCGTTGTAGAGCATACAAAGGCACCATGAATCGAGGCTGTCCTTATATCTGGTCGACCAGTGTGGTGCAAATGTGGTAAACATGTGGTGAACCATCTATCAATCTGATCATTCTGATGTGTTATGTGGGCTGATGTGACCTACGAGTCTGTTCGGCCACCATTATTTGCGCAAGTTAGAATTTGGTTCTGGCTTTGCTAATCGTCGGAGCTTGAACAAGATGTCACGCTCCGATAACGCTTACCGTATGCCTTATCCTACTATCAATACAATGCCTCTTGATCCTGATTACGACGAGGACGCTAACGAGGACGAATACGACCTTGTGGAGGCAGAGGATATGGACAACGATGCAGAGGAGAGTGATAAGAAGTATCTGGCATGCATCATGCAGATGGCCATGCATGCTACATCAGGAAAGCCCCAACTTACTTAATCTTGCTTAATCAACTTAGCCACATTTGTTTCCTCTCTCATGCATCATCTACCTAGTAAATTTTGTATTTTTTTAGTGTAACCTGTAACAAAATATGTATGCTAATACGACTGAACAACTTTTTCCTGAATATGTCAAATTTGAATTTCTAGCAAAGTAGGCTAAGTCACTAAGTACGACTTAAGTCTGTTTAAGGCAAGCTTAAGTAAGTTGGGGTTTTCCTGATGTATGCACATGGTCATTACAGTCCTCAACGCAACAACTACCGCGCTCGAAGCTTACTCAAACACCTACTACGACAAAGAGCCGTATCATACCTCCGCTTTGTCGGGGACTGCATGGGTCACCGAACTTCTCACTGGACACCCTGAACGCATCAGATGCGAGCTCGGGGTCCACAAGCACGTTTTCTATGTGCTCATCAATCTCCTTCGGCAAGCAGGATGCAGAGATTCCAGGCATGTACTGCTAGAAGAGCAGCTTGCTATATTTCTCTATGCGTCTGTCACGGGTCTCTCGATTCGCCATCTTGGTGAACGCTTTCAGCGGTCCAATGAAACAATATCAAAGTACGTATATTGTTGCTGTCCTGGTATCAAGCTTATGTTCTTTCAGGTATTTTAAACGGGTTCTTTTCGCATTCTCCTCGCCACTGATATATACGACATACGTCCGCCTGCCCGACGTAGATAGCCCTCCTCCCCCCGAAATCACGAAAAACCCGAAGTTCTTCCCGTTCTTTGTTGACACTATCGGAGCCATTGACGGTACACACATTGCATGCCATCCTTTTGGTGAAGATCGGCATGCCGCTCGGGATCGCAAGGGGAACTTCTCTCAAAACTGCCTTGCGGCATGTTCATTCAACCTTTCGTTTACCTACATGTTGAGCGGTTGGGAGGGGTCAGCTGCAGATGCTCGTGTCTATCACGATGCTCGTACTACTGATTTCAATATCCCTGAGGGAAAGTATTATCTTGCGGTCGCTGGATTTGGCTCGTGCGATGAGCTTCTGGTCCCGTTTCGGGGCGTGCGTTATCATCTTGCAGAGTGGGGTCGTGCTAATACTTTGTATGATGTGTTCTGCTAGTACCATTCATACTTATGTTCACATCATTACATAGGCCTTGTAATCGCAAAGAACTTTTCAATTTGCGTCATGCAATGCTTCGAAATGCTGTTGAGCGCATTTTTGGTGTCATCAAGCGCTGATTTCATATCCTTCTCCTCCCGCCAGAGTACAAAATGGACATTCAAGCGCGCATTCCTCCTGCCTTGTGTCTCGTGCACAACATTATTCGAGTTCACGATCTAAACGACATGATGGACTATCGTAATGTGTTAGATGCGCACATTCTCACTGACACTGGAAACCTTGCTAACGGTCCTCCTACTGAGCACGCACGCACTCGTGCGAGCCTCCGTCGTGACCAGATTGCTAGTAAGATGTGGGAGGCCTACAACAGGGAAAGGATTCAGAGGGGGGAGCAGGCAATCATAGAACCACTAGTACTGTAGTTGCGTTAATACCATAGCCATTCGGACCCTCATTGATGACTATGATCCAAAGTATCTCTGTCAAATGATGACATTGTTGTCAGATCAAGACCGGACCCTTATCAATGACTATGATCCATAGAAATAGTGATATTGCTTTGCTACTACAAGTACAATACAAGAGAACACGACACGACAAGAATACATGTAACACTACTTTGAATGCTGCTCTAAAAACAACCACCGAAGACTATCTACCTCAATAGCAAGATAAATATCAATGATAGCGATGTCGGCCTGAAATTTATTCAAGATATTGAGTAGTTGTACGTCCTCTAGACCCTCACTCTGCAACTTTTTCACCGCCTTCTGCCTGCGCAAAGGGATGGGATCTACTGATCGCGCCAAGGTGTTAGAGGTGTTGGCCTCAAGAGCATTGGCCGCGCGCTCTAACGTCGTGTTAAGACCGCCAATATTAGTCCCCATATGCTGGATGGCCACAGGCATCGTCAGGTGTGCAGACTTTGCCGAGTCTCCCGATTTCGTTGAATGTGGGGGGCAGGTAACGATATCAAGCGTACTTTCGTCATCATCAATCAGCTTCCGTTTACCGGAAGCTGTTAATGATGGCGCACTAACACGGACCGACTCAAGGGAGGGTTGCTGTGCAGCGTCGAATGGAGGGAGGCTCTCTGGGGTGAGGGGGGTTGCGCACTGGCCGCCTGAAATAGAGCTGGGGAACTCGATCCCATCGAGCGCATCTCCAAGGTCCATCATATGGACCTTGTCAAAGGAAAGGGGGGTGACTGCGCTGCTAGAAGAAGGCGAAGGAATGATGGGAGGTGGTGTCGCGATGGTGGCAAAGAACGAGTTGTTGTTACCTGGCTTGACAGGTATGAGACCTTTCAGCGCCTCATAGTGCTTCCAACCCTTGTCCCGGAGGCCTTTGGCCTTTGGATTTTTCTATTGATTCATAGTAATTAGCATTGTCATAGTAGTTTGATGCGAATTAAAATCACTTTACCTTCACAAAGTCGGTCCACATGTTTTTGGACTCTGGAGTGATTGAAGCTCCGTGTTCCATGCTGTAAGATAGTCCGGAAGCGTTGGCCACTTTGTCGACGACGTTGAATGTACCATGGAGCTGAAACTCGATCATTAGTGAGGGTACCAAGGCTGATATAGTAGTAGTACATACCTGCTGAAGGTACAACAATTCAGATGGTGAGTCTGAACAATGTTGGGTCTTGCAGAACCTAGCTGCTATTTGACCCTAAAGGGTTTCTGGACCAGGCTCAAGGCTCAGAGAAGAGGAAATATGATAGAAACTTGCTAAGTACTCAGACTCATACTGGTAACTGGTGAAAAGATAACTTGATTATGTAAGCTACAAAAGTGCAAACATAACACTAAGGTAAAAACAGTCTCTGCAAGCCTAGCCAGAAATGAATCCCTACACCGCCCCCATTTTGATTGACATGCTACCGCTGTTTTGCTTGCACCCAAGCAGGGGTGTTTTTCCATTTCAGCGGCAGCAGCAACCCAAAACGTGTGATCAAAGTTCATACCATCACCACCTTGTGAGCGGTTGGTGGTGACATACTGGATGAGGATGGTTTCGTCTGCTTCCGTCCACACACACCGATCTCTCACTTCCGTTAGCTCTGCACCACCACAAGCACTTTTTCTGCCCCGAGACATCCTGTAAGAGTTGCAATAATGGATAGATTGTAGACGGGTAACGGGCATGCCTACTACTTAGTATTGATTGATTAATAAGGTTGGTCACACTGTGACCAGCACGGTCCTATGATTATGAAAGCAAAATATAGATTCTAAACCTGCGTAAACTGGCGCAAATATTGGTGGCCGAACAGACTCTACAGTTCGACTCCGACACGTTCCCATCAACGTGCGCACGTGATCCTGACTTATTTGATTTCAAATTTTGGGACCGACTTCCGTCAGAATACAAGGACTGAAAAGTCCCTTTCTGACGTTGTATTGAACCATCACTGTTATCCACGGACTACCCATTTTGGGTACATCTCGATATCTCGGGTTTTATCTGCTTATATACTACCTCACCATCAACATCACCTCCCCATCGCTGTCAACACTATGCTCCTGCCGCTGCCTATCTGAAGCTACACCAGTCGACCGCACCTCCTCCTACACTGCACATCCACCTGCTTCTTCGTGCTCATGCAGCAGCACTTCATCATGCCCTATCTCTGCCTCTGTTTCGACGTGGCCGCAATTCAATGTATATCGGGCCCATCGAGGTTCCACCAATGCGGAGAGAACGACGTTGCATGGAAGGACCAAATCGAGGACATCGAAGGTGAGCAAGTTGAGCAGTGATAACTATCTGACTACTCATGTTGACTAGGCCCACGACACCTGATGTGAATGCCGAAGGGGGCAAATCATGATCAGATTCAGAACTGGCGTCAATGCCATGAGTGAACGGTGAGTCTGTGATCAAATTTTAACGTCATTTGTATCCTCATGTGCTCGTTTGTGCAGCCATCATGTCCGGTTCTTCCCGAAGAATTCAAGAAATGTTGCATCTCAGGAATGTGATGCTAGGGCAGCACTCTGTTTTTGCAACCACCATGTCTGCCCAACCACTTCGGGGAAGTCGCCTCGTCATTCAGACTCTGAACCCTACACTGCTACCTCCAACGGCCCGTGGACCAAGTGGTTCTAGTCGTGTACTCATCAATAACCTTACGACGAGCACTGGTCAGAAGCGCAAATGTGTGCAAACTCTCATCTCGCAGACTCGATCTACTGGTTTAGCAGACTGTCAGCCCATAGAGTTGCCAGTACTTCCCCCTTCGAACAAAGGTGATATCCAGCCAAATGTGTTGGAGCAGCCATGCCTGCTACTGGAGACAATGCCGTCTGATGCACCAGATGATGACCTCGTTTGGAATTCTGCATTGCTGCACACCAGTGATCTGTACACCCGCACCTTGTACTGGGATGCTTTAGTAGCAGCGGATGCTGTTTTTAGGATTAGTGTGGATCTGTGGGTATTGCAGGATTGGGATGGCGAAGAGGAAGTTCTACAGGTAGGTGTTACGACACACGGTCGTGTGCGACTAGGATGATCTAAACAGCGACAACCACGACAGTGGTACCGAGTGCTGAGAGTCGTCGGCCTTTACAGACAAGCAAAGGTTGCGTACTCAAACGTAGCTCGTGGTGGTTAATGAGGGGTTACGCTGAGATGATAGCAGGGTTTACAGACAGTGAGAGGCGTCACTGAAGGTACGAGTCGATGTCGAGCAGGTAGCTTTAGTGGGACAAGGAGTTCAAGGGTAAACCTAGTAAGATTAAAGTAAGGAACGTCTACTTTAATCTTCGACCTTATATAAGGCTACTCTTCGTATCTAAGCTCAGCCTAAAGCTGGGTTCTAATCTGCTTATCTACATGAGTCAGAGATAACGTCCATGAGGCGGGCTTCTATCGTAGATAGGGTCCATGCAGTACCCTTCTATCAGTACATGAGGCAGCACGAGGCTTGCCTTCTATCTTGATAACATAAATAGGTCATCTAGACCTATGTCGTCATGTGTCATCATATGCGGTCCAGACCGCTTATCTAAGCCAGCAGTTGCCACTTATCGTCTATCATCATCTATCGTCATAGAGCTGGTGAGACTCCGGTATCGTCTATAGCCGTGCGGTGGCAGAGGGCTGTCTGCTGGCAGGGGACTCATGCCATGTTACTGTAACAGTAGGAGAACAAATGCATAGCAGAATTTTTGTACTGACTGGACCTTCTCAGCTTGGATCTTACTTTCATGTGGTCTACCTACCTCAGAGTGACGATGAATATGGGGTTGCGTGTATGTGTCCACACTGGAAGGCTGCTCATGCCTGTATCCACCAGGACACCCTGTGTTCCTTCATCGACACCTTGCGCTGCCTCCCACTTATTGCTCCATTCCCGGCCCCTCCTGCAGTTTTATTACAGTCGACACCCTTCAATGACAAGTTTATTTTCTCTTGTGCGTCGGCTATGGGTCGCTATGAGTCTGGAAAATGTGTTGTTGTTATGTTGCAGCAAGATGGCCATTGGCATTGCCATTCGTGTCGCTACTCAGATGCTTGCAAGCACAAGCCACATGCGAAAGCTTTTGCATTGGAAGCCGGACTTATGGTGAACATGCAGGATGGTCATCAAATGGGTGCGACGGATGATGCAGCTGGTGATGAGGAGAGCGCTGTCCTTGTTCGTGCGGCACAATGTGGAGTTAACTTGGCAAAGCATCGTGCTATCATATCTCCCCATTCCTCCTCTGCGATGGTGTGCTCTACCTGCTGAACGAGCTACCCTTCCTCTCTGACAAGTGTCGACCAACTCTCACTTCGCAGTTGAAGATTCATCGCAGTGTGTCTGTGGGTTATCGATGCCACAAGCAGTCCTCCAAGGCCATTCTGGTCCTCGAGTATTAAAGACAGCTGTGTTATATGGACTTACTGCCCGACGAACAGTGTCAATTGAGTTGCTCCCTTGTCCAGTCTGTTGCCATTCTCGTTGTCACATCGGCCCTGATCTCAGAGACCATGGTATATTCAACTGGAACAACACAATGTTATTTTTGCACGAGCTGTTGAATGCATACACGAATTCATACACTGCATCAGAGACACCATTCTCTGCATTTTGTTTGACTGTGCGACGTTCCTATCAAGATGCTGGAGATGAAAATAGCTTTTGTTCGGATGACACCTTTGTTCGAGTCTGGTTTGCCTTCACTCAACGACAGTGTCTTGACAGTGGTATGCAATGCCCTACATGTGGCTCATCTCCTGACATTGTAATCGCGGATGGAGTCAGTCTGGGAACTCATGTATCCAAATTGACGAAGTCCATCTCACCACCAACCTCTGTTGATGAGAGGAGTGAGCGGGTGGACTCCATATCATCATATCGTGCTCGATGCCTTCCAGCTATCCCTCAGAAGGACATTCGTACCACAGTGAACAAAATTTTAGATGCTACAATCACACATATTCCTAATATCCTGCCGGACATGTCAAAGATCGATGTGCAATACCCAGAATTGTCATCTTTCATCCGCCTCTATTGTTCAAATGGCACAAACAGCCCATATTATTGGACTTATCGAGATCTCATTCAACAAATTGCTGCACCTGATATCGTATTGCAGCTAATACCAGTGGCAGCAATTGAGCCATTGCAACAACTGAGAGAACGAGGGAACCCACCAAACTGGTTACAGAGTATATGTCCAGCGTTCGGAGCTGTCATCAATGCACATGTGAATGGGCAATGTCCCATCCCAAATGACATCCGAAATATTGCAGGTTGGCTTGCAGCTCGTGCGGATGATGTTTACACTCGTTTAGCACAACATGAACCTAGTCCCATGCTTCAGCCCACATCTGAGCCATGTGAGAAAACAGGGACGTGCTATGGCTTACCAGAGATACGGAAACAACGTATATACTCAAAACTTCAGTATGACAACCAAGGACTTGATCGGGATGCAGAAGAAATGGGTGACTGCAACAAGTTTTACAAAACCTACTCCAAAAACAATCTCACTGGCGGCATTCTCGTACTTTGGTGCACACATTCTGTCTGTCTCGGCTTTCACTCTATCCCAGTTGCAGAAGGCCGAAATGATGTCTTTTCTGCAATCTACACCCAATTTCCGGTTGCACCAAAAGTCATAATTTATGACTTTGCTTGTCAACTTGCACCATACAGCTTCGTTCGTGAAGCCCGCTATTTCCAGCACACACGGTTCCTTATTGATGAAATGCATGCTCATGATCACACTCGTTGTGGTAAAGCATGTTTTGCAAGCAATGCTATGCGATTTGATGATCGTGTTCGTGCTGTAAACACCAGTGCAGCTGAATGCGGGAATAAAGGTATCAAGAGGATACGCAAAAGTGTCAGTTTCATGATTCACGATCATGCAGTACAGTACACCAAAGTTTTTCTTGATATCTGGAATCGGAACACGATCAATAGGATATATACCATGCATGCTAAGTAGATTTATTGCCTGTTGTGATTAGCCAGTCATAAATGTATGTACGTAGTAGCCAATTAAGTGATTGCAGTAGAAGTTGCAAGTAATGTATATGTAGATGTCCATTGACATCATCTCGTTAAAACCTTAAATATTATATGCACTAAGTTCAAGTTGCTGGGTAAGTGATGCAAGCTGAGCTTTGACTGCCTGACAACGTTGCTGCTCAGCCAAAAGCTCATGACTATGAGCCTCCTGAAGATTTTGGAGCTCATTCATGACTTGGTGCTTCTCAGCCTGTGCCTGATGAACCTCTGCATTGATCGCAATAATGTCCTTGCTGCTCAGTACTTGTTTACGAACATATGCCATTGCCGTCTCATGAATGTCCATGATGGGATGGTGATCTCCCTTCACATCAAAAGCTGCCTGTAAGGCAGGAGATATATGGATCACAGATTTTCCGTTCTTCGATAAGATAGATTCTGGTCTATAGAATGGCAATAGTAAGTAAATATGAAGGAAGAACAAAAGCACTCGTACCTTGCAATATATAGGAAAATGAATGGTCTTGATGCTTTGTCCAGATCCTCGACCTAGTAGGAATGATCACCAATGTTGAATGAAAGACATAGCATTCAAAACATACCATGCGCACGAGTCTACTTGCTCGTTCACTATGAGCTTTGGTCCTATTACGATCATTTGCAATATACAACACTGGCAAATAGTCAGAGTCAGTACCATTCAGCGGTCAGCACAAAAGAACATGTTACCTGAGCGATGTCGTTTCTTATTCAGCTGCTTGCCTTCAGTTTGCACCCGCATGCCTTCAGCAGTGTTATTCCGATACTGCAAAGGAGGAGCAACGTCCCCTGCAACATCATGAACAAGTGTGAAGTCAGACGAGCGATATTGACCATCAACAATCTGATCTGGCTCATCTGCGCAGCAACTAGCAGGAATCAAGACATCACTATCAACAGCACTAGCACTCGGCTCCAGCGTGACATCAGTACCATGCACATTGGTATCCTCGCTGCTCGACTCAGCAGTCACACAAGTGTTCATATCTCCGCTGTTCATCTCCAGAGTTACACCAGTACCTTCAAGCATATCAAGTTCACCTCCGTCATCACTGAGATGCCCATCCATCATACCCTGCATTGAACCAGCACCAGCATTCAGGAGGTCTTCATGCACAGTACACATGAGAAATGAGTTGAGAAATAGACATAGCACGACAGACCTTCCAATGAATACCAGCCAGGAGGTCCTGACACTTTATCCAGCTCCTGCATCTCAGCAGAGTAGCCCTCGAGAAAACGAAGAAAATCAGTAAAGTTAATGTCGCCATCATTTGACTCAGAGTTGGCAGGTTCTACCCCATCATCAGAGGGTGTCGCAGATGAGCTAGCCGCTGTATCAATAGCATCAAAGATGGGCAACTGAAAGGCATGTGAGTCGATCAATTCAACATCACAAAACATTGCCATCACTTACTGTGAGCAACGGCCCAGGGACAGAAACGTTCACTGTATCTACAGATGATATCACATGTGTCGGATCCCCAGGGGGGCTGCTCACATAAGACCGAGTCTTCTATCAAGCAAAGTCAATGATTATAGAAAAGAAAGCTACAAAAAATCCACCTGTCGCTTGGATGGCCTAGCACTATCATCCAGTATGTGTATGGGTTGAGCTTGAGATGCTTTGCGAAAAGGGCACTTGTGACCCTTCAAAGGAGGTGGTTGACCAGAGTCGTCAATACATCCTTTCCTGCATTTGGGGGCTATATTAAGGTCAGAATCAGCGTGTTATAAACGAGTCTGTGGGTACGTACACATACTAGTACTTGCACCAACTTGAAGTGGAGGTGGGTGCGCAAGGTGGGAGAGCACGTCAAGGTCTGACTCAAGGATAAGAAGTAGGCTAGATTCAGGAGGTGGGAGAAGACGGACCGTGGGAGGCAGGAGATTGTTGATGAAGACGAGGTGCAGCAGGTGGGATATTATCAAAGATGGCGAGCCACGGGAGGCAGGAGATTGTCGACAAAGATGAGGTGCAGCAGGTGGGAGATTATCAAAGACAGCGAGCCGCAGGAGGCAGGAGATTGTCAACAAAGACGAGGTGCAGCAGGTGGGAGATTATCGAAGAATTGATGAAGACAAGGCACAGCAGGTAGCAGAGTGCGTCGCAGAAGACAAGTGGGACAAGCTGGAAGAGGTTGTGCACGAGGGGCAGATACTATCCAAGGGAGACCCGTGCAAGAGAGTGTCAGAGGCAAAACCTGCTCATCGTGCTCACCGGCGAGCACAGTAGCAGCGTTTCGAGTGTCAAATGGGAAATGAACACTTAATGAGAAGTATGAGAGGGTATAAAGAAGGTTTCGAAACGGAAACTCCCGTCGTTTCCCGATTCGGTGATCCTGGTAAAACACAGACAGGTCAATCCTTGTCAAACGCGGTGTTATCAGTCTTGGTACTTCCATCAGCGGTTATCCCCAAATTTTCAATCAACCATTGTCACATAGTAAGTAAGATAAATAGCAGTGCATCAGATAGTTCATGGTGAGGGGACTCAGCTGTCTACCACATAAATTTTGTTCTGCACTCGTTCAATCATGATACTCCGAGTCACTCCGAGCCCCTCAGGAGTTCTTCTGGGATTTTGACGAACGACTCTTTTCGAAGTCGCGGCACCTATGTACCGACCAGCGGTCTTCCCTTGCAGCAGCCAGTGTGACACAATCAATGTGAGCGAAACTATGGATCCGGCAAGGCCTCTTTGATTTTAATAAGTAGACACTGAAACTTTTCACTGTCTATAAACTGTTTAAACTGTGTAGTATACGTCTACTTACTATTTACTCGAAAAATCGTAGACATAAACTAAACAGTTGGAGCCTTACTTCTAGGACAACAGCGGTGGTCATTGTTACGTTTCCACGCGGTGTCACGTGAGGTCTGTCGGGGGGCGGTTGAGCTAGGTAACTTAGTCCGAACCAGTTTCTGAGTGACACATCAGTTATGGCGATAACAAACTAAGGATCGATCGCAAAACATTCACCCGCACATCCTGAGGCAGCTGCGACAGTTGTGTCGCTGAGATCATTTTCGGTAAAATTGGATCACGGTGGTTTATGATCTTGAAGGAATCATGCCCGCTGTACACTAGTGTAGACGCTCCTTCAGACTCATAACTTACATAATTACAACTGACAAAGCAGAATGCACCCGACCCCTACCTGTAGACAGTTCAGAGTCATTAGGATGAGTATTCGTCTACTCGATTTGGATACCTACAGGAGACGAGGGGCACATGGGCAACAGATGGGCAGGTATCAAACGTAATTAGTATGTAGTGTAAAATCACTGTGAAACTGAAGGGCTGCTGAGCGTAGCCCAGGCCTGAGTAGCTGTGAATTTGGCTAGAAAATTATCCATATCTGATACTGATTCCTCGGTGTCGGTGAGTTCGTCAACCTCTGTTGGCGAGTCTGATTGTTGTGCACGTCGGTTATAGGCTTCTGCATCAAGCACCTTTAAACAGGCTACAAGGAAACGCCACATAAGTGGATTTGTGGGCGAGCACGCGGGAAGCTTTCTACGACCCTGAAAAACGTACTTCTTCTCGCCACATGCCACAGCATCTAAGGTCGCCCATTCATCGAAGGGACGCAATCTCCGTGGTAGAAAGACTCCATTCTCGTAACGCAAGGAAATCCAGGCGAAACACCACATAAACGACTCCAGATCATGGCGATATAGGTGTTTCACCTTGCCTTGTTGACCCTCTTCAGTGAGAAGATCGACCGCCATGAACGGCACCGTGCCGGTGCGTTCGTTGCCCCGAGGACCTGGGTCATCCGCCAATGAGGATAGATCGTAGTCGTTTAGAACGCCTATCCGCTTGCGGTCTTTCCAGTACCACATCAGATTTCCAGGGCTGACATCTCGATGATAGACCCCTTCCTTCCAAAGGGTAAGGTGGCCTGCATGCCATGTCAATGAAAGCCACGTAAATTCAATGAAACACGTACATAGAATGCATTGACGCCATACGTCAAAAAGCTCTTTGCCGTGAAGCTGAGTGATGGGGAAGAGCTTGCGGAACACAAGAATGTAGAGCACGCGACTGCCCTTAGTGGGTTCCGGAACGTCAAGCGCTTCTCGAATTGCGGACGTGGGATTCGTGAACCTGTGGTGCCAAAGCAGCTGAGGAACATGGTCTTGGACAGTTGCGTGCCTCTTAGCGATCTCCTCAACCTTTTTCAGGATCTCCGGCTCGCTAGTGCGACTGGCTTCTCCCCAAAAGATCTTGGCCACCATCCCATCCTTGAACTTACCGTATTTCTTCGTAAGCGCTTCGCTGGTGACAGGGACCACATTGGTCGCCCGCCCTTGCAGTCCGTAGTGCGTCCATCTTTCGTCGTGACTGGTGTGAAGCAGCAAATCCACCTCTCCAAGTTTTTCATCCTTGATTTTGAACTCGTGGCATAGTTTCTCGTCGACTTCGACCGCGAGGAGGTCCTTGTTTCGGCCCCAATCGTGAAGCTCGAAGCGTTGTAAAGCATACAACAACACCATGAATCGCGGAAGATCTTGGATGAAGTTGATGCCTGAGCATTGAATGATCCCTTGTCGATCATAATACCAGATCCACGCGATATCGTCTGAAAAGAGCTTTAATAAGAGCGCAGCCAATCTCAACAGACGAACAAACTCACCGACGACAATAATATTCAGCAGATAGTTGACTGCAAGATTCGCTGCAAACATTTCGGCGGCGTACAGACCCGTCTGAACGGTCACATCTAGATCTGCGTCCGCGTCAGCGTCTCTGTCGTTGGGGTCCATCTTAGGTTTTTTCGCGGTAGATTCCAAAGTGTCTGCGGCCTTGCGCTTGGAACTGGACCCGCCTTGGGAAGGCTGGTCAGCAGTAAGGCCGGAGGATCGAACTGCGGCTTGGCCAATTTAGTTTGATCCTAGAATCGCAGATATCATCACTTACATGCACTGTCGGACGCAGTTTGTGTTGCTGGGGTCTGAGGAGGGCCTGGAGCTGGGCCTGCAGTCCTAAGATGATCGACTGGCAGATATTCTGGCTTGGTAGGGGCATAGTCTGTCAATGTATACGAAGAGGGGGGCGCCTTAATCCCTTTCGTCTTTCTCTTGAACTCGATGCAAGCTAGAACATCTTTCCAGGGGAGATTGTGCGGCTTTGCCGTTGCATTCGTGTCCATATGAGCCTTGCGCTTCTTCTTGCGCTGCTCGCCGTCGTTCCTCTCGTTCGTTTCTTGGTTCGTTTCGTCCTTTTCATCGTCCTTTTTGTCATCCTTTTGTTTGCCCATAGTGCTGCCCTTCTCATCCTGGAAGGAAGCGCATGCGGTATTCAAAGGAAGAATCACGAGGTCGGGCTTCCGAGTTGATTTCTTGGTCTGGTGCATCTGGTGCATGGGCATATCGTTCTGCTGGCAGATCATGTCCACTGTGGGGACAGGAACACGCATCCCGTCGACCTTGATCTCCTCAAGACAAGCGAGAGCATTGTTAGTAGCTCTTACGAAAGGGCCGTAGAAGTTGTTTTCTACTCCTGGACGTACGCTTGCAATCATTGTGAGCATCAGAACGTCCGATCAGCGAACTCAAGAGCGAGCACTCACTATTCGCTGAGGGCTGTCTCGATGTCAGAAGACTTTACCAACGCAGTGGAGGCCTGTCCATTGCAAACCGGCAGAACTGCCTTGAAGCACTTTTGCAGAAGCTCGGGCTGTTCGGTCTCGGGAGCGGAAGAAGCGCGCTGCAGGAGGGCTTGCAGCATGGCATCTGCCTTGCACTCCTTAACCTGCTCAATATCGCGTTGAATCCATGGGCGGATTTTCTTGACCCTTGATGGAATGTCAGGTTCTACTCAATAACGAGTTACGACAAGAAACGTGCGCACTTGACACCGAGCACGCCGATGTGCTCGCTGACGACGGAAGCCCCACGGCTGTTTGGTGTGGATTCTATTTTGCTAGCACCTGAAGCTGATGCATTGGCGCGTGGAGGAGTAGACAAAGTGCCAGTCTCGCCTGCAGGGGACATGGCACTAGACGTTCAGTGTCAATGATTACGCTGATTGAATGTTACGAGCAGAATTGATGAGGGGGAAGAATGCAGAAGACAACAGAAACAACTGCCTGCCTTATATCTGGTCGACCAGTGTGGCGCAAATGTTGTGGACCATTGATGAATCTGATGCGTCACGGATATGGATTCATGACTCTGGCCTACAGTTCGACTCCGACAACGCGTTCCCATCAGCACGCGCACGTGACCCTAACTTATTTGAATAAAATTTGATTTCTGAAAGTCTAGTACTGATATTCACCTATACTCTAGTATGTACTAGTATTCGCCAGGAATAAGATCATAACAGTGCGCCAGCTAGTTCAACCTTTTCACGGTGAGATGCACTCTACTTTCTACTACATCAATGATCATACATCTCGTTCTCGGTACCCAATCAATGATACTTGCTCCGAATCCCTGAGAAGTTCTTCTAAGAATCTTGATTTTTAGATTCATGTTCTCAGAGTAGAACGGAGTCCGATGCTCGCGCCATGGTCCACAAAAAGAAGACAGATGGACGACCCAGCCGCAGTTCTCTCCTAGTATTCTGTTGTCCTCCTACAGATGCCGGCCACATTTACGCACTTACAAGAAGTCTGCTGTAAACTTCTGTCTTTTTCTCCATCCGAAAATGCCGTAGAGGATAGTGCTTAACCAAATATATTCCTCCATCAATTTTCCCGGCTGGGTCCGAGTCGATCGTCCATTGTTCAGCATAGCACCTTATAGTATCACCGTGTTCGGACATCAGGCTGTCAAAAACTTTCAGTGCTTCTTGATTTCCTTGGGCGCAATTTTCGAATCTTGCATGATCTTGGTAACGATGGAAAATAAAAATGTATGATTATTTTGCCGTTGTTGAGTCAGAGGGCGTAATAGATGTCATTGTAGCAAGCCAATTAGAGTTGTTGCCTCCTCCACCGCAGTTGTGTTCGGCTCCTCTAGTCGCAGTGGCCATACACCCACGGGAGCGAAAATGCGACCTATCTGATCCATGTACATCAGCGGGTTGGATTGTATTACAGAACACTACAGAGCGCTACAGAGCGCTTTGTAGCACTTTGTAGTGAATTACGTTTTCCTGATGTACATGCTGATTTGCGACCAAGCACAAGAATGTGCCGTATCCAGTGCCCAACCCAATCGCCGAAACATGGTCTATATGTGAGATGTCGAAGCCTACAGCGAGTTGTAAAATAAGGTGAGAACGTCTTCACAAGTGCAATTATACCGCTCTCACTAGACAAAAACAGAACTTGCCGCCTCAGGCTCCCAAACGAGATCATGTGTGTAACACGGCAGAGGACTCGGAGATGCTAGTACGGGAAATACAGCGTATGTGGGGGATGATCGTGGATTGATGGCAGTAGAATGCATGATCAAGATTCGGAGGAGTTAGAGTCGCCTGTGAGTATGGGAATTCGGGGCGGTCGATGGGTTCGCATGAGGCCTTGAGGTTGCTACAGATAGGCTTTGGAGCCACGGTCTTGGGCCGATGTCGATGTTCATAACTTCTCCTCGCCACATACTTTGGCACTTGCAGTACCCTAAAAATCAAGGAGACAAGACCCCGCCGATCAGAGAACGTCATCTTTGTAACACAGGTAAATCCACACAAGTACCCAGATGAACAACTCGAGATCCAGGTGCTCGACTTCGCATCCTATGTGATGAGATGATCAAGCGCTCGCTGCAGTTGGCAGACTAGAGTCGCATAAGATGCCCATCAGGGTGTCTTATCCTTTAATCTGTAAGACAGTATGTTTCCAAGGATCACATTATCTCGACGACTGACCGCTGTATTTAGTAAGAGATCATGGTGACCTGCAGCGTGATCTTTTAACAGCGAATCATATAGACGCGATGAGCTACAAACATGAAGTGGATCGGCTCTGCACATACGTTGAAAAGGTCTTCACCATGCAGCGCCCTAATGGGTCGAAACTCACGGAATATAAGGTTGTAGAGCAGGCGACTACCCTTGGTTTGTTTCTAGAACCCAGGGCATTTTGGTGGTCTCTTGTTTCGCGATCTCGGAAACCTTTTTTGATATGTCCGGCTTGCAAGCGCGTCTCTGCTGCTCGATGTAGGGGATTCATGAACCACGATGGACACGTATCTATTAAGATCTTCGCAAACATACCACGGGCAGAAACCTCGGGGTTGAAGGAGATGACTCGCTGAAACGTGAATCATTGACTGAGGACGCTGTGAACCAAAATCTTTAGTGGTTTGATCAAGGCACAACTTACGGGATTCCACGACTTGCAAGTGAGTTCAGCAAGCGTGTCTATTTGCTGTCCTTCCCGACTGTCACGACCTGTAAGGATAAAGTGTATATTAACTGTATTTGCTCTGTCCTAGTAGCGCACTGCACTCGTCATCTACTAAACATGACAGTGTCTTTTCGTTTCATTCTGCGCAATGACGAGTCACTATCATGCATGTATTCAATTGGTTTGCCTACTGGAGGCTCAATCAACCAATCCCTTTGTCCTCAAATACTCCCTATGTTCAGCGCGATGTGCAAGCACTTGCTTGTCAACCGAGCGTCTCCAAATTGGTATGCCAACCTACAGTCAAGCGTTAATCATGAGTTCAAACTTATCATGACAAGGTAGGTACATACAAGAGCAACCAAATCCAACACGAAATCGAGAGCAGCGTTGCTTCTAGGTGCACAACCACGCGTTGAAGCTCGAAACAAGCTCGTAATGAGATCAGCGGTGATGTGCGCATGACCTTTCTCGACACCTAACCAGGCCAAAGGTTGGCTTAAAGTTGTAGATGTAGTCTGACGAGACGACGTACCTGAGAGTAATCCAGCAGCAGCCTGCTCCGCTGTCAGACCTTCATCCGCCGACTCAATCGTTCTAGTAATAGCCGGCTTCGTCTTGTTTTCTTCTTCGAACCCAGGGGTATACATTGTCGGAGGGAAGAAGATATGAGTATCGATACCATACAACATTAGTTCTGAATGCAATGAATCAGCCAGTCCTACCAAGCGTGTCATCAGCATCACCCCAGAGTCAAGCAGACAGCATTGCTTACCACGCAGAGCATGTTTTGCAGGCGAATACGAAGAATATCCAATCAAAGACATATATCCAAGCGTCGAAGACACCAGCACGATCTTCCCCTTCTTATTCTCGCGCACCATTTGTTTAGCAGCAGCCTGTTCATCATTCGCTAAACGTCATGTTCTTGTCCGTGATCTGAAAGAGTTGAACAATCGACTCACGAATGCGGACCACGCCTGTATCCAGTACCCATTCGTCATTCCACTTGAGAGGTCCTCTGGCTGCATTTCAAGGAGGTACATCGGTTTTGCAGCACCTGCGCATGCGAAAACGGCATCTGGAACTTTGCCGCCGTGGGCATCGCTAGCAGCTTGGAGAGCGGCAGCAGACTCCTTTGCGGTGTCGAGGGAGAAGGAAAAGGCTTTGAAGACTTGGTCTGGGCTTTGGCGATTGGCCTGTGTACGATATTTAGAACGAACGGAGGGTTTCATCCCGGACACGAACCTCAAGCTCTTTTAAAGCATCGTCGAGTTTGCTTTGGGTTCTTGCTACTATGGAGACGTGGGCACCTTTTCGCGCGACGAGTTTGGCGAGTGCAAGTCCGAGACCTTGGCTGCCGCCTGTAATATAGACGTGCTGGGGCCATGCGCGTGAATTACTAAATCATCGAGGAAGACTTGTTGGCTCACCAACCCCTTTGGACTCCATTTTTTCGACGAAAACATGAAAGATGACGAGTAAACAAGTATGAGGAGTAATAAAGCCCTGGAAGCCAATGAGGTCCAGTCAAACATGTATATTGAGTGCTTTCGGTTGAATCGTCATACACTGGTGGATGACGGAGTTAACAGGTATTGTCAGCGAGGCGGTAGGGAAATAGTTCATACACAGCCACTGATCGAACGGTTTGAAATTTCGAACCGGTTATTGTGCGCTACTCATATCATCGTCATCACACGTTTCACCTCCACGTCGTGTATGCACTGCACAAAGCTTTAAAACTCGTGCTTGTATTTTGAGCAGACAAGGCTCATTCAACTATATTTCATGTCCCGCATCGCTTTGGAGAGCATCCCTGGTCTCACATTCTACAAAAACGCACTTACAGCTGCGCGGCGTACCAGTCCTATTGCTCAACTGGTATGCATTGGGAAAGCGTGCGGGTTGTATCAGCCGGATGTCGTGCGCTGCAGTAATATTGGAGGGTCGGGTACGGATGTTGATTGGAAGGTGAGTGTTCGCTTTTAACTTAATAATTAGGATTTGAGACACTGCTGCTACGTAGTAAGCTCTTATATAGTGAGTTTGACACGATATTTGCAGTGCGAGGCGGACCTACCGTCCTCTTTACGTTTCGGTCGAGTCGAGGTCTCTTGCGAGGGGTGGAATGGCCCTGGTGACCCATACGTCATGAAAGGTCTGATTCTGATCCACCATCGAGTACTCGAAATACGAAGCCTCATTATAATCACGCAGGATCCTGTTCCCTCGAATACAACCTCGTTCAACTCCCCGATGCCCTTCGCGCCGACTCTGACTCAAGCTGGTCCCGTTTCTACACCCGACCATGGCTCAGCAGTAAGTCTTGAGCACGCTCGTTTATTAACACTTACTTATTTCCTGCGTACTCAGACCTCGATTACTCCGGTATCTTCTTCATGTTCGTATGGATCGTAGTCCTGGGTATGATAATCTACAGCTTTATCCAACCTTGCTTGCGTCGCAATACGTCAGATGCCAACCACACCAGCCCTCCCTCATATCCCGGCGATAGGCAAGGCAGGTCAGGACCAGGAGGATTCCCCGGCTCTTATTACACTAGCCCACCCCCACCATACACCAAAGACGCCGGTTCAGGCAACAGCTCGCAGTGGCAGCCAGGGTTTTGGAGTGGCGCTGCACTAGGGGCGCTGGGAAATCACCTTTTGAATCGTCCGTCGGGGTCACGGGAGTATGACTGGGAGCGGGAGAGGCGACTGCAGGGTAGTATCTCGAGGAGTAGACCTGTGCATGGGTATGATAGCCAGGATAGAGGAGAGGGGTCGTCTGGTTTGGGTGCGATGAGGACAAGTACGGGGTATGGCGGTTCGAGTAGTAGGTAATAAAAGGCCGCAATGTACAGATTAATTGTACAAGAAATGATTTATGATAGTCAGAGACCGAGCGGCCCAGATAGGAACGCAATGGCTAATTATGATTGGGCCCCGCACGTCGTCGTTATGTAAGTCAGCCCCATAAAATAGCAATAATTCGTGAATGCCCCTTTCTTTTCAACCACAACATGCACACCAAGTCGCATGGCGGAATGTCAGAAACCCGATTCTTCTACTCTTCTTTCTGCTTGTGGTCGATCAATCTTGAAATTACAATCTTACGGCATCAACTTGCTTTTCAATATGGCCGCGTTGATCGTGATAGCGAACATTTACTACCTCATTTCCTGGGCTCCATGTTGGTTTGTAAGTCTTTATATATGTTTGTGAGTACTTGTAATGAACTCATCGCACAGGGTATGATTGGGGTTGTGCCACCCAACTTTTGGTTCAACTAACTTATGTAATCTCAATGTGTAAGTTTCACAATCAGTCCGGGTGGGAGTGTTAATAATAGCCATCAGGGACTGCTTCCCTCGCAATCTACCCCATGGTATGGACCATCCACCCGCATATTCGGTAAGCGCCATCTATTTATGGCATCACCCTACTAACTGAAATTAAAATTCAGTCTAACATTTTTACTCACGATCGTAGTACTTCCGCAGACATGACCGGTGCCGTGGCAAAGGGAGTCTGAGCTTATTTTTTATTGTATTTTCATTTTCGATGTTCCTTTAGACTCGTGACCAGTCTGTCTCGTCAGGCAAGCTGTTGTGTCTAATCGACAGCTTGCCTCACTAGACAGACTGGTCACGAGTTTCTCCACTTCATGTAACTAAGTAGACATCCGCACGGTCGGGATTTTGAGACCTGTAACCCGCCGCATACCTGTCACTTCCATATATAGTAATGTTTGTTCAAGCACCGTTTCTGCACTTGAAGCTTGACTCCACTTTCATTTATTCAACTACGGCACATTCTTCATCGCTTTCTACTGTGCAGACTATTGTGCACGGGCTGTTGCAAGATGCTGACGGTAGAAACTTTCTGGACCGCGGAGCACCTGGGTGAAGAAGTTTTAAACCTGCTCATCGTTGAGGTATTTCTTTGCCTCAGTTCTGCAACTCCATTTCAGGACCTCGGGCACGACTCCGCCTTTGTGGTATTCCGCTCACACTACACCGTAGCGGTTCATCTTTGGTTGAGCCCCTTCGCGGATGCGTATCGTAGCGCAGGGCTACTAATGACTTCGACCGTGTCATATCATGTAGAGGAGGCGTGCAACATCTTACACAGTCTCATTCCTAACTCTTCAATTGAAACGGATCCCAAGATGACGCGATCACCTACTCATGCAAAGAAGCCGACAAGAGCTGCGAGTGTACGTACAGCAAATAAGACAAGAGCGCGGATTCTTGTCACCCCACGTCCGCGTAAAGGTTTGTTGTTCAGAATCACTTACCAGCTATATTACCTGACAAAGTTCCATGAGTAGCTTCGAGAACGCGTTATCGCGTGCTCAACGACTTCCGAGATTTGAAATAATCCTGTACATACTACTTGATTCACTCTCACGTAAGATCTATCGTCTTTCGAGATCCACCTCAGTGATGACGCATTCGAAGAGCGTGCCGTCGTGTACTGTTTTTGTAGCTTGAGGTATCGAGAAGATTCTTGTTGCTATACAATCGAGAACAACCGACCGATGTAATGCAAATACTCCTTGATTTACTCATATATAAGATCCTGTAAGTGCAACCGCCTTTCGAGAGGCGTGTTGTAAAAATCCGACTAACATCTGATGGGCACTTGCGCTGCGAAGGTCTGCGAACTACATCATGAAGACGGTAACATTGAAACAAAACTCGTGATATATCAAAGGTGAAGTGCCTACTTGTGGTCATTGTTTTTATGTCGATGAGAATATGATGTCCGATCGAGCACATCGAGGGAGAGGTGTGAAAGACAAGCGATTTAAGTTCGTTTGCGATGGAAATCCTGTAATCAAGTGATTGAGATTGAGGGACAATATGAGTACGGCACTGTGGCAGAATGGAAGCTGTCTGATTTGATCAGCCGTGTTGACTGGGAAAGACTTCATTTAATCCACCACTATCTTCACAACATCACACCGTTCTGTCATGACACCCAGTCCTTCGAGAAAGGACCGAGTCATCTACAACGGAAACAAAAAGTCAAAGCAATGTACTGACGTCCCTACATACGATATTCTTTGCAATCGGCTCAACGATTTGATACTGCACAACATCCCGGACAATGCGCACATGCTCTGCTATAAGCGGATGTTCGTACATGAGCATGTTCATTGCTGTGAATATGTAAGTCGGCGTCGTAGGTGCCAGCGCATGAAGCAGAGAGGTCTAACGAAAAAAATTATCAGAGTGAGACATGACGTGAACAGGCGGCAGGACATACTGCGAGGAAGTTATCGCAGAGTCCATGTGCGATTTTTGAGAGTGTGCTTGCCGAGCAGGGAGCGACAAGGACTATGTCAGCCCATCTCCTCAACCCGATATACAGGATTGGATCTCTGATCTTGTGTGATCCTTGTCATGGACGTTGAGACGCAGAAATTCATCTTGAACTTTTGTATACTCACCAACTCATCCGTCCACCTGCCATCTTGACTACGTCCGCACGATCGTAGAACGCAAGCGACTCTTTCGTTGTAACCACCTCTACTTTGACACTCTGGTATTACATTTGCACGTGCAGTGTGAGCACTGGCAACAGTAGGATTTCATCAAGAGGGACAGACTTGGAGAAGCCCTGCGATAATGAGTGCTTTGATAGATGCTACGCTGCCAGTTATCAATAATACTACATGAGGCGCTTTTTCAGTAATAAACTGACTGTTTATGCATCGGCGCATATTCAAGTTTAAGTTAGAAGTTTGTGCCAACCGTTGAGTATTAGTCGGAGAAAATAGTGTAATTTACTATGTATAAGCTTGAGATGGAAGTTCAGAGCGAGTGAAGTTGGAGTGAAGGTTAAATGGAAGTAGGAGACACGGCCCGGGGTCCTGGAACTGAGACGTCGCGAGCTTTCATTAAGCTTGACTACCCAGCCATCCTGATACTCTACATCTGTTTGATATCACCGCTCTTATCATCTTAATGGCTTTGACTCATCCATAATAAATAGTAAGACATACAACATTTCTTATCACGATCGTGGACTGTTGTCTTGCGCTACCTTAGATTTACAAATCTTGCCCGGATGGCAAGAGATCATGAGGTTAGGTACGCAACTACTCGCCCTACTGCAATAATTCTATTTATGGTCGTTGACTCCGCACATTGTATTGGCATTCTCAGCGTAAACCGTAGCACTGTGTTCGCATCGCTACAAAGCTCATACCGGTTCTTAGGGAACTCCATTTTCTCCTTACGTGTCTCACCTATTAGGACGAAGAGCAGTCATGTTTATCAGGGCAGCCGTCATCACCCAAGCCTCATGTACGAAGTCTTCCTTGGCACCCGTGTGCTTAGTATGATGCACAATCAAAAAGTCTATTCACATACTTATCTTCCATTTCTCAGTCGGCTTAGGGATCGCCTTTTCCATCAATGCTACTCCCTTACTCATCAGCGAACTTAGTTATCCAACGCATGTGCGCAAAATCATCTCGTATCTCATTCTTTAACTCTAATTCCATTCAAGCGCGGAAAAATGACCTCTCTGTACAATTCGTTGTGGTACTCTGGCAGCGTCATTTGTAAGTGAGATCCGGCGTCACACGTTTGGTCTCTCACATGTCTGTCAGCGGCTTGGATCTGCCTAGGAAGTTATGATGATTCGGGGACATCAGCGTGGTCATGGAGGGTCCCTTCATTCGTTCAAACAGCCATTCCTATCATTCAGGTGTCGCTAATATGGTAAGACTGTTAGCTCTTACCCTGCTCGAAGTGACTCAGCGCCTTCAGGTTTATCCCAGAGTGTCCTTGTTTTCTAATGGCCAAAGACTTGGTCAGCATCCACGAGGATACCTTCCATCAAGTGGATCGTACAACGTTCATCGTTTATTTTCAGGAATTGCAAGTTGCCCGTGTCTTCGTCCAGTGCCATGCAAATGGGGGAGACGAACGCACCCCTCTAGTGGCTTCTGAGTTGGCTCAAATCCGATATGCTTTGAACCTCGAACGAGAGTACGCCTCCGGCAAATCCTACCTGAGGTGCTTCTCGACTCCCGGCAACAGACAGCGCATCTTTACCATCATATGGATCGCAGTATTCTCGCAGTGGAGGTTTGATCAATTTCGTTCTGGTTTGATGATTGTCGTTGATCTTCGTCTGGTGTCGTATTACTTCAACATAGTCTTGGATAGGGTGTACGTTTCTGAGGATTCGAGATGGTACATAGCCTGACAGATGTTTCAACAGCGGGATCACCCAGACTAGAACGAAAGCAGCCATTAACGGCGGTCTGCAGGTTCATCCATGGTCTTTTAGAAGCAAAACTCAAAATTGATGCGCATTTCATGCGTTCAGATTTTCAATTTAGCTAGTGCGCTGGTAGGCGTGATGGTGGTGGACAAACTAGGGAGAAGGAAGACTTTCTTGATTTCAAACATTGGCATGCTGACGGGTCAGTACCGTTCTGTGATGCTGAATCGAAGGCTTATCATCTGTACAGCTTTCTCTATGTGGACGGTCACGACTGCTCTTTTCAGCCAGTCCGGAAATGTGGCAGCTGCGAGAGGTATGTCCAACACCTTGCATGTATCGCTGGTGCAATCTAATGATCAGGCTCGAACAGCTACCGTGCCGCTCATTTTCATATACTCTTTCTTCTACGACTTGGCGGATACTTCGATGCTTGTAATGTATACGCTCGAGATCCTGCCTTATAACATCCGTGCCAAGGGGTTTGTAATCATGGTCGGTCGCTTTCGTCCCTTCTCTGAACGCTGCCTGACGTTGCATACAGAACATCGTTCTCTATTCGACCAATGCTTTCAACTCGCTCGTTAATCCAGTGGTACTGGAAACCATAGGATTGAAATACGCAAGTCGTCAGATCTCATTCATGCGATTGATTGATTGACCTTTTTTTTCGTACAGTACCTCTTTTACTGCGGATGGCTTATATTGGAACTCCTATTCGCGATGGTGTATATCATCGACACGAGAGGTGATTGTTATCTCTTCGACTCGTTGAGCTCTCGTAAACTATGTTTTTGCTTTCTTCAACTCGCACTCTTGAAGAAACCGCCGCTTTGTTCGACGGCGTCAAAGTCCGTCGGGGTATCATGGAGCGGACAGGTGAAACTGCCATGAATCTGGCTACATACCCCAGACTTCAGGACAATCCTGAAGCAGGACAGACCTGGAGGAGTTCTGCTTCGCCATCGCATTTCGAAGCTCAAACTGGAGAATCTGTTGTTGCGTTTGCCAGATAAATTTGTGATGACAGTTTCATGATTATTGTATGTAGTAAGCGCGCTCAAATGCTGCAGAGTTGTGTATTTTTTGAATCCGCTGATTGGGGCGATCAGACAGAAAGCACTGCAGGGTAGGCTCGTGACCGGGCGTGTTGTTCTGATTGGGTTTCTAGGTCGTTTTGTCGATGTTGTGCACCTTGAGGATTATAATAGTTTTTGCCTCTCCCTCGCCACCTCGCTATGATGTGACGCATCCCTACTAAGTCCAGGAGCTTTCCGACTGCTCACGGATCATCACTGCAAACTGATGCAGCGCAGATTGACTAGATATGGGAAACATTCTCGTTACACTGCGTTGGTTGTCGTTACGTGTGCTAACAAACCAGCAATCATGAGTCACGCAGTCAGCTCTTCAATAATTGGTTCGCTCGTAGACTGGATGTTAGGTATAGAATAGAATACAACGTATGATATACTGCACACTCGCTGTCATGTCTAAAATGTATCTGAAATCTCTATAATGTATCTATTCCTTCGGTCATCGTCGGTACTAAGGTCTACAAGTATTGATGTCAGCAAGTGCGACAACTGGAAAGGACCTATGAAGGAGACTCACCCCTCTCGACACTTCTGCCAATGTTCTCCATGTGCCATGCGGCTCAAATCAAGCTCGGGACCTCCTCTAGGTATCACCAATGCAGTCTGAGGGCTATAAAACGGGTGGCGAGAAGCGTGTGGCACCCAGAATAACAGCCGATGTTTGGGCCCAACCATCCACCCACTGTCATGATCCAGTAAAAAGCAGGTCGAGCTGCGGTCGTCAACGGATGCTCCCTCCATTAGCTCGGAAGTGTTGCGCAGCGTATGGATGGAGTTGGGCGAGAAGCAAATGAAGTGATTGCTCCAAGTGTTCAACGTCATGGTAGTGGTGGCCTCGATATTGCGATGTTCATTTGACAATGATGGGTGATCTGACTCGGTGCACTGTTGTGACTGCTGCATCGTCTTGGCATCCCACAGCCGAACTGTCTTATCGTCTGAACCACTGACGATGCGAGTGCCGTCGGGCGAGAACGAGACCGAGCGAACATAATCAGTGTGCCCCCGCAAGGGCTCACCGACTGGCTGACCGGTCGCAGCATCCCACAGCCGAACTGTCTTATCCCTTGAACCACTGACGATGCGAGTGCCGTCCGGCGAGAACGAGACCGAGGAAACGTAATCAGTGTGCCCCCGCAAGGGCTCACCGACTGGCTGACCGGTCGCAGCATCCCACAGCCGAACTGTCTTATCGCTTGAACCACTGACGATGCGAGTGCCGTCCGGCGAGAACGAGACCGAGAGAACAGAACCAGTGTGCCCCCGCAAGGGCTCACCGACTGGCTGACCGGTCGCAGCATCCCACAGCCGAACTGTCTTATCCCTTGAACCACTGACGATGCGAGTGCCGTCCGGCGAGAACGAGACCGAGGAAACATAACCAGTGTGCCCCCGCAAGGGCTCACCGACTGGCTGACCGGTCGCAGCATCCCACAGCCGAACTGTCTTATCCCTTGAACCACTGACGATGCGAGTGCCGTCCGGCGAGAACGAGACCGAGGAAACGTAACCAGTGTGCCCCCGCAAGGGCTCACCGACTGGCTGACCGGTCGCAGCATCCCACAGCCGAACTGTCTTATCGTCTGAACCACTGACGATGCGAGTGCCGTCCGGCGAGAATGAGACCGAGGAAACATAATCAGTGTGCCCACTGAGCACGGTCTGAACAGCCGGCCAGTTCATATCACATCCAGATGCTACGCGAAGAATATTCGGAAATCGTGCAGAAAGCATTCTCGATAGCGGAGAGTTGGCAGGCAAGAATGGGAGTGCCGATACATACAGATGCGGTGTGCTGTGTAAAATGATGCTGCCGAAGACTTGAATGAATCTCTGGACATCCGTTGCAGTCGACGAGACATCTTTGAATTCGGAATGGCCCTGATGTTGCGCGTCAGCGCTTTATCTGACACTCCGTAGCAATGTACTCGCCTTTAGCCACTGATGAATGAGCGAAAGGGCAGAAACGGCACCACTAAGAGTACCAATCAGAACAAGTAATTCGAGCCAGAAAAACAGCCGTTCGTGGTCGAAGAATAATTTCACTTCTTTGGCGAGCTCCTTGTCGAACGCTGTGGTTCGTACGTGCGACGTCCAGAATCGAGAGGAATATGACAAATGTGGGGGGATGCATTTTTCGACTCGTTCTTGTAGTCCAGGATCTTCACTATTAGGTAGATACGATGACTTTAATTCACAAATATTGAAGCGCAGGCCGTGTTCCATCACTCGAAGCGACGCGAATGCAAGGTTACGTTGAGCTTTTGATAAGTCGACGAAAAACTCTCCGCTGGAGAGTTCATCCGTCAAAAAATCACGGAAGGATGCGTGAAGGGGTCGAATTGGGGAATCCGGATTGGTGGTACCGCTGAGGAGGGAGCCCATGCTTTTTACAACAACCTCCACGTCGAAATTGTCCTCTTGAGTTGGAAAATAGCGCCTCATGGCGTTCAGGGAAGATAAAGGAAGAGGTTCTGCTGTAGCTAGTATTTGTCCCATCACCGAGTGGAATCTCGCTAACGCTGTCGAGCGCGATTTCTGTGAATGCTGGACAGGCATGACGTTCGTTAAAATAAGCTCATACATGTTGTGCAACAGCATGCTTCTCTCAGCAGGATCGCGTGACACCACAGCGTTGTAGCAATCGTTTGCAGATAGTCCTACGTGGGGCTCTTTGATGTACTCGCAGGCAAGACGCGCCCACTCGAAAAGTCCGTCAGCTTTTTCAGCGAGGACCGCGAACTCTCCGTGCTGGAAATCTAGCCTCTCCAATTCCTTGGATACGTAAGTATGGATGTCGCGCTTTGCGTCTGCTGTTGGGATCTCATCCATGGACACCTGTCGAATATGCTCAACGCCACGAAACTCGTCTTTGATGTCACCGAGGGGGCGAGAGGTGACGATGAAGCGGAAGTTGCGTGGGAGATTCGTGATTTTGGGAACGTCGGAGTTTTGATGTGTGCCAGCTAGAATGCGGAGGAGGTCTCTCCGCGTCTCTGCTCCGCCGCTCTCGTCCAGCGCATCGATCATGATCACGATGGGTCCCGCAGTGGACCCAGATGACTTCTCCAGCGGTTCGATCAGAAGCTTCTGCCACTGCTGGGTGATATCCGCTGTATTCTTCAGCGAATTTGAGTTCTGAACTGCATCTGTTAATGCCCGCCTCATCTCCGGGTCACGGTCAGCCAGGTCGCGCGCGATCGTGGAAAATATCTTTTCGTGGCGACGATCCGCTTCTCGCTGACGGTCAAAAGAGTAGCATGAACCGAGCCCCCCCACGTTGTTGAACCACTTAGCGATGGTGTGGCCGATTGACGACTTTCCCGTACCTGCAGGGCCGGATAACCACAGCACGCGTGGAACGTTGTCCCCAGTGCTGTTGACCCATTCCGTAATCTGGGAAAGGATTTCGGTGCGCGTCCCTTGGAGACATTGTTTCCTGGTATCCAGGCCTGCGCTAGCTGCATACGTCATACCACTGAGATCCAGTATTTCTCCTGAAAAGGTGTGAGTATATTTTAAATCACCAACACGTTCGAACCCTTACCTGTACGGTGGATGTGTATGGCTACGTCGTGAGCGACTTGGTCCCGGAAGTTTTGCATGAGAGTATCCAACACGTCACTGTACTGTTGGATCGTATCTTTTGTTTCTGACATGACGTTCTTTCCGAGTCTCTTCCCTGTGATATCAATAGAAACTTGAGACGGTGCGAAGTGTGACAGCTTCTTAAGACTCACAAAAGCTCTTGGTCTCCGAATAATTTTTGATAAATTGAGCGCATTCGAGGGTCTGCTGAGAGATCTGTCCGAGGATAATGCGCATCGACGAGATTTGGCCAGGCATCTGATCTTGTGTTATAAAGCTGTAAACTTGACACAACTTCTCGAGAAGTTTGAGTACCGCTGCGTCGCGGTCTGCTTGAGCTAGAATAATCTGCACGAATGAGTGATGTAAGATGGGAAGAGATGAAAATAAAACGTACTTTAGCTGCACAAGACAACACGCCCAGCGCCATCTTTGCATATGGATGTAACTGTGGAACGGGATTAGTTCGGTTCCAATAGAGAAGAGGGCCCATACATCCGTGATTTCTCCGATAACAGCGTCGAATATCTTGAGGGGTTTGAGATATGTGTCCCCGAACTTGCCTGCGGTATCGAGATCCTCTTGTGCATCCTTGCCAGCAGACGCCACAGTTATCACATGTCCTGAAGGTGAATGCATATGCTCTGTAGCAACTTGTGCATCCCGAAGTACTAATTGGACGTCATCCTCCACTTTTACACCGGACGGACCAGCCTGAGCCTGCGCGACCACCGAAATTTAGAGGAAGCACAGAAACTAGAGGATAAGTATGGGAACCCACCTCGATATTCAGGGTGGATGAAGCAGGTTCATCATGACTGACATTCGGGGGAGCAGGACTATGGCTGCGGGAATCCTTCGAGCGCTTGTTGCAATGTTAGTCGTATTCTAGGACACTCGTTATACATGCTCGTAGACTCACCCTCTGTAACTTTTTCGCATCCTCCTTGAGCTTCTTCAGAAACCGACCGATTTTACCACGGGGTCGATGCTAGACGAAGGATGCGTGAATGTCAGTGTTTGGAGTGGAGCGATGTGATCCTCTTAAGCCACGTACAGAACTTCCAGGAGCTGTTGCTTGACTAGGTGTGTGGGTTTCTCGAGCCGAATCCCTCGATGAATGATTGTCTTTGCTCATCGTGAATAGTGGTTGAGTCGAAGAAGCAAGACGAGGGTTCCCCATTACCTATACAATTGCCAAAACTATTGTTGCTGCTTCAAGGAAGCCTGGAGGCAGTGGCGAGCCGTAAGACTTAAGCTATAAATAACCATTTGAATTTCGACCGCATTTCAATCATTCTGCGGTTGGCTGTCTTATATGTGTGCACAGTGCGGGTCGGGGACAAGTCGACAATGGATGACTATGACGAAATACATACTTCAATTTCAACGAGTGCAAGTGAGCTAGTCACGTACGGTTCGATCGAAATTCGAGCTTGATGTTGCAAGCAGGTGACCCAGCCACGTGACCCAATAATTCAAATTGCGGAGCGACCATGAAGTTAGGTACGTAGCTGCTCGCTTTACTGTAACAATTCTATTGACGGTCGTTAGGAAGTACTCATCAACTCCGCACGTAGTATTGGCATCCTCAGCGTTAATCGTAGCACTGTATTCGCATCGCTACAAAGCTCAGCGCTCATGCTGGGTCTTAGGGAACTTCATTTTCTCCTTACGTGTCTGACCTATTAGGACAGCGAGACACGCAAGCCTCAAACTCATGCCATGCTCAAAGTAGCTCAGCGCCTTCAGGTTCATCCCAGATATTTCTGATAGCTAGAGGCTTGGTGAGCATTCGCAAGGATATCTCCCATTAAGTAAATCACAGGACATTCATCTATTTCTTTCCAGGAATCGCAAGCTGCGCGTGTCCTCGCTCAGTACCATTCAAACGGGGGAGACGAACGCAACCCTCTAGTGGCCTTTGAGTTGGCTCAAATCTGACATGCTTTAAACCTCGAACGAGAATCCACCTCTGCCTGTGTTTCTCGACTCCCGGCGACAGACAGCGCATGTTTGCCATCATGTGGATCGTCGCAGCATTCTCGCAGTGGAGATTTGATCATCCCGTTCTCGTTTGAAGATTGCCATTGACGTTCGCCTCAGCAGTAATGATCTGGTGTCGTGTTACATCAACACGGTCTTCGATAGGGTGTGCGTTTTCGAGGATTCGAGATGGTACTTAGCCTGACAAACGTTTCAACAGCGGTATCACTTAGACTAGAACGAAAGTAGCCATTAACGATGGTCTGTAGGTTCATCCATGGTCTTTCAGAAGCGGAACTCAAAATCGATGCGTATTCACGCGTTCATATTTTCAATTTAGCTAGTGCGCTCGCTGGTGGGCACTGGGCATGATGACGGTGGATAAACTAGGGAGGAGGAAAGTTTTCAAACATCGGAATGCTGAACGGTCAGTACTTTTTTGTGACGCTGAATTGTCGGAATTGAAGGCTTATCATCTGTCCAGCTTTCTCTATGTGGACGGTCACGACTGTTCTTTTTGGCCAGTCTGGGAATGTAGCAGCTGCGAGAGGCATGTTCGTCACCTTGCATGTACGCTGGTGCAAGCTGGTGATCAAGCTCGAACAGCTACCGTGCCGCCCATTTTGATATACTTTTTGTCTACAACGTTGGTACATATGCTTGTGTTATATACGCTCGAGATCCTGCTTTATAACATCCGTGGCAAATGTTGACGCACAGATACGCTTTCCCGCATTCCCGACATGTCATTCTTCTTGCTTCTTGCTACAGTAGTAGTACCTTTGCCATCTAGCCACAGACCAATGCATACGTATCTACTTCGCGCATCTTCCCACTGCAGCGTCGTTCCATTAACATCCGTCGAGTCTTCGTTAGCTTCGCATCGCAAAGTGTTTACAATCATGGTCAGTCGCTTTCGTCCCGTCTCTGAACGCTGCGTGGAGAATATCGCTCTCCATTCGACCATTAATGCAGATGCTTTTAACTCGCTCGTAGATACCATAGGATGGAAATACATAAATCGTCAGATCTCATTCATGTGATCGATCCAGATTTATACAAGTAAGTCGACACGTGAGGCAAACATCACATACATCGTCACAGGGGACCAGGTCCGTAGACCTGAGGCAAAGTTATCCAACACCCCATAACGCATCATCATTCTGTTCCTCATCTTACCTCCATGACTCCCCTCCAAGAACACTTGACGAGCTGAAAGGGAGGAACAAGCTGCCGATCGTGATATCCCTGTTCCCACTCTCCAAGGTTTCCTTCGATGCGCAGGACTCAGATAATACGACCGACGAGAAAATGACAGTCGAGTTCTCTCAAATTTCTGTTGAGAAATCAAAGTGCTTGAGTGGCACGATAGCGGGAATAGTTGAGTGTAATGGAGAGTGGCATGTAGGGCGGCGAGTGTACCGCAAAATCGACCTTCGGAATGCAGGCTACCTATTAGTGAGTTCCACTGGGAAGAGAATATTAATGGAAGTTGACAGATTGGAGAGTCGTCTGAGTCATCAAAGTAATCGTTGGGTATATGCGATGGGAGTTCTAGAGCGAGTGAAGTTGGAGTGAAGGTTAAATAGAAGCAGGAGACACGGCCCGAGGTCCTGGAGACTGCCAGTGTATGACTGTATATATGATATTTTAATTCGTTCACCAGTTTACTAATCAATGGACGCATGCGGCGGGCAATTCCGGGATATGATAATATACCACGCCAAGAATATTTGTCATTTCAAAATCCGTTCGAGTGGACATGGCCAGTGTACAAGTACCGCTAAAGACTACAGCTGAGTCAAACATAACTTATACATATATAAGACTATAGTATATATTCTCTGACCTATATCCCACCGCCGCAGCAAGCGACTTGAATGCTATGATATTTATTAACTAATCCTTCCACGATATACCGCGAGCAAACCAAGAACACTCAAACAGACAAGCCCGAACCAGAACCGCTGGCCTCACTAGCATCAAACCTTGAAGCGCCATACTCTGCTCGTGCAGCGCCGCCCCTAAGATCCTTGCTCACTCGTGACCGACCACGGGCCTGCTCCTGATATCTGCGTTTTGGCTTGACGCCAGAAGGACGAACGGCGCTTTTGCCTTTGCCTTTGACCTTCTTGCGTTTGATCACGGAAAGACTGATATCTGGCCTGACGAGGAGAGTGAACATGATTGATAGCAGTACCAGGCCACCAGCCGTTGCGAAAATGGCCTTGGGGAAGGAGGCCACAGTGCTGCTGTAGATGAGACCAAAAATCATAGGCTACAGAGCCTATATGAGAATACATCTTTGCCTAGAAGGATATCACTCACTCCAAGAATAGTCTGGCTGATGGCTTGCAGGACAGCGAGAGCGCCAAAAAGCTTTCCAGGCTCCAATTCAACATCATTATCGTGCTCCTGAGCCTCGCCTGTACGGACAGCAGCTTCCTTAGCAGCAAGCGCACGACCCTGGAGGGTGCACAATGCGAGGCTTTGCATGGCTGGCATCACCCCCGCACCAATGCACGAGAGTGATGTTGCACCAACAAACATGAACTGCGACCACCAAACATCACTCCCATCGGGGGAGGGCATAGGCGCAATGACAACAAGCGCATGCGAAAAAAAGTCCATAAGCATGGAGTACCGCACGACGCGCAGATCGAACTGCATTTCGTTGAATAGGTGAGACTTTGTGGGTTTGGGCTTTGACGTGGGATTCGCGGGTGTGTCTGTAGAGGAAACCGCAGCGCGAAAGGGCTTGAACTTTAGAAGAAGGACTGCTAATATCAGGACCGGGAGATGTCATCCATTAGGTTGACTCACATGGCAGGAAGAAGAGTAAGTGCCAAGCACGGCACGCTCCCATGAAGGAGATATAGTAGCTTAGTTGTTCGGCTGCCCAGTCGTAGATATGCTCAGCATATAAATACTTGAGCTGGAACATCCCTGATGCCAGCATGTGCGAGAAGAGCGAAATGCAGATGAACGTCAGACCCCAGTCTTTCCGCGTGCGAGAGGACACAAGTGAGTCTCCAGTGGCGCTGGCAGCTACAGGTACAGGTACATGGGACGGGAGGAAGACGGCGAGGGGCGATAGAAAGCTTCGGATGATGCGAGTTGCGACCCATCCATTGGAGAGCTCGTCGACCTTACCTATAGAAAACGCTTCAAATTAAATACGAGACAAGGTAGCCAACTCAATGATACACGTACCGCTAGGGAATTCTGGATCACTTTCAACAGCTCGACCCTTACCTTTCCTATTTGATGCTCGGCGAGACGCGGGAAGCGATTCGGGGAACACAAAGAGCACTAAAATCAAGTTCACGAAAGAACAAGTAATCGCCACCCAGAAAACAGATGTGACGCTTTGTAGTGGGTGGTCGACTTTCACTGAAATTTAGCATTCAGCCGATCAAATAGTGACCTAACGTACTATCTCCAGCACTCAGGAAAGGTATCGGATTCCTGATCAACCATGCACCGATTATGGGCCCGAGAGCAAGTCCGACAGAAAGGACGCCAGTGAAACGAGCGAAAATAGTCGCACGGGAACCAGGAGATGTGCAATCAGCAATATAGGCCGTATTAGCACCGGACAAGGTCGACCATCCTCCAAGAGAGCCCTCGATGATAGGTGCAAGGATGAGCAGCTTATGCGAGTGAACAGCCAGGGGGCTGTGAGGTGTTGATACAAGAATAAATGTGAGGTCCCTTTATGATTCGACTATCAGCAAGATACCTCGGAAAGAAGCGAAATATGAAACGTACATAAGCAAGAGTCCGAGGGTGGAGATAGCGAGGATGGGTATGCGGCCGTGCCTTTCCCCAAACTGGCCCCACCAGCCAGTTGTAAGAGCAGAGAGTGCGCCCATCGTTGTGGTCATCATGGTTTGCAGGCGTGCAGCACCTGCTTGAACGGCGGGGTCTGAAACACACTTTTTGCCTGGTAGCACACGGGGATCTTCATCTGAGTCATCGACATGGCGCTTCGCGTGGATTTTGCCTGAAGTATGGATAGGTGATGACGCTAAATGCACGGAGATCGAATGGGGTTCTACGGGATGGACTACGTAATGGCTTGAGTTGAACGGAGTGTAGCTCGGTACCACGCGTGTGTGATTATAGTGCTCGTATACACTGTAGCATGACAGTTGTGTAAAGACTTCCACACGGGACGCCAGCGTCATGCCGCGCTACACAAGTGCACGATGATAGTCAGCATATTTCTCTGGGTGATGACAAGTCAGAACGCACAGTAAGAGATGCAATTAGTGCAAATGGTACCAGCCTGCCCGAGACTCCGTCAGTCGGATTACTCATAACTTGGACGCCGATAAGCTCAGCGAACACCTGCTCACCATAATGGGCGGGCACGATAGAATGGCTTCTTGACTTTCTGCGCGGTCCCTATCAATGGGTCGCGTTCCGTTGGGACTGCGGCGGGCTCCAGTACCGGCGCTGAGTAGTGGTCGACCGGCGGTGGTGAGCGCGACGGGGAGAACACGATGTTCTCCGTCGATATGATTGGATCCGTGGTTATTCTGTCGAGCGGCATGGTAAACGACAACTACGGGAAGTCGAATGCGGGGCGGAATGGCATTGCAAGTGGATGAAAATGAAATAAGCGCTATTTATAATTAGTGGGAATGCGGCACGTTGCTAACAGCACTGAGGATAGCACACGCATAGCACACGATCTGATGCTTACGGATGTGTGACATGTATAAAGGCCACATGCACAATCCGCAACCACTGGCATCGAGGTGCCCTAATGTTAGATATCATGGAGGCTAACAATATCGTAGTCCAGACTCCAGCGGGCCGGCTATGCACAAATCGCTATCACCTAGTAGGCTAGGGCCTTGCAGCGAACATAGATCTTTGAGCGCTTGAACAACGAGGCCAATGAAAGTTGATAAAAAGCTTGTTAGGATTTGGGTCTGTACAGCCTGACTCGATTATTGCCGTATCCATCACAGGGTTTTCCTCGTGTCCTCCTCGTGGAACAACCGGCCGAGGTATTTCTCCATATGGAATCAAGGAATTGGTTGATTTCCAGTTGATTTCCAGAAACGTGAGTAATATTCACCTCCGTACTTTGTCTCTACGCCCTGAAAAACGGGGTGGTTCAACTTGTTCATAACTTCGCCGTCGGCTCCAAGACGCTTGGAGGCAATGGCATATGTGCATCAGCCGTGGCATGAGGCTATAGGCTGGCCCATCAGAGAGGTCGTAAACGCTTCCTCGAGGCATGCCATCATTGAAAAAGACAACTGTTTCACTGGCAGCGCCTCAAGCTGCATGGAAAGGAATGCCGTATGAAAAATTGCAAGTTGCAGCCAACCGGTCTACCAGGTCTGGTCGAATCTCGTAGGCCATTAAACATGCATACATGACTCCAATTGATGGTTGTGGCAATGCGAACTGAATAGGTTGTCCGCGACTGACGACTTGGCACGGACACTAAGTGATCCATCAAATTCGAGTCATCGAGGATATTGGTCGATCAATTGAAGATACACGTCAGCTAGGTATCTCCCTTCCTTCCAAAGTTTTACACCATACATCTAACATATATAAGTAAGCATTTCCAGCAGTTCGTGTCCACCCCGTCACACTCTGCAGCGTTGATGCACGGTCTCACTGGAATTCTCATTCATCCTTTGCGTTCAGCAGTTCTATAACTAGCTGTACTTTTCATGGATTGGTTGAAATTCAAAATGCATCTCGGCATCTAGGAGATTTCTGATAAGTGGCGGCTGTTATCAGTGGAGCAGGCGAAATAGTTACGCTAACAGCATCAGTGAAATCATCACACAAAATGCACGTACTTTCATTGCACACGCCCGTTCGCACTGCCGGATGTCCATAGTTCACCATGTTTCTCGATGAAATTAGCGAGGATAGGTGACAGAACCTGTCTCTTCTAAACAAAACGAACAAGATCGACAAAGTGCTTGCTTTTCATTTTATGTTCTGAGTTACTAATACATTCAGGTTTGTGCCGATGATTCGCAGTCTTACTGATTGCCTCGATCGATGGCTAGTACTTAGGCGCTTGATATAAGAGATGGTCTGCGTGTTCCCACTCTTACGGATCCTTATGACCCAACACAGATATTCCGTCACTTCCGATGATCAATCTGACACCTCGTGCATGCCTCATGTGGTATACAGCTGCGTATACCCATTGTCCACTGAATCTAGATCATCTAGATACTGACTTCAATTCGGGTAGAATTCACCGAGTTCACACACTTCAATGATTATAAGGCTACGCTTCCAAGTCTCCGTCACATCTACCTTCCCCCATGGATCCTTTAACGATAAGAGAAAGAATCGGTCGCTTTCGAATCCTCGTCGTAGGGAGAGCGAACGCAGGAAAAACCACCATCCTACAAAGAGTTTGTAACACACGAGAAAACCCAGTAATATATAACAGCGCTGGAGAAAAGGTACGTCTCTTGATGCTGGTAAGAGGCTAGTAGTGATGACTAACCTATGGACATCAGATCGATCCTGCAGTTTTAGAGGCATCCAGAGACGTAAGTCATGAGGCTCTTGGTTGATGACATGAACTGACGTGCTCTCAGCGCGGATTGCACGATATCGAGAACGAAATGACGTTTGAAAGCAACCCAGGTTTCATCTTTCACGATTCACGCGGGTTTGAAGCAGGCGGCGAATCTGAATTTGACAAGGTGAAGGCTTTTATCGCAAGCCGTTCTAAGGAAGCCAGATTAAAAGATCGACTCCATGTTATCTGGTAATTGTAACTGATCAATCGCAATATGCACCACCTCACGATTTTAACATTAGGTACTGCATCCCGATGGACGAGTCATGCCGGTCATTCACCAAAGGCGAAACGAAATTTTTCTCTCAATGCGATACTGGAAGCAGTAAGCTTTCACATCCGATTGTTGTTGATGTTCGACTGATGCGCAGAATCACGATCCTCAGTTCCAGTGATAGTATTGTTCACAAAATTTGACGCCCTCTACGACGAAGCATACGCCCAGCTGAAATCGAAGGGAGCATCCATGAAGGAGGCCGGACGACTGGCGCCGAAGCATGCCGAAGAGTCATTTGCGACTGGGTCACAATTGAAGTTTCTATACCACTCCAAGGACATTCAACACCCTCCAAAATGTCATATATGCCTCCCTAGTAAGCTGTTGATCGTCTAGTGCTGCCGCGGTCCGGTCCAGAACCATGGTTCGAACTGGACTTTTGGTCCGGTTCTCCGCGGTTCGGTCCATGGTTCTTGCGCCAGCCAGAACCGGACCGGAAAACGGTTCTCGGTTCTAGATCTTCCCAAACGGTCCAGTTCTGGTTTGGCCTTCCTGAACCATTCCGAACCCTTATCGACTTCGACGTCAGACTGTCGTCTTCGGGATTCACATTGTTGATTAATCAAGCTACATTTAGCCTTTTCGAAGGTATACCGGTAAGCACTAACTAATTAAACTCTCAAGTCTCTCACCTGCTCACCTCTATAACAGGAAGTTCTATTCATTGAGGACCGGCTACAACACTGCGCAAGACTACCTTTTACTGGAGGTGGATATGTTAGGCGCGGTCAAGGTGGATTTTGGAGGGATTGTGTCTTGCGCTATGCTGCAGAGGTGCGTATTTGTGCTCTGAATGCTGATGGCTCCCTCAAGGGCCAGCACCCATCGCTACCAGCGCACAACCCATCACACGCCACGCCACCTGCGCCTATGTTGATGCCCGCCACCTCACTGCATCCCCTCTCACTCGCTTGCTGTTCTTGCCGGCTGGCTTTTGCTGGCTCGCTTGCCATGTCTCACTCGCCCACTGTCTCTCACCCTCTGTCTCTCGCCCATTGTCTCTCACCCTTTCAATACGATGAGAGTTTTTGGAGGTACGTTTTATTTGAGTTGTGATGACGCGATGTTGAACGATCACCTTGCACTACAGGCTTTGCGCATCGCGCGATTGAGGACATCATTTGGAAGAACTACCATCATTTTTGTCCTCTCACCTTTGGGTTTGACGCTTGTGCTTCAGGGCTATCGCAAACAATCCTGAAGTCTTCCCCGAACCACACAGGTTTAATCCTCAGCGTTGGATTGACGATGCAGGTTGCGCGCGATAATCTCCGGTTGATCTCCGGTTTTTCACTTTTGGCTTTGGCCGTCGGTGAGTAGTATCGTTCATATCTTGACCATTTCTTACGCCTTACTTGAAAATGTCAGAGTGTGTCCTCACGAATTGGTCAGTCTTCATCAATACGGCTCTCATCATGTGGGCTTTCCACTTTTCGGAGAATCCTGCGGCCACCAGCATCACAATTTTTTCTGAAGCGCCGGCCACGTCAGCATCTTCAGCAGCTACAGAGGCAGAGGGGTATGGAGTCATCATTAGAGTAGCTACTCGATGTGTAAACTAGTATTTCAATGTTTTGTTTTTCGCGCTTGCCACTGAAAATTTTCGGGTTCGGTTCGAGTTCGGACCAGAAAAAAACCGAACCGGACCACAGAGAACCGTTCTCTGTGGTCCAGTTCGGGGTTCGAAGATTTTGCAGAACCGGACCATGGTCCGGTTCTCGGTTCTCGTCCAGGGCCCTCTGAACCGGACCGAACCGGACCACGGCAGCACTATGATCATCGACTCATGAGTCTGATACATTTTGATGCTGATCTATTAGACATGGACAGTGATGATGCAGATTGCGGTTTACTAATTGAACACACAGCTGGAACTTTGGATAATGAAGTACTGAAACAATTATTTGTCTCAACCCAGCAGACCAACATGGAGATCTGCATGAAATATGCAGTTGAGATGTAACTACCCGTGGTCTCATTCACCTGCTGACCAATTACATTGTCGACCCCCATTGACAGGTTGTGAGTGTATTCATCTGCCATTGAGCTCGAGAGTTGCTACTGACGACATCCTTGATCCGTTGACAGTCGGCAAGTCTTTTCATCCCCAATCAAGCTCTAGCCTTGTTCACCAATGACATTGCTCATCCACCGACAGAAAGTCAGTATGCTGATCATCCGTCAAGCTTTGCTTATGACCGAAATCGCATATCCCTTAACAGATTGTGAGTGTTTTGATTGGAACCTTGCTCGTGAACGACATCGCTGATCCATCAATAGGACATTAGTTTCTTCATCCTTCTTCGACTTCGGGCCATGCTGACCAAAGATGGCACATATTGGCAGAATGTGAGTGTATGGATCCTCAGCAGGAGTGGGCGATATTCAACTTTCCATCGTGGTTCAATCAGTTTTACAACCATCACGCTGCAGAGATACAGTCTAGGTTACTCTCTGTGGTATGTCCAATTGGTCGCAGATTGTAACACATATCTCATGTTGCGAATGTGCCAGGTCTCTAGCTCATCACCCTTGGAGAACATTGTTCAACTCGGTTCTGGTGAATTTCAAGGTTACGTTGCGATGAACCTGCTTATTATCAATCATTTAGCCGCTATCATTATCTTCAAAAACTCTTTCTACGTTTTCGACAAGCGAGACCATCTTCAGGGCCAGCAAGAGTCTGTTCCCTCGTTTTATGTCGCTCTCGAGCAGTACATGGCATCTCCACATGCAGCAGCTGTCAGGGAAGGTGTGAGCGCTGCCGTCCATGCGTATGAAGAAGCTGTAAAAGCTTTTGTCTACACATATCAAGGAAACTTGCCTGCTTGGATGGCCAAGTTACCATTTCAACCCTTCAAGAGGAAGGCAAAAGAAGCTATTGAACGTTCTCAGCAATCCTTTGCACGCTCCAAGGAGAAGGAGAAAGAATCTTCGTGCTCTCAGGCGAAGGCGGAGTTGATAAAGGCTGTTCTTGAAATCACTTTAAATCATCGCCTGCGTATGTCTCACCGGCCATCATGTTGTGGCTAGTGTTGCCATGGCTCCAGCTTGTTGCTGGTTCTAGCCACGGCCTGAGCTAAAAATAGCTGAGTTGACAAGTGGTTATGGCTTGTGTAATTACGGTTCGGCCCAGCTCGAGTAGTTACAGCTAAGTCGACTTAAGGGCTTAAAACCAACTTTATTAATAATATATTCTAAAATTATATAAGCCAAAAATAGATTGACAATTTAGGACTCCAGTCATCGAGAACCGCGACGAGAACTCAGAGCAGATTGTCGATCACATCAATTCACAAATGCACTCAAACGCACTCTACATTTTACAATAACTTTATTGATATCAATGGGTCCGCAAGACAAAGTAAGTAATTACTGATAATGTTTAATCAAAAACTAAAATAAATCACTAGTTATACAGTACTGCAACTTGCGCAAGAAGGTTGCGAGAGCAGCGCACATCAGCGCAAAACACGGAGAGACCCATTGAAAGGCAGCAGGGAGTTGAGAGAGCTGTTGAGATCCAAGGAGGAGGGGAAAGGACCGTTCAGACAACTCGGAGATCCAGGTGGGGACGTTACCTGAGGCGACTTCTAGGTCGCGGTCGCGGGGGCAGGGATTAGTGTTGAGATTAAAGAGAGGTATGGGTTGTGAACGTTGACCTGCACCAAACTGGTTCGGTGCATGGATGACTAATGCTCTCCCACGAGCCCGATACCCTAGAAATCATTATGAACAATCTTCCTTTACTTTATGGTTCAGACTGCAGTTCAGATAGTATTTTCATTTCTCAGACAGACTCAGATAGGCTGAATATTCTTGTATATTTAATTTTGCAGTAAATTCTGCTTAGTCAGCAATAACAATGACTCAGACTGAATCCCACACATGTCAAGTAACAGTGTAAAATAGTTCTTGCATAATTTGCCTTGTGGGAACTTTCTTAACACTCTAAATACACGGCTCGCGTCATTTCTACGGTCAATAAAGTAACATCATAACAAGACACCAACAAATAACATAATCAGTCTGTTACTTAATATTTGTCACATGATACTAAGTTATATGACTCTAACAGTCAGGTGACCTATGACCCTAAACCAAATCATGACAAAGCAACCTTTTTGAGATGACTAAAGCTTGATGACACAAATTATAATGCACATGACTACAGTAAATAGTATTGGTACAATCTGACTAAGCCTATTCCCCTTAGAACGTGGGAAATAGTAACACAGCCACCATAATTTATCTATATAAGACCCCACTTTTTGCCAATAAAAAGATGCATACAGGGAACTTTTAAGCCCCACAAAATAAATTTGAGTGTGAAGTGTGATCAGTATCAACAACAGTGACAAGAGCTGTTAAGCAACTAACTGAGAGGTCATTGTAAGCAACATCCAGCAATACCTTTAGCTCATTGTCAACAACTGTGAAATATCTTGAGCTCACTGTGCTCAACAGTGAGCAAACTTTTTCTTTGATTTTCTACTGGTGAACCTCTAGTCTCTTTCTTTTCTTTTCTTTCTTCTTTCTCTCTTTCTTTTTCTGTTTCTTTGTTTGTTTGTTTGTTTTCATTTGTCTCTTTTTCTGTTCAGTTCGTTCACGTCTCAGTGTTATTGTCTGAATTTGTTTCAAGATCTTTGTGTTGTCTTTACGTCCATCTAAGCACCGGCTTAGTGGGAAGACTTCAGAAGTTGATAGTGACGCTTGACCTCACTCATCTGAGTAGTGATACTGAGCCAGGGTTTTCTTTGTCTGCTAGACTTTAGTTGTTGAATAGGGGACTTGGTACTGAAATCCAAGGACGTCCGTTCCTGATTCTGTTTAATACTCATCGTGAGTTCCTTGGCAGCAGGTTCAATAGTGAACTAAGAGTTCTACTGATCACTGATTAGTCCTGACCTTTGATTCTACCTGTTTGTGCTGAGGGGGTGATTGCTATAATTTCGCACGACTTTCTGTAGTAAATTTATTACAAGAAGCATTGTTACTGAAGGAAGGGTTTCTCTTATCAATCTATTTCTTTCTTTTATCAGTACCATACTGTTGGGCTGACTTTTCTCTGTTCTCTAAACACTGCCATACCGTTGGAGTGAATCAATTTCTGTTTGTCATCACCATACCGTTGGGCTGACTATATTCTGTTTATTTTATTTTCTATTGCATCCATACTGTTGGATTGACTGGTATTGCTACTGACCTCACAGGAAGTACTTTTGTCTGAACATAGCTTGGGGAAGTGTAAACAGCCACCCACGAACAACCACGTTATCGGTCATTGGTATTTGTCTGAATCGCTGACCGTGGAGATTTTTGATTTTGTAGGTGTTTATCTATAGATCATCTATCTAAGAAGTCAACGTTTATGAATAGAATAGTCTTCTCAATCGAAATGTGAACAAGTGTCGTTATCGGCGATGATCAAACGGTGGGCAATGACTTGAGATCAGCATGGTCCAAACTTGAACGAGAAATGACGGACTCACTCTGCGAACGGTAAGCAATGAGCTTGGATCAGCGCTCGAATGATAATCAATGTCGTGGTAGATCGCACAGATGTTCCTTCCTCAAGGAGACTGCTAGTCTGTTCTTGATTATGCGACTCCTCGACCACCACTTCTTCTGTTTTTATTGTCTTGATAGGAAGCGAGTCGTCAGGTCGCTTCACGCTCCGATCTCCAGTAGCACTCTCCTCGACACGGTGCCTGTTCTTCTTGATGTGTCGCAAATTTGCCTCTCTTTGAGCTGGTGAGGAATTCATCTGTTGACTGACAGTCCATTCAGTCCATTCATTGCCATCGCTAGCGAGGATGGTACGTGACTTGGGAGTGCTGGGCAATGCGACCTTTTTAGAAGTTGGAGGTGGCCCATTTGGTAGGGGAGAAATGGACAAATCCAGAGGGAATTCAGAAGCCAGTTGAGTCGAATACCAAGGTGCATCTGTGATCACCTGTCTCCCAACGTCAGTGGAAGCCGATACAAACGAGAGCGCATCGAAAGACTGATGAGTCTGAGTGATTTGTTTCTTTGGATTCTTGGTCAACTCGATTTGGTGAGACAAAGCCTTTTTATAGTCATCGACCACCTCAATCTCTTCTTCAGTCATACCATCCTCCTTCTCGACAGGAGGCCCGATATCAGCAGAAAGCTGAAGTAGTGCTGCGCTGTGTTGAGCCAGAGTCCTTTCTCTCTTGGCATGTCAATCAAAGCTGGGTTCTGAAAAATAAAGCGTTGAAGGTTCAACGATACAGCGAGGCACAAACAATGCTCCGGACTGTATCTATAAATGTTGTAAGGTCACGCGTTGCCTAGTCTGCTATACTTGAGACGACAAGTGCGTTCGACCCTAAAGGGGAAGCGAGTGCAGCAAGGATCTAGAGGTATGCGCTGAAAGCGCTACTGGTTGGCCAATGTGAAGCATGAGAAAGCGCAGGTGCGCGCAAGGCGCGGGAATGTGCGCGTGTATGGCGCGAAGCGCGGGAAAGCGTGCGCGTGTATACAGATACGAGAGAGAGTAAGAGTGAGTTTGCTTAAGTGATGATATGATGTAAGACAAGAGAAGAGAGATGCGAGGTGTAAACAAATAGATTTCTACTATGTTCTGCTAGGTAAATAGTGGGTAGTAACCAGTAAGTCCTCTGTCGTTCTGGTGGGAGAGTAAGTGAGTAAGTGTATGTACTGCTGGTGCTTAAGTATGGCACCTAAGCGCTGTCATGCGGAGCCGAAGCGCTACCGAGTAAGGTATGTAAGGATATATGTAAGTAAGGGTCCATGATAAAAATAAAGATGGAACAATATGCAAATGTGAGAAATGGAAATATACGCACTAGGGAACTTGGTGGACAGTGGATGGATGCTTCCGGATGGCTGGCGCTATAGGGCGCTCAAGCGCGGGAAAGCACACGCGCATATACATCGTGAAGCGCAGGAAAGGTATGCGCGCGAGTTGTGCATTGCGCGGGAAAGCTGCGCCTCATGTAGGAATAGCTGTGGATAGCATACAGAGTGATGCTACAAGTTCATGCCATGTACTCCCTAGTGAAAACTGCGATATTGCACAATGAGAGGCACAAGTCTCTACAGCGTGACGCACATCGTGCAAGTTACAGAATGCATAAACATTAAGTACATTCGTGAAACTTGGAGCCAAGCATAGGTATTGGAAGAAACTGGAGAAGATGTGCCAAGGATCCCGCTGAAACACGGGATCAGACAGTGTCATTTCGAACAGATACAACTCACATAGAGTAACGATGCAATGAGGTAGATGCCTATCTCGTGAATGAGCTAAGGAATCACTACAAAGCATAAGGCACAACATACCAAAAGTGGAGACCATCGCGACAATCAAAGGACCAACAGGGGGCATGAAGAAGGTAATAATGCCCTGTTGTACTTTCCGGGGGTGTTTCATTGCTCAGCCACACAGTCTGAACAGTTTAGTCTAACAATACTTGATCTATATGACTGCATGGTGAGTATAATGAGTATAACATCACGAAGCAAAGCTACCTTCACCAGGGTCTGAGTTGCTTCACCGCACATTTCTAGACACCCAAGATGAATGATACGCAGGCGGAAGCCTTTCTGCAGGCGCGTCATGGGGGGGAATCAACGTGCTGGCATCATCTTCTCGAATGTATGGCACCACTTCAGAGAAATTGTCATTCCCAAGATATGATGGGCCAATTGACGGGTTCAATGACTGGACCCGCTCGGGGCTCAAAGAATGTACCACTGGGAGAGTAGACTCCCCAGACTTGTGATGGCGCTGGATAGGACTTAAACTGCTGTATCTCTGAGTGGCTACCAGGGAATGTTGTGAGTTCATGAGTGAATACATGAAGAGTACAAGCACCTGCTTCGGCATCCGTGAAGGACACTCCATAGACAGGCTGGACACCATATGATTGTCCCAGAAACACGGATGGTGTATCCTTGATCATGCGAGGCCATTTACCTCATCTGTAACTAAGAGTAAACACCACTGAGCACTGCAATTATGGTGAGCGCAGCGCCACCCACTGCACCACCGATGATGGCTATCCGTGAAGTAGACGAAGCCGCTGAATTAGTATTCACAGAGCTGGTATGGAATGCAGAGACAATAGTTGTGACAATGGCAGAGCCACCTGCAGTAGGGGCCGTCGTAGATGTGGGGAGGGATGCTGAAGGTAAGACTTGATTCGGGCAAACCATGAAAGTATTGTTGTTGTTTATCACCTGCTGTTCTACTGCATAATCCGCTGTCCATTGACTGGGTCATCGTTAGGAACAAACTACTGTCTCCTTCGCTATTTGACTCACTAATACCTGGCTCAGGGTCAGACAAGTACTGCGTGCGTTGAATAGACTTACCAGGATCCATCGGACCAATAGGATCTATTGTACAGGAAGTTATCGATCTTGATGTTCTCATTGCACACAGCCTGTTGAATATTTGCTGGAAGCCTAATTATACCACGTAGTCTTGTGAGTGGGTGCGTTGCCTTCATTCTCACTTTACTCACGATTGACGTCTTGTTCTTCAGTTGGCTGGGAATGGTCTACCAGAAAGTGCATTGTCAGGATAACATAAGCAAGCACCTGAGAACAGTGAAACTCACAGTGAATGCCTTGCCGGTTAGCCAGAATGAACACACGAGAAGGTAAACAGCCAAGAAGGCGTAGACCCTGCACACAAGTCAGCTTGAATAGAATAAAGACTCTGACTTGAAACAAACCATAGTGTGATTGCATATGCCGTCCGTTCACCCTTTGGTCTGTTACCAAGAGCTAGCACAAACTGCAGCGCGAGGAAGGCAAGGTAAATCCATTTGAAACACAAGTTTACCCAGTGTGTCGGATCAGCGTGGTGCGAGCTCAAACGAGGATTGACAGACTCACTCTGCAAATGGTGAGCAACAAGCTTGGATCAGCATGGCTGTTGTCGAACGAGGATCGACACACTCACTCCCTGTGAACTTCGATCAGTGGGCCGAGCTTGAAGGAAGATCAAAGCACTCACATACCATGAACAGTGGGCAATGACCATGGCATAAAGCCATTGTTGCAGTCAGTGCTGATGCCTAGTTCAGATATTAGTTAGGGTGAGACATCCGTCAAAAAGAAAAATCAATCGATAGTCAAGGTCATTAATGACAAAAGTAGTAGCAGCAGTATGAGCAAGAACATAGAAATAGTAAAGGTAGCAGTAAAGAAAAAAATTAAGAGACACATGTAGACGTCGTTGCGATATCATCTGGAACATCATTGCATTCGTCCTCTGCGATGACTCTGAGAAGGGCCTCGTAATTGCGACTGCCAGAAGTTGTTGCGCTGATGGCAGATATCAGTACGTCACCACAGCCAGATGCCAAGAGATCTTTATGGCTCGCTGAGCCCACGACACACATCAAGTCATACTCCATATCCTTTTGGGATGCTGACCAGCCCTTCGTGAAGTGGAGTTGCTCTTTTTTCAGCGCGAACTTGGTCATTTGTAAGGCTTCCATCAAGTAAGGACTAATGTGATTGCGTTTCTTGGTGAATGTATCACTGCTGGAGGAAAATACGCGCTCGCATGGAACGGCAGAGGATTGGATCGGGAGAAAGTCCATGGCAATTTTATAGAGTGTTGGAAAGATTGATTTCGAAACCTAGTCCACCATCAGTACCTCATCATCAACAAATCCTGTAATAGACTCTTACCGTCCAAAAAGATAGAAGATCTGTCCCTCTGGGACTAAGAACACCTGTGCCATAAGCATTGAACTCGTCTTCGACTGATTGAGGGCCGCCCTGGTGATGCGGCAGTAAGTCCAACTCAGGAAGTCCATAAATCGTCGAACCTAGAGCTGCAGGGCGCGGCTGACGAGTCGATTCATCGGATTGCATGGAGACATCTGTTGTTCTCTTGCTCCGCATCTGTGGGACATATCAATCCAAAGTTCGGCTGTTATTATTATCTGGCAGACGTACCAGTTGGAGAATATAGTTTTTCGCCTGTGTAATTTGCGGCACTGACCAATGTTCATTTATCCATGACAGACGTCTTGTGGGGTCAACGACTATATACAACAATGAGAATTTATCCTTATCGAAGCATCGAAAAGACTCACACATTGCAACAGCATATGCTCCTGTTAGGCTCATCTGGTCATCGTACTTGGCTGCCCACATTAAACCTATAGCAACAAAAGGTGCGCAATGTGGGACAAGGTCTCCCACAAGCTTCCACCTTTGAATCAACCCTTTGAAGGCTGGAACAGTGCTATTCAGAAGAGGACTGGTTTCGCTGGACATGCATTGTTGGGCGTGGTGTGGTGCCTAATGTAGAATAGTAAATACGTTAGAAGTTTTGGACATATGAAAACATACTTCTAGAATAACCTCAAGATCCTGAAGGACTTGCCAATCCATAGGGCTCAATTTATAGCGAGCTATGCTGCATTGAGCAGGGAGATTAATCCAATGGTCGATGGCCTGGGCAAGAGTTAAGCTGTGTGAAGAGTCTAATGATATGAGACTTACCTGCCATAGGATCCTCAAACAATTGAACATGATGTATGTCGAATCCCAATGAGTGGGCTCGTCACATAGCAATTCAACTATCAGCAGGGCCATACGCTCGCCATTGTCGTTTACGAACCATCCCTCTGCATTGCCAGAAGTAATGGCAGCTTGAAAACTGTCACGACGCTGGCCTGATGAGCGGATCACACGGACAACATCTCTGGCCCGAGTGATAACATCACTTTGCAGAGCCTTGACGTACTCGACTTTCTTGAAAGTGTAAGGGCCAGCTACAAAAGTGTCAGCCAAATGTGAGAAATCTACCTTAGAATGTTCGTCGAGGATATGTTGGACGCATATGTTCACTATATGTGGAAAACATGGGATTTGGCGATCAAGAGCGTCAAATTCGATCCCATCATTTTGTAACAGCTGCGAGAGCTCGTCCATTGCAGTCCGGTTATTACTGGCATTGTCCAGGGTGAAGTGTCCAATCTAGACAAAGTCAGAGCATGCAACAGAGTACAATGAAATACTAACATTATGTTTCACTTCAGCGCGATCAATGAGCTCCAATATTTTTGGAGCAAGTGCCTTTCCTGTATGGCTACCAGGGATGTGATGAAAGGCTATTAGAGCAGCCTTCAAAACAAGTGTGGCTTCGTGTTCTTTCGCAATCCAATGTGCGGTTACAGCAAGGAAGGGATGGAGCTTAGAATCAGACCAAATATCGGATGTGAATGAAATTTGTCCTTGGGCGGTCTGCAAGATATGAAGATACTGTATGCAATAGATAGTTAAACACTCACAGCGAGGTCAAGTTTGATGGCTGCAAAGTATCCATCCCACGCATCGATGATTAGTTGCTGAAGCTTTGAACGATGGGGGATATCAGAATCCTTTAGGTCCTGCCGCAAGAGGCAGAGCAGTCGACGAAACTCTGGACATTCAACGACACTGATTGCCTAGAGATGATGGTTAGCGAGAACACATAAAAAATGAACAGTACTTACTTGGTCGTCAGCTACAATAAACTTCACAATCTGTCGATGCATCTCCTCGATAGAGAAGTCTGATAAGTCATAATCCGAAGATGCTGACTTCCCAACACCGGGCCTTGAACCGCTGTAGGGATTCATTTCTGGCTGGGCTTGCAGAGACTGTTTTTACCTTAGTGTTATGTTTGCACTTTTGTAGCTTACATAATCAAGTTACCTTTTCACCAGTTCTACTATGAGTCTGAGTATTCAGCAAGTTTCTATCATATTTCCTCTTCTCTGAGCCTTGAGCCTGGTCCAGAAACCCTTTAGGGTCGCATAGCAGCTAGGTTCTGCAAGACCCAACATTGTTCAGACTCACCATCTGAATTGTTGTACCTTCACCGCCACGTTTGGGATTGGGGGGAGGGCCAAGTGTCTCGATCGTGCAAGTGGGATTTTGGAGTTGTTTCCGCATCTCGCTGAAGGTCCAGCCTTCATTAAGGTGGTCACTTACAGGATGGATGCCAATTGGCCATTGCTGCTTCTCGGATTCCTCGAGGTAAAGGTTGATATGAACTTTATGAATGTGTGAACGGAGAGGGGTATTGCTCATGGACGGACCGTAGATGGTGAGGGGATAGGATGAGTCTATCTTATTTGAATCCCTGGTAAAGGGGTGAGAAGAGTAGAAGAGACTCCCAGACATGTTACTCACTCGCATGGTACACAAATGTGCTTGCTGGTGTCTGAGTTCTTCCTAAAGAAGAACTGGATATCGGAAGTAGTCTTGAGGCCTCTTTTTCTCGTAGCAAAAGGATTGGTGTGGAGAGTGCTGGTTGTCATCTGAGTTGTCGTCTGTAGTGGGCTCGGGCCCTGTGTGTGCGTGGCGGCTACAACTTGAGGTGGGTCGTCGTCGTCTTCACTGCTGCCAACGTTGTTGATGTCAATCCACTCGCCATCATCCGTATGGGCAGCTGCGTCATCCTGCCTATATCTCTGAGGCAGCTGTCATTGTCTCCTAGGGCGGTGAAGCGCAGTAGTAATCGCAGCAGCTGCAGTGGTAGTTGCAGCAGTGGGAGCAGGAGTGTTAGGCACGGGAGCGGGAGCAACAGGAGTAGGAGCAGGAGCAACATGAGTAGGAGCAGGAATGATAGGTGTGGGAGCGACAAGAGCAGGAGAGACAGGTGCAGGCACAGGCACAGGAGCAGCTTCAACCTGGGGGATTTTAGCATTCTGTCGACGACGGTTCATGTTAGTAGTAGTAGTGCTGGAGATGTAACGAGAGACTTACCCATACATAACATATATACCTTCATCCTGGGAACCCCAGAAAAACACTGCTGTGCACAATGGTACAGAATCACCTTGGCACTGCAGGGTCTAAACACAATAGTTAATAGCAATACATAATGATTGAGACTGAAAACTGGTGTACTGATACACGTACATTTCGTTTAGCAGCTCTTCATAACATCACAACTTCTTCCTACTGTATTGGCCAGATCATGGTGACCAGTTCTTGAATGTGGGTGGGGATCTCCGTGAGGAGGACGCGAGTATGAAAACTAACATGATGTATACTTAAATCTTGCTGAGCAGGAAAGATCGGTTAGGAGTGAAAGGTGATCATCACAGACTGCAGTGTACGGTGTACCCTGATCAACGTGGGAGTTAATACGTGGGAATTAATACACTGCATAGTACATATGTGCACAGACCATGTGCAATACATACACATGTAAATACTAGGCAAACAATCTCAAACATGCGCATTGCGCAGATGTAGTACTGAAAGAAGAAAACAGAAAGAAAAGCTATATAGCATGTTTCTTGATCCGACGTGAGGTGGGAGTAGTTACAGGTGTTGGGGTATTGTTGTGTAGATGTAAACTTGCGAATGATGAGTTCATGGATGCGGTGTGTAAGGATAAATGAAACTACTTACACACGAGTTGATCTATGAAGGGGCGTTGCTTTCAGCAGACATGTGGGCACCAATTCAGAGAGTTCAGGGTTTTGAGAAGGTGGGATCGGATAATCAAAATCCAGGGAATGTGTAGCTGGTGCAGGCCCTGCAGTGCGAAGATCGTGCAGTAAAGAACATAGATAGTCATAATCGGGATCTTCTGAGAATGAGAGAGAGCGCGAGTAGACAAGGATATTTGCAAATGCAGGAGGAATTCCCTCACATAAATCCACAATGGCGGTATCTACTTTGTGCTCGAGTATAAAGGAGTCAGAAAGCTTCTCGTGGTCACTATTTAACCACAGTAGGGAGCCACACAGGAAATATATCAGCATATAGGCAAGTGATTCAAGATCATCACGGCGACCTGGCTCCAATCCCAAGTGATTGTTGATTGAAGCGAAGGCAGGGGTGCCTGTGAGACGTCAACCTCGACGAAATGGGATGTGGGATGTGGTTGAGGAATTCCAGTATCTCTTCATGATACCAAAATCAATAATATAGACAGTTTTTTCCGAAATATCTATCATAGCGTTTTGCGGTTTGACATCGCCATGAATATAACCATGTGAGTGAATGTACTCCAGACGTGACAGCTGGAAAATGGGTCAGTATCTACAGCACAACACATTTGAACCAAAGTACCAGCTGGTCCCCTAAGTTTACAACAGTTTGAAGTCTGAATTTCCGGTTGCACATGAGGAAAAGATCATGCAGCGAGCGACCAAGGAGGTCAAGAGCCAAGGCATAGTGTGTTGACTCCCTGCCAAACCAAAGGACACGGGGGATCCCAACTCCACCTTCGAGTTGCTTGAGAATGTGGTGTTCATGCTCGAGAGAAGGTGGATTATTGGTGACCGGTTCGAGTTTGATGGCAACGATATCATCATGAAGGAAGTTTTGTGCACGGTACACGACAGCTAGTGTATATTTGAAACCCTGAATATCAATCAATTGACTGTCGACATCATATGAACGCACCATATGAACCTGATCCCAAAATATTTTCCAGCCTGAATCTACCATCAATGTGTAATGGAGCCTTACTCATGCTATGCGACAGCTAAATGTTGCAGACTTACAGTGAGAATTGAAAATTCAGCATGGCGAGAGTGGCTTCCACGTGACTAGAGCCGACTGCAGTCAACTTGAGCTGGCTTGAGTCGATATTTCTTAATTAATGGCTTGTAGCCAGTTCGTGCAGCTTGTAAGTCGAACCAAACTGCACAACGTGGTTCGACTGACAAGTTTAACCGAATGGCAAGTGTAGCTGGTAAAAGCCGAGTCCGAGCCGGGCCGAGCTGAGCTGTGACATAACTAGTTGTGGCAGCCATCCTGCTGATCTGCTTGTCTTCAGCAAGACCTTGATGTCGGGCGATGCAACACAATGTTCCAGTTTGGAGTGGAGCTGAGGTATTATGGCTGTGATTGTGGGCTTCTTGATTGGTCTGTCGAGGTAGATTCAGGATGTGGGACGGTACGAAATGGTTGCATGATCACGCAATATGGTACTTTGTCTGGTAGTGTTTGGAGAATGTCGGACACCGAGTTACTGATCAAGCTGCACAGATTTATGACCATTCCATTAATATTTTATTCATCCTAGGGATACATACAAGTAGCTACATTGGCCAATGACTGTTTCCCTCTCTGGACCTCACATCAACGTTTAATGGCTGCCAACTCTTCCGAAGAGCCAGCAGCAGAACAACTTCGGATAAATCCTATGATATGGTCTATCTATTGGGTCAATGTGACCTTCCCTTCCTCGTGGGATCCAGGCATTCGAGAATAAATTGAGGAATTTTAGCGGCTCATCTTCGTTGTGGCACCTTTATCGGCTGCTAAGGGGGAAGATTCATCTTCCCAGCAGTCAGGGAAAGCCTGACACAGCGATGACAACTACGCAGTCATATGGACTTGGACGGAAGGGGCACATTCCTCTGAGTGCCTTGAAGGCGTAAAAAGTGGTGGAATGCAGAAACTCTGTGCGGATATGATATGTCAATCACAAAAACAGTGTGCGTGAGGGAGCCTTCAAGATATTATCAGGAAGGCCAAAGTGGGTACGGTTATTTGCATGTTCAGTTGAGGTTGTTGTAAGCAAGAAATGAATTGACTTTGAATCATTCTATATATCACAGAATATTCTGGATAAATATTTCTTCACCCTTCTTGACCATGAACAAATGTTCCAATCAAATCACACCATCTGGCTGAATGACAAAAACCTCGGTTTAGTTGGCTTGGACGAGGTAAGCAGAATAAGCATGGTCCCACTGATCAAGGACGAAGAGATACAACGGGCGATGGCGGTGCCAATGAGGGTAAGATACTGCTGACCATACAACTGGTTTAATATATGGCTCTAGTGCAGCCAAGATCGAAGTAGCATCTGTAGGACCGCAGCACCGAAGTCAAAAAGTATCATCGAGTCGGATTCTCTGGATGTAGAGCAGCTTGAGCACATCGAGACTCTGTCGTCAACCTCAAGTTCTGTCTCGTCAAGTATCCTGTAGGTGTTCATGGGCTTCCCCTCCATTGGTGTGATAAAGTCGCCAAGGATGATGCTGCTGAAGCAGCAATGAATGCCAATCATATAAAGGAGAATGGCACGCCAGATATGACAGATGTAGCATTCCAACAGCGGGCAGGAAATTCACATGTTTGAACTGCTTTGAACTCCGCCCGACACTCCGAGTCTGTAGACTAGGTCTCTGTTGCTTTATGTTGCTGGAAACTGTTATTGGGTGACTATCTGTAGGCTGAAATAATGCGGAATAAAATAAGATAGAATAAAAAAGACCATTTAAGGAAGTCGTGCCGCGATGCCGCTGTTCATTTGCATCGAATTTGCAAAACATTATTTTTTGACCCCCTTACAGATTATTCCGGATTATAAATGATGGATTAAATCCGTTTTGGGCCACTACGCCTAAGCTATCTGCTGACTAATCCATGACTTGAGGTCCGCCTGATACATGTTCAGCATGGCGATAATCGCCACCTGGTCCAAACATTTTCCAATATACGGAGTCCCATCCCTGAGCTCCCTGGCGAAGTTTTTAGCTGAAATTTTAAGATTGCTATCAGCAGACGACGCCGACACGTACCACTTGTTACAGTAACATGGCACGAGTCCCCTGCCAGCAGACAGCCCTCTGCCACCGCACGGCTATAGACGATACCGGAGTCTCACCAGCTCTATGACGATAGATGATGATAGACGATAAGCGGCAACTGCCGGCTTAGATAAGCAGTCTGGACCGCACGTGACGACACATGACGACATAGGTCTAGAAGACCTATTTATGATATCAAGATAGAAGGCAAGCCTCGTGTTGCCTCATGTACTGATAGAAGGGTACCGCATGGACCCTATCTACGATAGAAGCCCGCCTCATGGACGCTATCTCTGACTCATGTAGATAAGCAGATTAGAACCCAGCTTTAGGCTGAGCTTAGATATGAAGAGTAGCCTTATATAAGGTCGAAGATTAAAGTAGATGTTCCTTACTTTAATCTTACTAGGTTTACCCTTGAACTCCTTGTCCCACTAAAGCTACCTGCTTGACATCGACTCGTACCTTCAGTGACGCCTCTCACTGTCTGTAAACCGCTATCATCTCAGCGTAACCCCTCGTTAAACACCACGAGCTACGTTCGAGTACGCAACCTTTGCTTGTCTGTAAAGGCCGACGACTCTCAGCACTCGGTACCACTATCGTGGTTGTTGCTGTTAGATTATCCTAGTCGCACATGACCGTGTGTCGTAACACCACTGCGACCGGCCAGGGTACGAGGTGAGCAGTGCTGACACCATTCTCTCCCTATAAGTCTAGAACAACTCGTTCCCCAAGCTACCGTGACTGTTTCTTTTTCAATAAAGACTTGATTTCATGTGTGTACTAACGTATTCCTGCGACCACCGCTGGGCATGACAAAGGTACAGCCGCTTAGGGTTCCGGGTTTCAACACAATCAAGTCGAGCTAGCTCTATTCCAGCAACGAGTGTAGCTGCTAACATCCTCGCGTCTTCTTCGTCGTCAAGAAATGCTGTCTCTTCTCCATCATTCACCAGATTGTGGTATTGTAGTAGTAGATCGTCCATTGCAGTTTTGACCAAATTATTTTATTCCAGATGCGTTACGGTTGTGTTTTCTGTACAGATTATCTTTTGCAAATATCTTTCAAAGTCCGTTATAATCTATTCCGCATTATTTTGCCTACGGATAGTCACCCATTACCTTGCCTTGTGAGACATTCTAAGTTATAACCTCATGTGGTTGTAAATTTTTATTCCTCCCTTCTTGCTCTCTCGAGCCTATACTTGCTCGCTGGACATTGCTTTTTCTTGCCTCTAGAGTTTCTGATTGATTGCTCGGTGAGTTCTCATCGCAGTCTAACGTTCGCTGACGCGTGCTCCTTTGCACCCAGACATCATAACCTCATCTCCTCTTTCTGTTTTATTCGATCCATCTTGCTCTGTTCTCTACCTGCTCGCTGGACATTGCCTGGTACTTTTTTGTCTTCCGAGTTTTCGAATGATTCTCTGCGATTGCTCAGTGAGTTTTCGATTTGATCCGGACGTTCGCTGATTTGCGCTCCTTCACAACTAGACGTCGATGCCTGTGTTCCTGATCATGAAACCGTGTGTGGTCATATGCGTTTTGGAATACCGTGATTGTCCACTCATAATGTTGTGTGTTTTTACGCTGTTGAAACCTACCAATTCTACTATGGGTGCATGTACTTTCCTGAACTGCACCTGTCTATCTATGTCTCTTTCACCACTTCTGCTCGCGGTTAGAGAATGTGCTAAGTGCTTGCCGTTTTCGTCGTCTGACATGCTGTATGTGTTGTTCAGATGCATCTGTTACGGTTGATGATCTCCTCGTTTGTGTTGATATCGAGGGCCTGTTCAGCCGTGGACACTTTGAATCTGACAGTTATGCTCACTGCTCTATCTTTCCAGCATTTAGTCTACCTCCGCCGGTACCAGAAGGTCTTGGCGCTGCCTCATATGCAGCTTTGCATTCGCATGATGACCCATCGTGGTTTCGTCACGCTATGAAGAAAATTTGCAGTTTGTCTGTTTCTGCTTTGACCATTATCGTTGTTGGAGGAATTAAACATAATCGCGGTGGTGTCGGGGACTGGAGACCAGGTGCGCACGCATCGCTACGATAGATTGCCTCGGAGTCCGTGACTTTCACAGGGCACGACGAGTTGGGCGGACCGTCTCGATAAACCTTATTTTTGACAATATTCATTCCAGGTTACCAGAATGGTGTGGCAGTCTGTGGGCCGAAATCGCTTGAATTCATTGCTTTGGGAAGATTTTGGAGCACGGACAAGTTGTTCGTGGGGTGAAGGAGAACAATGAACCAAAGTATGTCCTAGATGCTGCGGTAACGGAAATGAAAAGGTTTAAGGCTGAACTTGTATTACTAGAGAAGTCAGGGAACTAGAGAAGAAGCTTCAATTGAAGTTGTATCATTGTCCATGTACTCATAATGTAAAGTGTACCAATAGTTATCAGAAGCCATATGTGAAGATTGCGGTCTACGAAGCACGCGTGCTAAAAACGATCTGCGCTGCTCTTATTTGCACCACCCCCTTGTCATTTAGAGGATGCTGATGGGAATCTCAACGCTTCCAACAACAGAGTATGGAGAGCCATTTGTTCCGTTCACCGGATAAGTAGTGTCCAGTATCACCACGTAAGAGGCATTGAAGTAGTTTGCATAAGGAAGCTAGAGCCAAAAAAAATCAACTGCCACACGTGGAAGACACAACCGCCAAAACTAACCTGAGTTGTGAATGAATCGAGGAGAGGAGTTGCCGAGCTCGGATTGAGAGTACGACGAGCAAGTAGGATAGGAGGTTCGAAGCCGTTGTTATTCACAGGGACTTCGATGTAGTAGTCAGTGTATTCGGGATTCACACCAAATTGAGCAGCGCAGCTGAAATTCGCTGTCACAGTAAAGGTCTTGAATGATAAAAAAAATCAGACTCGGGAGGAGCCAACATAAATTACGAAGATGACTCACTTCACCGGGAGAGAGCGTGGTAGGACTGACTGTAACATCGCCAAACCTATCAGCCTCGGCACAAGCCTGGGCAGCTGCTGGAGTGGCTACAGCAAAGACAGCTGCAAGGGTAGCGATTACGGTTGAGAAGGAAAGCTGCATTCTTGCAAAAGTAGGAAATGATACTTGCTTCAGTAGCAGTTAGCCCTTTTATGCAAACTCAAGGAGGCAGTGATGGTGTCAATTACTATTAGTATCCCGACGGATGAGTCGTCAAAATATTGCGACCGCATCACAAATCGAAGGGGAAAAATTGCCGTCCGAGAAAATGACGAAATAGACGTACAACATTTCAAGTATCTTGCGGGCGTACTAATGATTGAAGAACGACGCCAGTTCGAAATAAAGCCTAAGGCCAATGCCAGCTTCAAATAATTAATACTGCGGACACCTGTTTTCGATGTGTATGGATGAGAGGCTCCTGCATAACTGGACACTCTCGGCCTCCATTATAGTTGGGCGCCGGTTGTAACTTGTTCTGGAAACGATGAAATGCTGCGCCACAGTAAGTACTACTGCGATTGGTGCGGTATTTGCCGCGACGGGACCTACTACTGAGTAAATACAACTTGCTTGTTGCTGGCCACATAAGCCTGAGTACTCTGGACTCTGCATCAGTGCCTTGAGGGACTTTGCTACATGATTAATATAAACTGACTCGGTTATTTTTGTCTTGCAAAGACTAATTTTCTAATGCGTTCCATTTCAGACTTCGGCTTTGGATGATGATCCGAAAATCCACCACTAAAGTGTTTATTACGATGCAAGTGGTGCGCAAAATAACTGCTAAAAGACCAGGTGTTATGTTTATTTCCAGCAAGTGAGTATGGCGTTGTACAGTCGCGGTCATCGCGGGAACATTAATATTGCAAGCACCCCCCAAATATGGAAAGAGGTGACCGCGATGACCATGATGACCGCGACTCATATATATACGTCGTCGTCAATTTCCAGAAACCAAGGCACCTACCGCCTTGATCAAAGAACTCACTCACACAAAACAAGGCACCTATCACTACCCACGCCAAGTCCAGGTGAAAGATACCCATGTTAATTTATCTGAAATCTGGGATGGTTGGCCTGATGGAAGTTATGCTCGCCTGTTTTCTTGGGAGAGAGCCCATCAGACAAATATCTTAATGGAACGCTAGGCCAACGGGAACCAAGAGACGAAGCGATGTTGCTGAGCGCTGAGATTTGGAAAGATGGTTTCGAACATGACGTACGTGTCTTGGAATCATTGTTTGTAACGAGCCTTGCTAAATCACCACACGCCCTGCCAGGCTGCCACACGCAAAATCATCTGTCAACTGCATGCTTCCTGTGACTACGGAAAAGATCTTTTGAGTCTGTCGTAGCCTCTTATGCCCGAGCTGCGGGCTGTACACGGGGTGTTGTTGCTGGACTGATTGGACCTCAGCCGTCAGTCGCCGAAATATCTTCTGTTCTTTACAATGTTGACGGCCTCTAGGCAGAGCTGTGATCATGATGAAATCATATTGAATTTGAGGTACTATGCTTTCTGACTTTCGATACGATCCTATTAACAATCAGCTTAGCGCGGGCCAGGTCCAGTAACAGCAACAACAGGTGTTGAGCAACGGATGTCAGGACCTTTCGGAAGCGAAGAAAGGTGGCACTCACCGCGTCTTGAGATAATGCCCGCAACTGCGCAGTCACTCGTTAAGAAGACATAGAAATAGCATTGTATGCGGAGGAATCAGACTACAATGCATTGTGAAAGATTGTTTAGCAACGAGGAAGATAGTTGTTGAAACAGTATATGGGAGACCTGACTCGGACTTGCAGACTGGGGTTACCTCTGTGAATCGATACCGCCTGACCGTAACTCTTGGAGCGCAGTGGATATACCATATAAGGAATCGAAGCAACGTTGGCTCGTTTGGAGGGCAAGCACTGGGAGGTTCCAGTGAGTGTAATTGATGCGCACTCACCTACACCATTTGCGAGCACCGCAGCAGTCGCAATAGTGGTGCGGCATTTTCACGATGCCCTTGGGAAAGTTGTTGTGGAAAGTTTAATGCGCATTGTGGTTCCGTGGAAGAAATCAATGATGGTGGCGGCCACACGCTTTCTCTTTGTTTACCTCACCTACATAAACTACAGGCTGCAGCAACTTGTCTGGCTTCAAACCCAACTTCAAAAGAACTCCGAGCAACTATTGTATGGCTTCTGATCAAATTATGGACACGAGCGTTCAATATGTTGTAAGCAAGAATTATTTTTGTGTTGCCGTTCACTGATATCTCGAATCTCGAAAAAGATGACAAGGAAACGAAAGAGACCGGCTTACGACTCCCAAGGCGATGAGGCGCTCGATCTGCTTCATTCCGAAACTTCGATGCACATGCGCGAACCTTCCTTAGGCCCCATCCCTCCTATTGTTACCCTTCCTCCAGCTAGGGACACGACTGCGACAAAGGTACAGCTTTTACCATCAAAATTGAACACAGCTTCAATGATCCACATCAGAAGGCTGTGACGGTGGACAGCTTCATTCGTCAAGTCATGACGAGGGGGCCCGGACCGCAGCGAAAACGGCAACTACGGACCGTAAAGTTGCAAGATGCATCCATTTCTACGGGCGATGCAAATATCCAGCCAGCCACTAAGAAGCCCGTCGGGGACGGGAAACCGACGACTCTGGCGCAGAGGCTGGCGTGTGCTGCCATTCTCTCCCACGTGGAAACAAAAGAGAGTCTGCATTCTACTTCCGGCGGTGTATCCTCCTCTCGTCGTCCTCTCAACTTTGTTTCATTCCCGAAATTCGCAACGCCTCCTTCGCCGAGGAAGAAACTTACTGTACGATCGGCTTTTCCTGGTTCTGAGTCTTCTGCAGTCATGGTGCGCAATAATCGACGCCAGAGGGCAAAACCACAACCTGCTTCTGAGCGTCCTGGTTGTCCTCCTCTGAACTTGGTTCCCTCGCATGAAGCACAGGTCGCAGATGCCTGTGGAGCGCAGTCTCACTCTGGGACTTCCGCAGACGTGCTTGACAGTAGTCGACACAAGAGGCCAAAACGACAACAAATTACCAACCGTCCTGGCTGTCCTCCTTTGAAGTTTGTTTCAGCTCATGAAGCAGAGGCCGCAAATGCTGCAAAGTTGCCGTGAGTTGTCTTCTTTCAGACCAGATAGGGACGTTCGGAACATGGCCCAACAGACGCCCTCCAAAACGACGGCCTACTTCCTACCGTCCTGGCTGTCCTCCTTTGAAGTTTGTTCCCGCACATGAAGCAGAGGCCGCAAATGCAAAATTTCCGTGAGTTGTCTTCTTTCAGAACAGATAGGGACGTTCGATAGATGGCCCACCAGGCGCCCTCCAAAACGACGGCCTATTCCCGACCGTCATGGCTACCCTCCTTTGAAGTTTGTTCCTGCACACGAAGCAGAGGCTGCATATGCTGCGATGTTTCCGTGAGTCATCTTCTTTCAGAGCAGATAGGGACGTTCCGAAGATGGTTCAGCAGACGCTCTCTACAACGGCGGCCTACCTCCTACCGTCCTGGCTGTCCTCCTTTGAAGTTTGTTCCCGCACATGAAGCGAAAGCTGCACATACCACAAAGAGTGAGTTGTCTTCTTCCAGGGCAGATAGGGACGCTCGATGGACAGGCCCGACAGATGCTCTTGACACCGTGACAGGGGCTGCTTGAACTTATAATCTCCCATGTCGGACCGAAACGAACCTTTGGCGATTTCCTTCCATGACGAACAATCTGTCCTCTACAATCACAACGGAACTAGTTGCACCTTCTCAGAACAACAACAAGGCATTTAGAACTCGCACGATGGCCGAACTACTCCACTTTGTAATACTTACTTTTGGTCGCAACAGCGGGCGGCGGGCGGACCAGGAGACATTCGCGGTGGCGGGCAGTTGCTCAAGGCTGAACTTGTCTTGCTAGAGAAGTCATGGAACTAGAGAAGAAGCTTTAATTGAAGTTGTATCATTGTTCATGTACTCATAATGTGAAGTGTACCAGTAGTTATCAGAAGTTATGTGAAGATTGCGGTCTACGAAGCACGCGTGCTAAAAACGATCTGCGCTGCTCTTATTTGCACCACCCCCTTGTCATTTAGAGGATGCTGATGGGAATCTCAACGCTTCCAACAACAGAGTATGGAGAGCCATTTGTTCCGTTCACCGGATAAGTAGTGTCCAGTATCACCACGTAAGAGGCATTGAAGTAGTTTGCATAAGGAAGCTAGAGCCAAAAAAAATCAACTACCACGCGTGGAAGACACAACCGCCAAAACTAACCTGAGTTGTGAATGAATCGAGGAGAGGAGTTGCCGAGCTCGGATTGAGGGTACGACGAGCAAGTAGGATAGGAGGTTCGAAGCCGTTGTTATTCACAGGGACTTTGATGTAGTAGTCGATGTATTCGGGATTCACACCAAGTTGGGCAGCGCAGCTAAAATTTGCTGTCACAGTAAAGGTCTTGAATGATAAAAAAAAAATGATCAGACTCGGGAGGAGCCAAGGTAAATAACGAAGGCGACTCACATCACCGGGAGAGAGCGTGGTAGGACTGATTGTAACAACGCCAAACCTTTCAACCTCGGCACAAGCCTGGGCAGCTGCTGGAGTGGCTACAGCAAAGACAGCAGCAAGGGTGGCGATTACGGTTGGGAAGGAAAGCTGCATTCTTGCAAAAGCTAGTGCTGCCGTGGTCCGGTTCGGTCCGGTTCAGAGGGTCCTTGACGAGAACCAAGAACCGAACCATGGTTCGGTTCTTTAAAATTGTCGAACCCAGAACCAGACCATTGAGAACGGTTCTCAATGGTCCTGTCCGGTTCTTGTCTGGTCCGAACGCGAACCGAACCGAAAATTTTTCAAGCAATGGAAAAAACATTCACAAGACATCTACATGACATTGGGTAGCTAGTCTAACTGCATACCAACTGCATACCCTTCTGCCTCTACTGCTGCTGACACATGTCCATTCTTATAGGCTGCCTTCATCAATTGTAGCGCGGAGAAAGTGGATGATGCGAGTGCGTTGCAGCGCAGAGTTGATGTGATGCCCGCGCTGGAGAAAGCGCGTTCAGAGGGAACAGAACTGCCTTGAATGGGCAGGTAATCACGCGCAACACGAGCTAGTGTTGGGTACTGCAGCGAATGTAACTAATCAAGAATGTAAGCGGGGAACAATGAATTTGAGGGCTGACTTACACCCCACCATGCCACAACATCATCAGTCTCCTCCAATGGTGAAGTATCTGAGACGCGCACGCCAGTAGACATCCGCTCCCATTGTTGAAACTCCGCGGCGATGACGCTTGAACGTTGAACAATATACCCTCGTAAACATATACTCATCTTATCCCGTTCAATCTACACGTTATATTTGTCTGACTCGGATCTCAGCAGTTCTTCCGCATTCACGTTCCTTTAACTAAACGAAACGCTAGCCAGTCACGGTGGTACCAAAGATCATATGTATAGAAATACCACTGAAACGCCAAGGTGCCAACATGGCAGACATTAAACACATGTAACTCGTTCTCTGGTGTCCTCCCGCTAAATGTGTGGTATATATAAAGGCAAGGTTTGCAAGCATTCTCTTAGACTCTTACATTCGTATGACTTCCCCAGCAACTCAGCGTTTCAACATGAGCTTGTTTCAATTGCAAAGGTAAGATTGTTCTATGTAGACTCGAGATACAACATGCGCTTATCACAGTTGCACATTCAAGGCCCAAGTCGTCACTAACAGCCCCCCAATTGACGTCGCCTTCACGGTTAGGGCCTGCCCCTGACCAAGATTCAATGCGATCAAGCTTACAATTACGTCTCGAGCACCTTGACCGAGTCTACTATGATAGGGTAGACTGTGTTTACAAAGAAGTGCAGGAATCACGCGCCCTCATGACAGAACTTGTCACTTGCCAATCAAACATCACCATGGAGGATGAGAGTACATTGGATAACAGTGTTGACTTCCAGGCAATGATTTATGACTCTGACCCTCAGACCATCATGCCTCTTGCCCTAGATGAGCTGAATGCTATTTCACCGTCGCTGACCTCGCCAGACCTCTCCGTCTTGGCAGAGTCGCAAGCATTCCAAGGACAACCCTCGAACCTAGAGTACGGGTTTACTAGTACTCTGCTGGAGAGTCTTCCCATCAGTAGACTTTCCCAAGGCAAGTTGCAAGATGCACATCCTTTCCTCTAAATGCTTACCGTGTACGACCAGACCTGTTGCTCACTGGCAGCTATAGACTCGATGTACCCGACTTCTCGCCTCAGTACGACACGTACTTTGATGGAAAGATGATGTCCGAGTCCGAGTCTTCAGCAAGTCGCGACCAACAATCAAGTCATCCCATTCAAGTTGCGAAGGCTGACCAAGTTAAAGTAAAATGCACTTGGCCCGGATGCTCAAAGGCTCTCAGGAAGGACAGTCTCGCCCGTCATATAAACGAGACGCACCAGCGGAAGGTCAAGGCCGTCTGCGTCTATTGTGGAAAGAGGTTCGCGCGCCCATATATGCTAAAGAATCATATCTATCGGGCCGAACGGAGAATGTCCTAGATACTGACATATTACGCACTCTAGAATTACAAGTATTGTAGCAGAACAGCCAAGCTAGCCAAGACCAATTGCGAATGTGTGAATGGCTATGTGAGTTTTCTGGAACCACAATGGTTCATGCATATCAATAGCATGATCTCAAGATTCGAGAGTTTCTCTCCGAGGTGCTTTGCCGGCTATTCTGATCCAAGGCACGCTTCCAATGGTGAAGTAAGGTATGCAGAGAGCTCTTGATGAGGATCGCGCGTGCGATGGTCTGTAGCTTGACGTTCCATGATAGCATCGCGCATCATCAGGTAAACGGGTAAATATAGTCCTAACATCCGCTGTGCGTTCGCTTTTTGAAAGCTAAATACAGGTGTTAGTCGAGACTCAAGGAAGACAATAAACGAGTACATACAGTCGAAGCGGTGCACCTGTTCTCGGATTTAGATTCATCAACTTCATTGTCGTCCTCTGGTTGGGGGATCAGCTCGTCAGCAGACGACTCTCCCAGATCAGGTGTAGAGGGTATGTCTTCATCTTCGGAGTCAAGAGGGGATAAGATTCGCATGGCAGTTTTCTTGGGGGCTGGATGATCTGTAGCACTAGATAAAGCACGTTTCCTTCGGTTAGTTGACGAAGACAGACCGCAGGCATTGTCAGCATCGCGAATACGAGCCGATGGTTTTGAGGGCCGGCCAGAGCGCCTAGATCCAGCTGCAACTGTTGCTGGGGTGCATCCAGCCTTGAGCAGAACGGAGAAGGCGTCCTTTGCGGATGTAGTGGAAGAGGATGGCTGGGCAGAAGATGCGACCTGGGGCAATGGTACTTTATCGTCAGGATCATTAAAAAAGGTAATTTCAGAAGCATCCTTGAGGGTGCCATCAGCGTTCAGAGCACAGCAGTCTTCAGACATCGTCAGGCAAATAACTCACAGTTTTTTGGTCGGCACCCCGTTTTATGCATGGCACATAGCCTAACACCACAGAGCGACAATATCCAAGGAGATCTGTTAGAGTTGAGAACCGGTGGAGGATCATGACTATCCAGGAAGCATATAGACTAGAACAAGTAGATATCTGTGATATAGGTAAACATATGTCAGAGTCTTGAGAATAAATTGATTAGTACTTACCTTCAAAAAGGCTAACAGTAGCCTGATTAACAAATAATGCAAATCTCGAAGACGGTGTTTTGATGTCGACATGGACACCGATGTCGTCGTGGTTGGTGTCGAAGTCGAGGGAATTCGAAGGTCAAGGAACGGTTCGGGAAGGTTCGGGAAAGTCGAACCAGAACCGGACCACTAGTGAAGGTCCAGAACCCAGAACCGCTTTCCGGTCCGGTTCTGGCTGGTGAGGGAACCATGGACCGAACCACAGAGAACCGGACCAAAAGTCCGGTTCGAACCATGGTTCTGGACCGGACCGCGGCAGCACTAGCAAAAGCAGGGGATGTGATACTCGCTTCAGTAGCAGTTAGCCCTTTTATGCAAACTCAAGGAGGCAGTGATGGTGTCAATTACTGTTAGTATGCCGACGGATGAGTCGTCAGAACATTGCGACCGCATCACAAATCCAGGGGGCAAAATTTCCGTCCGAGAAAATCAGGAAAATATGACGAAATACACGTACAACGTTTCAAGTATCTTCAAGTTGCAGGCGTACTAGAACGACACCAGTTCGAAATAAAGCCTAAGGCCAACGCAAGCTTCAAATAATGCGACTCATCTGTTTCTGAAGTGTGGATGCTGAGAGGCTCCTGCACTCGAAAATCTCCCGGGGTCGCCTACATTATAGTAGTTGGGTGCCGGCCGGTTGTAACTTGTTTTGGAACCAGGCACTATGTATGAAAATGCTACTGCTGTGATTTGTGCGGTATTTACCGCGACGGCGTCGACCTGTTATGCTACTACATATATATGTTTTTTTTTTTTTTTAAATCATTGTTATTGTCCTTTGGGGTCATAGACCCTATGTCGGACATAGCCCTATTCGAGTGCGGGGGGCTTACTCCCGGCTAGCTATCGTAAGTGTATATGTACTGTATGTGTTCTGGGGTCTTTGACACGTACTCCATTGGCATGTAGTCGGGCCAAGGCCGACTGCCAACTTCGTACAAGGGAACGGCTGTTGGGGTAGAGTATGGGTAGGTGAGAACTAGGTAAGGTGAGTAGGAGTGCCGTTTGGCGTTTTTCGCTGTGTTTCTGGTGCGATGTCTTTGCTTCTTCGTCTTGTCTCGTGCTTGGGCCTTCATTCATCTTTGTCCTCATTCTAGCCTGCTACTTCCAGTCCTCCAGTGCTGTTTGTCCTGCAAGCAGTGTTTCCTTGGTGTGCGGAGTGGTTTTAAATTAGTTTGGATTAGTTTGAATTTAGTTTTGAATTAGTTTTTGCGTTTTGTAGGTCGGGTTTGATTGGGTTGTGGGTCGCAAGCGTATTATTCTGTAGTATATAGGCTATATGTGAAAGAGTGAGCTTTTTATATGAGCGGGATCTCACTGAATGTCGCTTTGAAGTGTCCTGTACTGTTGATGAAATGCATAAGCGGTTTAGTTGCTTCTTCTGACGCTAGGAGAAAGGAGATGGAGGAGGCTCGACGACGTAGGACATTAGAGAGTATATGACGTTTGCGGACGTATTGGGGGCAATCAAGTAGGTAGTGGTGGATGGTTTCGTTTGTACCGGGGCATATGGGACAGTGTGGGGTTGTGCTCTTTCCGAGATGGTGTAGATGGTAGTTGAGGGGTACATGGCGGGTGCGGAGTTGAGTGTATATGCTGGTCTGTCGACGTGGACTGAGGGCTATGAGGCGGAGAAAGTTCTTGGATGGCATGGTGGGGTCGATCGCGTTGGTTCTGGCATATCTGGGTGAGTTTTTCCATATGTTGCTCCAGCGTTTCTGTAGGGTGTCCTCATGCCACTGTTTCAGGGCGGATATACTGTCCGGCAATGGACCATCTTGAAGGAACTTTGGGAGTCTGTGTTTGGCGCTTGATTCGTTGGGGCCCTTTGCTGCCTCTTTTGCTGCTGCGTCAGCGAGTTCATTACCTATCACTCCTTTATGTCCTGGTATCCAACGGATTGTTAGATTGAAGTCGCTTTCATGATGCTCTCTGCGTAGCGCAAGCTCTCTTGTTAGTCTGCGGAAATGTTCTACTAAGTATCCGCCCAATTTCGCAATATGACTCTCACCGGATTGGATGGCTGCACAATTATCTATGAAGATGGATGCTGGATAGGTGACATTGCGTTCTGTCGCTAGGAGTTTGGCAGCTAGTGTGAGTCCAACCACTTCTGCTTCATATACAGTGTGTACTTTGTTTGATCCTAGGTGATACTTTAGTGTGCGGGGTGCTTGCCCTTCCCGCAGTAGAACCGCTGCCGCTCCTATGCCTCCGTTATGTCCAGAGCCGTCAGTAAAAATTTGTATCACATCCTTGAGTTCTTGCTGTTCTTTGATGGCTTCCTTCGCTTTCGGTGTGATATGATTTTTGACGATGTTTCTTTGACTGGCGTTTAGGCGTAGGATAGGATCTAACGTTTCCATTTCACTTGGGAGGATTTGGAATGTAGCTAGGAGTTCGTGTAGCGACGTGCGGTGCCTTCGTATGTTCTGGTGTCGGACTATGTGCTTCAGGAGGGGTTGTAGAGGGTGGCGGTCTGGTAGCGTGGCTAGGCGGAGAGCGGAACGGTGACATATTCTCTGGAGGAGAAGGGGGATGGGGGGGAGGTTCGAGTGTGCATCTAGGGTGTCAGTAGCTGTTGATCTCATTGCTCCTGTGATGCTCAGTGTCGCGATACATTGTACCTTAGCTAGTTTTCGGGCCACTCCCATAGATCCTTTCCGAGGCGAGCCTGTATACAAGTTGAAGGTTGGATGGAACCATATATCCGCTCCGTAGGTGTACTTGGGGATGGCTACCGTAATGTATAACTTACACATGAGATTGGCTGATACTCCATTGGTGGGCTTGGCAAGACGGCGAAGTTGGAGGACATATTCGACTCCCTTAGCGATTGCGTGACCTGTGTGATATTTCCACGTTAGTTCCTGATCAACGAGCAGGCCGAGGAAGCGGTGATGCTCAGTGGGGTTGATTGTGGTGTTTTGTATAACTAGTGGAGGGCGGTGACGGGTTTTGCTGCGGGTGAAATCTATTAGGGCGAATTTGTTAACTTCAAATTTTGAGTTGTGATCTTGAGACCATTGGAGTGCTCCGTCGTGTCGTTCCATCATATCTTTCAGGGTGCGGTGGGTGGCTTCAAACGTTGGGCCTATGGCGATGAAGGCCGTGTCGTCAACGAAGGCTAGGGCTGTTTCCTGTTTGCGGGGGTTAGCTATGTCTACAAGGTCAGCATTATATATCAAGTAGGCTATCATAGATAAGGGGTCTCCTTGACCGATTCCATTCCGAACGTCTATCCATTTTGAAGTTGAGTCGTTGAAGCGTAGTTGCGTGCGTCGTCCTGTAAGCATTCTGACTGTGAAATCGACTATTTCCGGGGGGAGTTGTCTTTTCTTCATGTTGTGAGCGAGCCGGTCAGTTACTGCATTGGGGAAGGTGCCTTCGATGTCCAGGAAGAGTATTGAGGCAACTTTGTTGTTACGCCATGTGTTCTTGACAGTAGCTTCTAGGAGGTGTAGGGAATCTGTCATGGTGCGGCCTGGGCGTCCACCAAAGTGTGTATTTGGGAGGAGGTTGTGTTGCTCTAGGATATGTGTGACTTGTTCTGCTATTAGGGCGGTAAGTAGCTTGCAAGTGGTATTAATTAGGGCAATGGGACGATACGCTTTCGGGATGGTGTAGTCAGTCTTTCCTGGTTTGCATAGGACTACGGTCGTGAACTCTCGCCATGGGTCGTAGTATGTTTGGAGGGTGAAGACTGCGTTGAATAGGCGTAGGAGGTAGGGGACGAGGAGGTGTTGCGCGCGTTTAAATACTATGTTACATATGCCGTCGGGTCCGGGAGCTTTATACGAGCTGGTGTTGTTGATGGTGCGAATGAGCTGTGCTGCCAGGATGACATATATATGTTGCGCTTTCACTCATATGCATGATCATCCGATGTTCCATATGACGTGTGTTTCAAGAATAGCTCAAATAAACGCGTGAAGGATATGTGATAGCAAAAGTCAGGCCAATTTGAATTAGAGCTTCGTTCTTGATTTGTGTGCTGTTGTTTATGTACTCAGCTCACGTATTATCCGGTAGTGTTTGAACTTCCTCCATTCATTCAGAACACAGCCTATAGCTACCATGCAAGCATACCTCGCGGAAAAATACATGTCAGGGCCTAAAGCAGATGCTATTCTATCTCGAACAACCGAAAAGAAAAAGAAGAAACGCAAAGCCGACACCACAACCGCAGCACCTTCAATGTTAGTAGACGATGACCCCGGGTGGGTAGGCGAAAGTTCCAAGCGCAACGATGAAGAAGAAGATTTTGCAGAGGCCGCTGTCGCCAAGGACCGTAGCTTCAAGAAGCGCCGTGTTGAAGAAGGTTCTGGCTGGGCGACTATTCGCGCTGGTGAGAAGGAGGAAAGTCCGCCGATACCTGCGGATGAACAGCCTACCGTCTTCGTCGAGGAGGAGTCCGAAAAACCGTTTACTGGTGGACTGTTGACCACAGCACAACTCCGGAAAGCCCTTCCGCAGTCTCAGCAGAAACAAGAGGAATTGACTAAAGAAGAGGAGGAGGCTGCACAAGAGACTGTCTATCGTGATGCGTCTGGCCGGAAGATTGATACGAAGGCCGCCCGTGCGGAGGCTGCTAGGAAGAAACGAGAACGGGAGGAAAAGGAAGCAAAGAAAATGGAATGGGGCAAAGGCTTGGTCCAAAGACAAGAAAATGATGAGAGAAAACGTCAACTTGAGAAGAACAAATCACTTCCGTTCGCTAGGCATGCAGACGATAGGGATCTAAATGAAGAACTGAAGGCTAAAGAACGTTGGAATGATCCAGCCGCCGCTTTCCTCACAGTAAGTCCTTTTACGCCCATGACTTTTCATTGCTGATAGCGTGTGGTCCATCAGAAAAGTAGATCCAAGGGTCCCCGCAAACCCGAATATGCCGGACCACTGCCTCCACCAAACCGTTTTGGCATAAAGCCAGGCTATAGATGGGATGGCGTAGGTATGTTGTCATAATCCTCCATTTTTCTAGCAATTCCTCACATTGCTGACAGATCGCGGCAATGGCTTCGAGAATAAGTATTTCCAGCGACATAATGAGAGAAAGCGGAACACAGCAGCAAGTTATGAATGGAGCGTGGATGACATGTAATGCCGTCCATTTTGGTGGCTGCAGCTATCCTTGTATGCTCGACTTCTAGTTCAAGGCACTGTTTTTGACATTTGTGGCGTTTTAGATAAGGTTACCGATTATTCTCCTTGGTCGAGACACCACGAGACCTGCCATTTGAAACCACGTGAACTGCCTGCTGGTAAGCTATTGGCAGATAATCCGTCAGCGTGGTCTGTGAGTCGGAGGGCACCTTGACGTGCTTGACAGCTGTTGGCTTGCCCCGTTGCCACGTGTTACTACCTCCAGTCAAACAAGCAGGTGATTGATTCCATGTACAACGTGGCAAACGTGGATGCGGTATATATACAGTGTATCGACAACAAAGCACAAGGACCATAAAGTAAAACTCCGTAGGCATGAATATGTGCGTCTAACTAATATTCATATACATCTGAAGCTTCGATCTCCGTGGGTTCTATGCGACGAGGCTCAACCTGCCGATGACCCATTTGTCGAGGCTCCACTCGTACTGACCGCATGTTTGGGTACGTCAGGATCAAATAACGATCGTCCATACGTGCGCCAACTTCTTCAAACTGCCGTTATGATATTAGCCGATCACAGCCTTCACCGATGAGGCTCCTCTAGGAGCAACGGTATGCGAACGTTAGGGGCTCACCTTGGTTCCCTCTGGAAGAGGAATAGTTCTAGAAAACTCCTTTTTTTCTCGTTCCCTCACTAACGTCCCTCCTTCATCGATCTCAGTGATCTTGACTGTTTCCCATGTTACAGTCAGATGACTGCCGCGATAGCTAACATGGGCATTGTGTTTTTTGATGCCGGGTAGATTAAACGTGGCCGTGACCTGTGATCAGTGGAGGTAAGGCGTACATAGTACATTCATATACAAGTAATCACACGTACAGTACGACCATCACGGGACTCTCGAAACGAGACACTATCGATGATGAATAAGATAATCCGTAAGAAATCCAAGCGATGCGCCAAAAAAAAAAACACACTTTGACTTTCGCCTCTTGAGAGGTTGAGGTTGAGGCGACATCACTTTTCTCACCCCCACAGGATCTGGCGTACGTGATGGGGCAGGGGAATGTATACTAGGCGTCGGCGCCTTTAAGGAGCTGACTTTTGGAGGTTCCTTGGCCATTTGACGCTGCTTCTGTTGCCTGAGGGTGTTCCACAGCTCGTTGAGAGAATTGATGTCTTTAGTAGCCGCACCGCCCGAGTCCTCGGATGAGCGTCTGGGGATGGGCGGAGCTTTTGCGGCAGCTGCGTGGCGATCAAGAATCGTGGAGGACGATGAGTGTCTAGCACGCATCGGATTCGGACGGGGCTGGTTCTGTTGATAGACCCAGTCGACGCCGTCATAGCTGCAGAATGAGTCCATCGCAGTGGACTGATCTCGGGCGTCAAACTTGGTCATCGCTACTTGGTGGCAGACGACGTAAGAAAAAAGCGATCTGGGGATGCTGTGTAGCGGCTAGAGAGTAAATATGTACTGGACCTGGGATTAATTGAAGTGAAGAGGGGGGATGTGATTTGATGTGCGTTTCGAGGTTGTTATTATCAGGAAGACGTGCGGATAGCTGGCTGATTGACACGAGGTTGCTAAAAGCAGCGGAGCTTGACCTGATCGCGGCCGATGGAATTGGAGGAAACAAAACGGCTGGCAGGATCCATAACAAGATTTTTCACCTCATGTTGGCAGGGTGAAACTTGGCAGATGCCAGATGCCAGTGTAGCTGAGCGGTGATGTTGGCAGGTAGTAGTTTTTTACAAGTACCTGGCTAATGCCGTGACAGCCCTGCTGTAATACAAGGGTCCATTTACAGCACTCATCTTGTTCGCTTGACGCTTCCATGCTGTAAACCCCGATTCATTTGTGGAGAAAATGAGGTTGCCTCATGCTACACGTTCGCAGGAACGGGGCAGGTGACCTTTCTGACTGCCGCCAGTACTAGTAGTATCTACTAATCTGACTGGCAGTTTTCTGGTCACATCTGCCATAGCCGACTGCCAAGCTCTTTAAACCAAACCTTGACCATACGAAGCGAGTGAGCTGTAGTAGGTTCCAACCTCATCGATGGGACCTCCCCCTCACCGGCCACGCTTTTCGAGCGCTGTGCATGTGATGACTCAAAGTTGATACCAGTGAGTCTTCTTGAGAGAGATGAATCGGATGAACACGGAAAAATAGTGAAAATGCGGTGAATCGTCAGAATGGGGCCCCAACGTTAACACTCGCGTTATCCGGATGGTCTTGAAGACTACATATACGATGTTATCCAGATATATGCAGCAATCAGTTGTCTTCAAACAAGGCCCGCTCGTGACGTATACATTGAAACCTCAACAAGCTGCTACAAGCATGAGTCTCTTCCAAAGATGCTACGCGGATTTAATGTTTGCATGTCTGGCAGTGAATGTTCTGGTCTTGTAGCGTGATGACGCCACAGGAGCAAAAACTGATAATCGATCAGCGTACAAGTAAAACAGACTATCACCCCGCGGATATCACGGTGGCGCAGGGACTTTGAATTTCTTATTAGAATACCCGGCCCCACATCGACCCATTCCCAATCTTTTCCGCTTGATTCCAGTCACAATTGGTCCGGCTTCTGTTGGTACTGGCGACTGCAGACAATCTGATTGAGAATGTACAGCCAGTTGGGCCGAAGATTCTACCTTGGCCGGGGAATGGGATGCAACGAATGAAGCTGAGTAGTTGACAGAACCACATGTCAGATCTACAGGCGTCAGTTTTGGTTTTAATTGCGGCCCGGTTGTAGCTCGATCCGATCGCTTGGTTTCAGCTATAGCTGCTTCGGTGGCTTCCGTTGCGCATAACCGTGGACGATCTGATCGAGGGTGTACAGCCAGTTGGGCAGAAGATTCCACTTTGGCTTGATGACAGAATCGAACTGACTGAAGACCCTTCGTCGGGTTTGCTGGTATTAACTTGAGTTGCTCCACATAGGGCACTAGATGGGGAACCTTGACAGCAGTTGAAGCTTCGTCCCCGCGCAAGCCAGCTCGTACACCTACGGGATCATGACGTGAGCCCTAATCAAATAGCCATGCGGGGGACTGACTCTGAAACGCAGGCACGTAACTAGGAGGGATGTCTCTGGTAATAGGAGGCGGAGGAGCGAGTTGGTTCTCTGGATTCCCATCAACGTTCGTATGGCTCAGGTGAATCTGTCTTGCGGTCGAATTACTAAAGAAGGAATCAGTTGCAATCTTCAAGACTTGTCAAACAAGCGATGACACACAATGTTGACATTCGTCGCTTCACTTCCAGTTCATTAGGGATACGTGACCCTCTATCCAAAATATTTGCTATAAGACGGAGGTCTTGAGTGGAGTGCGTGTGAGGCATGTCGGAGAATAATGGCTGGAGAGAAAAGAAACCAGTTCTAGGCAGTGTCGTTTACTTGTTTCAGAAATATCTTACCGGATAGTTGTAACGGATTTTAGAGATGAATTCAGACAAGTCTCTGGATTTGAAAACGCCAGCGACCTTGCGCTTTGATGTGTGCGTTAGGTAAAGTGATGTCTGCGCTCGGGTACATGCAACATATAGAAGGCGCCTGATTGATCTGGTCAGAGCAGATGGATGTATCAAATGATATGCTTGCCTTTCTTCGTGAATGTCGTCTGACCGGTAAAAAGGGAATGTTCCATGTTCCACTAATAATATGACTATATATATGCACAGGACGGAACAGCAGAAAGGGTGGTACAAACCTGCTGGGACAAAGACAACTGGCCATTCAAGACCCTTCGCAGCGTGGCAAGTTGCAATAGACACCTTCTGTTGCAAATGATGAGTAATCGGAATTTTGACTTCGAAAGACAAACCTCATCATCGTTTTCATTCGACTGATCACCTGCAGATGACAGCATTGATGCTTGCAAGAACTGCCTTAGCGGAGTATCTCTGTGCAGTTGGTTAAAGTTATGTCCAAAAGGAAATGAATTGAGATAAATTACTGCAACGATGGCTCATCTCCATCAACGACAGGAGCGTTTGGAGCGTCAGTAGTGGCATCGCTCGCGAAATTGATCAGTTCTTGAATGTTCTCCCATCGTGTGTCCCAATCAGGTTGCGACTTCTTCAGATATTCTTGGTACCCGATGAGTTCGACTAACTTGCCGATCAACTGGGCTGGTTCCATTCCATCAGTGGCAGACGACCTCAGCGACCGTATAACATTCACGAAGGATTGGACCTTGCGCTTTACAGATGGTTTCAGATCCGGAATTATAGAGTCGTTGATGCGTTCAACAAGAGTCAGCGGTGAGATTCCGAGTTTCTGTGCTCGTGAAAGAATTTCCCCAAGGGACTACCGAAAAGTGCAGTGGATAAGCCGAAGAGACAGCAAATGATTATAATCGGTCGTTACCTTGTCTCCAATTCCCCGTGGAGGAATGTTGATAGCGCGAGAAAATGCTGGCTCAAAGTGTGGATTGTCCACGAGCTGGAGGTATGCCAAGGTATCTTTAATCTGAGCAAAAGGTTATCGTGTCGTGGCCTAAAAGAACGCGTAGCTGATCACTTACTTCTGCCCGTTCGAAGAACTGGTGTCCACCGAGCATTCGATTGGGGATACCTTCCATTCGAAGCGCGTTCTCAATTGTTCTGGATATGGCATTGAAACGTACTGCAAATGATTTGTAAATAGTTTGAACGTTGTGAAGGAGAGACGTACGGAGCACCGCAAAGTCTCCAAAACCTAACATCCCTCCTGACTGCGCTATCATGCGGTTTATCTCCCATGCAATGAAAGCGGCTTCGTCATGTTCTGTAGGGAACGAACGGAGCATCGGAAGAGGCCCAAGTGGATGATCTGTATGCAGGGTCTTTGCAATCCGTGATGTATCTTTGAAAGTGTCGGTAAACATATTTGATACGTCTGTACAACTCACCTTGCGAGATAATGGCGAGGCTCATTGCAAGGATAGATCCGGCTGAACGGTAATTTTGCTCAAGCATGATCTGTGCTACGTTCGGGAAGTCTGAAAGTCCAGTCAAATTCATCCAATGCACGGCTATATGCGTTGCCTCTATCTCACCATTTTGCATCTTGCCAAGATTTGTAATATCTGCAGATCGCCAACCGTATACTATGTAGATGTGAATTAGATCAAGGTCAGGCAGTGTTGATAACCAGAGCGTACTTGACTGATCGGGATCCCCAACAACCGTCGCACAACGACTAGCATCAGCGATACAACACATGAGCTTGTATTGAACTGCATTTGTGTCTTGGCTGGTGTAACTTTGGGTGAGCCTTGATCATCAATAAGAAACGAAAACTCACAATTCGTCGACAAGTATGTGCTGACACCATGCAGCATATCTCGGGTGTTGAGAGAAAAGCCTAACTCCAAAGAGAAGGAGGTCATCGAAGTCTAAACTATTACTTTTGCGCAAAGTCTTCTCATAATCACGGTATATCTCTGCAAAGACACGCTGAAATTCTTCGTTCGTTGACTTTGAAGAAGCCGCAGCTTTGCTTGAAACATATCGACTTTCTTTGCGTGGCATAACATCTTCTGGAGTTTCCCCCTTGGATTTGGCTCGAGAAATCAATGAACAGAGAGTAGCAGCATTCACTTGAATGTCTTTGGACGAGAGGAAATCGTCGTAAGGCTTCAACAATTTCGTCACAATTCGCTTGCTACAATAGAGTTCAGTACAATATGACTGCATCATTTTTGCAACGTACCTCTCATCGGAATCACATATAGTGAAGTTCCCATCGAGACCCACTGATGTCCCATATTTCCGCAGAAAGAGGGCGCAGATCGCATGGAACGTTCCCAATTTCACTTTATTAACGCTATCTTTACCAATAAGCTTTACGAGACGCGCCCGCATTTCGTTGGCTGCCTTGTTGGTGAACGTAACAGCGCATATAGACGATGGGTCCATCCCATGGTGCAATATCATGTAGGCAATTCGTGATGTCAGAACTTTTGTCTTGCCACTTCCCGGACCTGCCAAAATTTGGAGCGGGAAGTCTGGGCGATGAGTCACACCTGTTCGATAAATTAATGCGCGAATAATGCTACAAGAAGCAACTTGAAACACACATCTAGTCTGAGCAGAGTTAAGAGATTTCAAAAGGTCTTCCGCCATCTTTGGTTCTTTACTGAAGAATGTAGAATGCTTCTTTAGCGTGTGAGCAGTTGAGCATGAGTGAGCATGTGCATTATAGGAGTGTGTAACGCGTGCGGAGTGGACAAAGTCGCGAATATGAGACGCGTTTGTGGCGGTCACGTGTTTGGACGAACCACAATGTTGGACCCGTAATCGACCTCTCGTCGACCTCTTCCACCATGCCATATTCAATTTATACGTGATACGTACAAACATGACAGAAAAACAATACCAGGCCTTACCACACTCAAATTATTAGAGTCGTCGAAAGTCTTCTGGAATTCATTGTGGCTGCATATTATATTCGGGATGTCCCATGAATTAGTCAGCGAGTATACTTAATACACGGGCTCTTGGCATACTTCCCAGTGAATCTATCATATTTGTTCGATCTCTGTCTTGGGAAATACTTTCCTACTACGCGATGAACCAACTACTTATTGCTTCGCAAACTTCACTACTTTCTGACACGCATCCTTGAAAGCATTGGCGAGAACTTCGAAATCCGAAATCTGATTTTGATCGATAAGAACCAAGAAGATCACACTATCTTTATGAACAGGTTCTCACCTCGTTCCACACCTGCGCGCTACACCTTGTCCACCATTTCCCATTGTGGTAGTAATGAGCGGCGTACGTGTTCCACTCAAGCAATAATGTATTCAGTAGCAGAGAATTGACTTCATCTGAATATTTAATGTCGCCAGGAATGGGCAGTTCCACGTTGACCTGACTCGCAGGGAACATGAAACGCGGGAAAAAGAAGTAGAACAATGCATTTACGCACCATGTTCAAAGTTAGGTCACCCTCAGGGTCCATTACGCTGGTTCCTAGAAGACTTGCTAGATGTTTTCCGCCGGCGATTGCAAGATTGTGAGTGTATTCGTTTATCTTGTGCTCGCCGCCAAGCCATTGTCTAAAATCCAAGGCTAATCGCAGTCAGAACAATGATGCCAATGACGACTTTGCACTTACCTGCATTGATACTTAGAAATGGAATATAATCTATGGTTCCTGTCCCTAAAAATCAACGAGACATGAACGTTCGAAGTTATATAGTTTAGTTTACTCGAGAGAACTGACATTGAAAAAGCTTCACAAAATCTTGTGGGCCATTGTAGTGTTCATCTTCAGGTGAGTGATAAGTGTGTGGAGTGGGAAAAGGAGATTTGATAACATGATGATTCCTAGTACGTCTCATTAGACGTCGATAGTTGAGCAAGGTTGAAATATACCGTCTGGGAACATAAAGGACTGCACAACCTCTCTTTGCAAAGAGCCATTTGTGACAATTCTGTTTGGCTCAATTAGCCAAGAATGTATATCATGAGGTAAAGAAACAGACTAACTGATACCCAAAAGTCAGGCTTCGCCTCCGACAAGTTAATATCTACTTCCTGGCCAATGGCATGCGCAGCATCGACTACCGACCAAACACCTGCATCTTTGCAAATGGCCACCATTTCTTTCCAAGGAAGACGCGCGCCAGGATTGGATACGATGGCATCCATTACAGCAACAACCTTGCGAGTCTGTTTGAGATCGCCCCCTTCCGAGGTCACTTGGCGGAGATGTTCTCGCCAATTCTCCAGTATCTCCGCGTGTGAGATAGGGAAGCTAAGATCGAATGTGGACACCTGTGGTGTGGTGTGGTATCTCCAATATACCTAATCGCTTGGGACACAGCACCATAAGTCGTGGTAGCTGTTTTTTTTAGGGAAAAGGGTAACATGAGTGGGAGAACTTCAATACAGTGATTCTTGACCTACTCCCAATGATGATATCCCCTTCATTCCAGTCGAAATTGCGGAGAACCGTATTTACGCCGTGTGACGTATTATTCACCAAGACACACTCATCGGTCTCTGCGCCTATCAACTTGGCCACTCGAGTCCGAGCCTCATTCCAATGGTGAATGCACTCTATGCGCAAGAATCTGTCTGGGTTGGCTTCGACGCGAGCGGAAAGTTTATCGCATGCAACTCTAACGGGTATGGGTAATGAACCATATGAACCTTCGATGCGTCAGCCACGAATCAAGGTACGGTATAAAGTTTGAAATATGATTCCGGTAGAACTCACCATGGTTGAGGTTGACATAAGATGGGTCAAACTCAAAGAGTTTGTGCATTGCGTGCCCAAATGAAGGCGGAGCCTGATTGGCTAGCTCTACAGGGTCAGTGCTAGGGGCTAACTCGGAGGACAATGTGTTAGTCATTGCGTCTGTAGGCGCCAGTGATTAGCGCTTAGCAAGTAGGGAGTCTACAGTGCCGTAGTCAAGCCTGGTGCTGAAGGTGACTTCAGGTGACTCAGCGTGAGAGCGCCAGACCTAGAAACGAGCGGATAAGGATCACCAAATGTGAGTCGCCGAAACCCCGACGTTGCCAGTCAGCTGTGTCGGGGATCGCGGCCGGGAGCTCATGCTAAGAACGTGATTAAATTGCATAGCATACAGTGCGGCAATAATAAAAAAAGTGAATGGGACAATGCAGGAGCTTGCACAAATGATGCACAATTAGCGTACAACATACAATCGAGTAACAAGCAGAACAGTGCAGCAGTTGTATGGAAAAAAGCGTGTCATGATAACTAAGCAGTTGAGACCAAGTTGGAAGAGCGATAAAACGAAAGCAACGATAAACATCCGAGAAGAGACGGGCAAGTAGTAATGAGGCGAATTGACGCAGGTGAGTCATGCGCTGAGGCCTTCCAAGTTAGCTATGAATTCAATCACGTTTGCCTTGGCCTGCACAATTGAGATAAGCACGACGCTCAACACGACGGCAAACAACTTGCAGCATCGACAAGCTTAGAGCGGGAGGCATAAAACTCCTTCTGTTTCGTCGTAAGGCTGTTCCAGTGCGCGGCGAACTCGGCAATAGTACCTGTCTTGTGCTCGGCTTGCCACTCAATACCACAGAGATTGCGAGCAGTCGTCGAGTCCGAACTGGGCTTGAAAATGTTATTGGGATTCGTCGGCGTTCTTTTCTTCTTGCCAGGCTGGAAGATAACTCCCGTAGATAAAGGTGCTGATGTTTCCATGCTCGATGTTGGATCACTGGTGGCGGCGTTGGTGTTGCTAGCGGTGGAATCTCCTCGAGCAAGCCTGCAATTGGTTCAGACTTCTAGTGTCAGAATTAGAATCAAACAAACTGGTCCTGCGGGTAGACAGTAGGCTCGAGACCAGCCTGGTTTGTAGCATAGACAAGACGTTAACCTCTCCCAAGGACGTAGATGAAGTCAGACTAATCGGAAGGCTCAACCAATGCCAAATATCAACAAATTCTCATCCGATATGGGGCAGATCTAATCAAATTACCTGCAATCAGAATTACATTTGACAATTTATCGCACTAGGGGTTCGCTGTGCGAACTTATGACCTTGCTCCGGAGAATTTTTAATTCGTGGGAATCGGCTTTGTCGACCTCTTACAACACTCGTCGTTTTCGGACCCCCGATTCTGTGTAAAACATCGTAGCAGCACGCAAAATGTACGAAAGTTCAACAAATCCAAATAGACCAATGCGGCCTCGAGCATTAGGTTGTGGTTCACGCGCTCTACCATCCTCATGCATCTGCTGAAACATTTTGTGCATGTAGCTCCATGTGTTCTCTCTAGTCATGTTGCCTCGCGCTGACGTTTACTGATCGTTGGCTCTCATACCTTCTTCCTTGCTTGCGCCTGACGAGACACAGGGCCAACTTTGTATCCGTGTTGATGAGGCATGTGGTCTCTCTCAGTTCATCCTATCCTTGGGTGTTTTTGTTTCCCTCACATTCCTTTTGTCTCGTCATCAATCTTTGTGACTCCAGGAAAACAGCTCGTTTGGGATCGAGCTCGTGCTAGGTGGACTTTCGCACCGGATAGGTGAGCCACGCACTTCTGACAATTCTCATTATTGTTGTCTAACTAGCATAGTCTCGGACCAAACATCGATATACCTCAAGAGAGGTGCTATGCCATCGTTGAAGTTCACCTCATATTTGGACTGTATCTGTATTTGTATTGTGTCATCGAGACCGAGCTTTGAGCTTGACTGTATTTGTATTATGACATCGAGACCGAGCTATTTCATCGAGACCAAGTTCTGAGATCTGGATCTGAGTAACTAATTGGATACTTTATGAAGTAGTTTTGTGTATTCATATTGACGCAGTTCTATCATTTTCGATTATTGCACAGCATGATGTTCACGTCAGGTGACTGACAGATTATCTGCCATCCAACATGACCTTGCTCCGCAAGGTAACTGAGCAAGGTTGTTAAACGTTGACTAGGATTTGTTGACTGGGTTTCCTCAACTCGCTTCCCTTATTGACCACGAGAAAGTGTCCCCCTAGCCAGACGAGCGACGACATAGCCCATGGGCTATGGCTTCTACCTATCAAGTATATTTTAAGTATATCTTATCAGCAGCTCTAGCCACATGATAACCCTAACGCTTCTAACTTATCAGTTGAAGCGTGCAGGCGGTCGGCCCATTAATCGATCCAGTCCTTATTGACCGATCTCTTCCTAACGTGAAGATCGGACCTCTGTCTTAACATTTATTCCTCCGAGAATGGCATCCGCATTTTTCTACGGCACGTTGATGCATCCAGAAATATTGAAACGAGTCATTGGAAACGACGGCAGCCAACTCCAAATCTGCCCTGCTCTCTTGCCGGTTAGTCTGCTAGGAAATCTTACCGATCATCACCCTGACACATCCCCGTTCCAGGACTACACCAGACACCAGGTCAAGGTGAACGATGATGTTTCCTCCCGCTAGTGTCTTAATGTAACACACCGAAAGAATGAAGATTATCCTGGTATCCTGCCGTACTCGCAAAGTCGAGCGATGTTCGATCACGACCTCAATTCGAAAGAGAAATCGGTGCGAGGTTCTCTGGTGACCGGTCTATCGGACGCAGATGTCCGACTCCTTGATATATTTGAAGGAGACGTGAGTCCTGCAAGCCACTTCTATAACCGTTGACACAAATCAACCCCTCCTCGCAGCAATATACAAGAGAGTTAGTGTCTGTATACCCACTGGGACCGCTGGTCAACATACGGGACATGCCACCGATTGAGGTGAAGTCTCTGATGCCCACGACGCCTACCCCGATCCCTATGCTATCTGAATTGGCGAACCCTGTAGAGGTAAATACCTACGTATGGTGCTTTCCCTCTTCAGAACTCCGGGCACAACTGTGGACGTTTGAAGAATTTGTGAAGTTTAACGCGTGGAAGTGGATCGGGCCAACTAATAACAAGTACTTTGATGAAGTGGATAGAAGAAACGCTACGGAGGGTATATATGTTGAGGCGAGAGGTTGAGCTCTCCTTGAAGTACTCACACAAGCAGTCAGATATATGTAGTCGGTCAACCCCGCAATTATGATTCATTGAAAAATTCTCACGGTTGCTAGACAAACTAACGTTCATGATTTGAATTTGACAGTGGACAAGATGTCCATATGGTCAGGGGACGGTCTCAAGACTTGTTTTTCATTCGTAGTTCTCGCCTTCTTTCTGACTTTTGTGTTTGTTGCTGGAGTACTCCAAGAGGTCAAAAAAAATCGCGCTTTTGATCAAAAGATTGGTAGGTCCTTGGTCTGAATCAACCACTCCTCTCCACGTAGACTCACTTCGATCAAAGACTTCCCGGACTTTGGCCACTATAATGGAAATTTTATAAAGAACATGCCCCATAGTGTGCTTCCAATAGGTCTTTCATTGCTTCATGTTATCAAGTACAAGAGACTTACAATTGTAGTCAGGCGACCAGAGGAAACGCATAATCGCAATCGGAGACATACATGGCATGAATAGCTCGTTGACGTGAGTACTTGCTGTCTAATGATTAAACAAATCATCAACATCGTTTCATTGTGACAGGGATTTACTTGACGAGATACACTACAACCCGAAAAGAGATTCGCTTATTCACGTCGGGGACCTGGAGACACGGGCGACTATACACGACTCCATTGACGTATTGTCGTTCATGTCATCCAACAAAATCTTGGGCGTCAGAGGAAACAATGACCAAAAAGTGATCGAATGGCGTGCTTGGATGAACTGGATACTATCTCATCCGGGAGGTCGGGAGTGGCTTTCCGTCATGGACAAGCGATGGCCTAACCTTGACGGAGACAAGCGACTCCAGAGAACCGAGCTTGAAAACTGGGTCGAGACGAGCAAGTACGCAAGCTGGAAGAAGATGGTGCCTACTGGCTGGCATCCATTGGGCAAACATTACAGGGTCGCTCGCGCCATGTCTCCTAGACACTTCGAATATCTAAGTTCGTTGCCCCTCGTGCTTCATTCTCCCACTGCCCATGTGGTTTTCGTCCACGCCGGTTTGTTATCTTCCCACCCGAAGCTCCAGGCATCCGACCCTAGACAACCTCTTTCCCATTGGCCTACCGTGCACGACCAACATGATATTGCAAAGCTGCGTAAACAACAGGAGCTTACAGTTCTCACAGAGATTCCCGAAAACAAAGATCCATGGACCGTGACGAACATCAAAAGTGTTATGGATACAGGAATTGTGTCTCCCAGTCCCAAAAAGGGAACTCCCTGGTCCCAATTGTGGAATGATACAATGTCAAAGTGTTCGGGAAATTCGGGTACCAATGCGGGCAAATCATACCAGCCAACCTCGCTTCCATGTTATCCGTTTACTGTTATCTACGGACATGCTGCAGGCCGTGGGTTAGATATCAAGCGATGGTCGATTGGTCTGGACACTGGTTGTGTGAGCGAAACAAAATTCTGCACGCATGATTTGACTAATATTATGTGCAGTCGTACGGCCGTCAGTTGTCGGCTGTAGTCCTCGATGGAAGCTCTTTCTCTTCTGCTACACACCAATTTGGAGACAATATACATGCACAAGCCCCTCAATCACAAGAGATCGTTTTCGGAGACAACGGACAAGCGCGCATTGTTAGTGTATCATGTGCATAATTATCGTACCAATTCTTCATCCAGCTTTCTTCCTTGACGAAGGTAAGTTATTCGAATCTCGAAACGTTGGGATTGTACTTATAATGCAGAATAGATTTATAATTTCACACTTTATGATTCCATCGCAAGACAATGTCGTGGATGATACAGAAGATCGATTTAATAATCATGTGGGTGTCTTCACGAAGCATGAAATAGCTTGTTGAGGACGGAGTCAGTTTCCCATACACATACCTCGGCTTGTTCCGTGACAAATCAGAAGATCAGTAAGTACTCTTCCAAATGATTTCAGGACCATTTGCAGAGCTAGCGGATATGGGTATTGCATTGCACTCACACAACCTTGCAATGTGCCATTGTACCATGATCCGAATCAGCGCCGTCGAGCTTCGAAATTGAAGCGTAGCCGATATGGTATTATATTGAGATTGGTGAAAAGTCGCAAACACAGTCTTTGCATAACTCATCAACGTTTTATCACAGGAAGGGATATAGAGTATGTGTATAATTAGTCGCTTGACTTTAGGTCTTAAGCTTGACCGGTCTAAACCTGAACCGGATATGTTAATGTTACGTAAGATGACGAGAAAGCGCAGTCAGCTTTCATTAATATTAACACGTCTCCCTCACCATGGCCAGGCACAAAGGCAACGTATATGCTTACCTATTGGGCATAGTTCTCGTCATCCCCATCTTTTGGATTGCTGCGGGCGGTCTACGAAACAGGGTTAGTTTCTGGCCGAACCCCAACTCCAGTGAGTCTAGCCTGAGAGCGTTGGTTCTATAGATAAGCTCACCTAGACCTACAGAATTCCCCGATTTCAGTCATTACGACAATTTCACACATACGCTATCTGATGAACAATTCCCTACTAGTAAGTTGTCGACTTTTCTTTATCGATCGAAGACGATCCCCAATGAATGGCAGATGACAAAGACAGGAGGATAATCGTGATAGGCGACGTACACGGCATGAATGATTCTTTAACGTATGCGCTCTAAAAAAATCCATACCATGCTCGACGCTCACGTTTTTTCAGCGCTTTGTTAAATCGAATATCCTATGACATGCAGAAGGATATTTTAATACACCTCGGCGACCTTACGACAAAGGGAACTGTGGAAGACTCGTTGGCAGTTTTATCGTTTATGGAGAGTAATAACATTCTGGGCGTTCGTGGAAACAACGATCAACAAGTTCTTGAATGGCGTGCTTGGATGGATTGGATTGTTTCTCAGCCGGGGGGCAGAGACTGGCTGGTAGAAGTTGATAATCGTTGGCCTGATTATGAACTCCCGTTCGAGAATGGTAACATGTTTGCATTCGACTCACAGCCTCCGTTGATGGAGAAACATAATTGGGGAAAGAAGGTCCCTGAGGGTTGGAAGCCTTTGGGGGATCACTACCAGGTTGCGCGGGCGATGTCCCCCTCACAATACAATTACTTGCAATCTCTCCCTCTCGTCCTTTACGCACCGGCAGGACATGTCTTCTTCGTTCATGCTGGTTTACTTGCAGCGGATCCTAGCCGGAAACTCACGCATTATAAACAACCATTGTCGCACTGGCCATCCATGGAGCAGCACGAGCATGACATTCCTGCTATACGCAAAGCACAGGAGCTCGCGTTACTCTCAGATATTCCACAGAATCAAGATCCATGGGTCGTCCAAAACATAAGGAGCGTGCGCAAAAAGGGTAAACCCACGCGCAGCAGCAGCAAAGGGACTCCGTTCTCTGACCTTTGGAATGACGTTATGAACAAATGCTCTGGTTTTCATACTTCCAAGACTAAGTTTGGTTCCAATACACGACTCATAGGCTACCAGGAGAGTCAACTCGCCGATCTCCCTTGTTATCCGTCGACTGTCGTGTATGGCCACGCGGCAGGTCGCGGTCTAGATGTCAAGAGGTGGTCCGTCGGCTTAGATTCCGGCTGCGTATGTTGATTTCCATCGAAAATCGGACATGCACTGATTGTCTTTGCACAGTTTTACGGCCGAAAGCTTTCAGCACTAGTACTTGATGCAAGGTCATTCTCTTCAGGGGCTTCAGGGGATCACACATTTGATTTCCCTTCCGAGGCAACAACCGATCAGTTTCATGCAGAGCCTTCATTACCAGGAGCTGTGACAAACCATACGTTCGACTTCCTGTCCAGTGCAACTGATCTCCGAATCAAGTTTGACCACGCAGGAGAGGCCCGCATAATCAGCGTCAAGTGTCATTAATCATTCGCCACTCGTCGCATATTGCGGCATACTCGTAATCTCGGTATCAGATCCTAACGTAAATCGGCATTTTGCCGATGCTCATGGCCTAGAACGTCGGGAACGAGACTATCGACGTTCCTCGGCCCCTTAGACGTTGCTTTCTTGTTATCTTCGCATTCCAGGTCCATCACGAAATTCCGCGCTAGTATTACTATTATGTAACACCAGTATCTTGCTCTTTCCCCTCACGCTCCATATGCAAACTTGACAGGACAAGATAATCTTGTATTTCCACGTAATCTTGGATACCACATTCAGTCAACATACATGATATAATATACATGGTACAGATATGGTTCAGGCTATGAAAAGTATGTTTGTGTCCTGTATGGTAGGTGGTAAGAGACTGAGGAGCTCATAGAAAAAGATACTGACCATCGGGTGAGAACTAGATAGCTATTTCAAAATAGTCAGAAAAGCGCAGCACCATGGACAGCTACCGACAAACCTGTGGTTTCTGACTGTACTTTGCCCTTAAAATATCACTGCCGACAAGTTCATCAGAAGCCGGATAATCGATCCCGAAATGATGAGGCACTCACCGGATGGAATTCAGCAGCTGCTGATAACTTTGTTGCGGGTTGTCCCCTGCGGAACACGTGTCAAATTGGGAGCTAATTATGACGCTCCAAGATTACTTACTGAGTGCCTTGATGAAAGCCTGCATTTGAAAGATGCATGAGAGGCTGAAGTGAGAAGCGCGGATGAAGGAATTTACATAGCTCATAGCGCCTGTGGCTCTTCCCGCTTCTTCTGTGTCCGAGCTGGTCTGTGAATCCTTGCAGCCACTCCAGGAAATCTACATTGAAGGTGAGCGCGTGATGTAAAGCAACTACAAATTCACGTACGCAGTCGGCAGGACTCGTCTTTGTAGTCCTGCTAATCATCTCGGCTTTCTGTCTATCCCCTCTGGCAGTCTTGATCAACCCCGTTACGGAGCTGTACACGCCGCCCATATCGCCGCGAGCGTATGAAGCCACAGCAGACATTAGACTTTGGCCGGCCTCTGCGGCGAGATTTGGTTCTTTGATCTTGCCTTCCGTGGAATACTAATGCACAAAAGTAAGATTACGACGAGAGTGGAGAGTAAGGATGACGCACGATGAATGGGAGATCTAGATGTAAATTAGATTGGAATTAACATGAGCACTGGAAGGAAATAACAGA